TATATAGACAGATAGATGGTATTTAAATTTTAATTTTCTATGAGTCTGTATTAAGAGACTCCCTGTCATATGTGACCTTTTTCTCAAGATCCCTTGGAAAGTCACATATGACAGTCTCGACTGTATTTATATATGTTTAAGTTAAGTGCTCATATTCTTTGTGGCATTTTTCTTGCATATCAGACAGGTTTATCTACTATTTACACAAGAGCTAGAAAACCCTGTCTTACACCCCGCCCCCCCCACCCGGGTAAGACAAGTTGCGTGTGTTTTTAAAATAAGATAATTTTTCCATTAAGAATTAAGTTGTACTATGAGAAAAAAATGCTCATGAAAACATTAGTTTTCATAAATTTTTTCACCCAAATTATAATTAATATGTATTAAAAAAGGAATAAAAAACTTGGAGTCATCACAGACAAGAATATCTAACTCTCAGGTAAGTTGAGGTAACTGTTAAGCGGAAACCAGGCAGACCCTTGTTTTCCCCATAAACAGTTGCCCTCGAGCGACATATTCCAGTCTGTACAGGTAGCTAGTAAAAGATCATTATTATGAATCTGCACTATTGTTAGAAAAAATATATGTTTTTCCTAATTTCTTTTCAAAATATATAATTCATACATCATATGCAAGAAAAAGAATTTAACCCTGGCTATTATCACAGATGGGAACATCCTGCTCTCAGATAACTGTTGAGCAGAACCTCATAACCAAACCTTCCAAAGGGTTGCCCTCAAACTAAATATTGCCGTCTGTACCGGCAGCCGGTGTAAAATTCATTATATGAATAACCATATCTATAGATGTAAATCTACAATTTGTAAGATACTTAGACATTTTACAACATATCTTGAAATTAGATAATTATTTTTTTTTATACCCCCGCACAACAAAGTTGTAAGGGGGGTATACTGGAATCAGCTTGTCCGTCCGTCCGTCTGGCTGTCCGTCCGTCCGTCGGTTTTTTCTTGTCCGCCCAATAACTTAAGATTCCTTTGACCCTTAGTCTTCATATTTGGCATTGAGGTTAGTCATGATTAGTAGATGACCCCTATTGATTTTGAGGTCACTAGGTCAAAGGTCAAGGTCACAGGGGCCTTGACTTCAAAAAGCTTGTCCGCCCAATAACTTAAGATTCCTTTGACCTAGAGTCGTCATATTTGGCATGGAGGTTAGTCATGATTAGTAGATGACCCCTATTGATTTTGAGGTCACCAGGTCAAAGGTCAAGGTCACAGGGGCCTTGACTTCAAAAAGCTTGTCCGCCCAATAATTTAAGATTCCTTTGACCCACAGTCTTCATATTTGGCATGGAGGTTAGTCATGATTAGTAGATGACCCCTATTGACTTTGAGGTCACCAGGTCAAAGGTCAAGGTCACAGGGGCCTTGACTTCAAAAAGCTTGTCCGCCCAATAACTTAAGATTCCTTTGACCCACAGTCTTCATATTTGGCATGGAGGTTTCGTCATGATTAGTAGATGACCCCTATTGACTTTGAGTTCACCAGGTCAAAGGTCAAGGTCACAGGGGCCTTTACTTCAAAAAGCTTTTCCGCCCTATTACTTAAGATTCCTTTGACCCACAGTCTTCATATTTGGCATGGAGTTTAGTCATGATTAGTAGATGACCCCTATTGATTTTGAGGTCACCAGGTCAAAGGTCAAGGTCACAGGGGCCTTGACTTCAAAAAGCTTGTCCGCCCAATAACTTAAGATTCCTTTGACCCACAGTCTTCATATTTGGAATGGAGGTTAGTCATGATTAGTAGATGACCCCTATTGATTTTGAGGTCACCAGGTCAAAGGTCACAGGGACTTTGACTTCAAAAAGTTTGTCTGCCCAATAACTTAAGATTCCTTTGACCCACAGTCTTCATATTTGGCATGGATGTTGATCATGACTATAAGATGACCCCTATTGATTTTGAGGTCACTGGGTCAAAGGTCAAGGTCACAGGGACCTTGACAAAAAAACAAACTTTTCTTCTCAATTGCTAAAGAATGTCCTGTCCGCAATGTATTGATTTTGACATTTTCACATTTGAAGCATGTAGAATACATAACTTAGCAATGCACTGGCTTTATTAAGTAACCTCAGATTTGGCAGGGAGGTTGTCCTTGAGCTCTAAATGGCCACTGTTGATTCTGACAAAGTGGTATGCGGGGGTATTCACGCCATGATAGTGGCAGTTCTAGTTTTTGATAAATGTATCTGTTAAATGTTGCCACTGTGATGGAGACTATTTTTTTCTAAAACTGTTATAATTGGTTGTTATCTAAGTCTTGTTGCTATGGTAATTGTTATTAAGATTGGTTTATAAATAATAAAATTAAGAAGCAGCGAAATATAAAGTATATTTAACTGTTGCTAAGACAGAGATTATAATAAATATTGGTTTTTATTGCTAAGGACAAATTTTATTTTGATATTTTAAAAATCATTGCTATAGTTACTATTTACATTATATTGTGATTATAATTAGTTAAGTTGTTTTTTCCCAAAAGCAAATTGTTGCTATGATGCATGTTAAAATTTTATTGTTTCCATGGTAAACTGTTGCTAAGGGTCAAGTTAAAATTATATTGTTACTATAACATATTGCTATAGTAACAGTTAACGTTAATTATAAACGGTTGATATGGAGTTGTTGTGGTAACTGTTTACGTTGTGTTGTTGCTATAGCAACATGTTCTAAATGATTTGATGTAAATTATGAGGTCATAGAATTAGTTGCTATAGAAACAGTTATCTTTATGGCATTGCTATAGTAGTTGTTACTATAGAAACCTATTGTTACATATCATCTATATTGTGAATAGTTTAAATCATTCCATAAAATCTTGACTTGTTGAAATTATGTGACTGTTCTTCTTGTTAAATGTTTTCATATAGAGGAATATTTTATATTTTTACTTGTATTAATATATTTTGTAAATCAGTTGTGAATAAAATAAATGATATGAAAACATAAATATACTAGTTCTTTTAATTTTTATGGTTTTTATGGCCCCAGGCATATAGTAATTGAACCATCTGTCCGTCCGTCAATCTGTACAGCCCTGGAGGTACTTGTGTGACTTGTATAACAATAAGTTAACAGTAAATTCTCTTTGATCCTACTCATTCCGTTTTTACTTGTGTGTCTTTTTATACCCCCACAAACAAAGTTTAGGGGGGGTATATAGGAGTCAGCTTGTCGGTCGGTCGGTCCGTCCGTCGGTCGGTCCACATCATGGTTTCCGGACAATAACTAGAGTTTGGAATGAGGTATTGTAATCAAACTTGGTATATAGCAACCTTATGTGAAAACTCCGGTTGGTATTGCATTTGGACCCCCTGGGGTCAAGGTCAAGGTCATCGTTACTAAAAATAGAAAAATGGTTTCCGGACAATAACTACAGTTAGGAATGAGATATTGTTATCAAACTTGGTGTATAGCAAGCTTATATGAAGACCTGGGTTGGTATTGCATTTGGACCCCCTGGGGTCAAGGTCAAGGTCACCGTTACTAAAAATAGAAAAATGGTTTCCGGACAATAACTAGAGTTAGGAATGAGATATTGTTATCAAACTTGGCGTATAGAAAGCTTATATGAAGACCTGGGTTGGTATTGCATTTGGACCCCCTGGGGTCAAGGTCAAAGTCCCCGTTACTAAAAATAGAAAAATGGTTTCCGGACAATAACTAGAGTTAGGAATGAGATATTGTTATCAAACTTGGTGTACAGCAAGCTTACATTAAGACCTGGCTTGGTATTGCATTTGGACCCCCTGGGGTCAAGGTCAAGGTCACCGTTACTAAAAATAGAAAAATGGTTTCCAGACAATAACTAGAGTTAGGAATGAGATATTGTTATCAAACTTGGTGTCGCTTGGACCCCCTTGGGTCAAGGTCAAGGTCACCGTTACTAAAAATAGAAAAATGGTTTCCGGACAATAACTAGAGTTAGGAATGAGATATTGTTATCAAACTTGGTGTATAGCAAGCTTATATGAAGACCTGGCTTGGTATTGCATTTGGACCCCCTGGGGTCAAGGTCAAGGTCACCGTTATTTAATGGTTTCCGGACAATAACTAAAGTTAGGAATGAGATATTGTTATCAAACTTGGTTTTAAGCCTTGTTTGACTAAAAATGGCTAGAAAGATAAATGGAAAAGTCACAGCAGTACCATTTCATAAGTATGTCTGTCTGTGCGTCCTTCCTGTCTGTGGTCCGTCCTGATTTGTCTAGTCTATATGTTGCTTATTCTTTGAAGGATTACAAAATAATTTGGTGCAAATGTTCATCATGATTGGGATGTGTGTCGCATGCAAGACCCAGATCCCCCCTCAAAGGTCAAGGTCACACTTGGGGGTCAGCACAAAACCTGTGTCCGGAGCGTAACTTACATGCATGAAGGGACTTAAATATATAATTATTAGGGGAAATATTCTCCAAAGTAAGGTGGAGTGTCATGCAAAAATTCAGGTGCCTGTGGCAGGGGTCAAGGTCACACTTAGGGGTCAAAGGTCAATTAATAAAATAAAATATTCATTTGAGAGTAGAACTTCTATATACATAGATCGATTTATATATATAACTTAGCACAAATGTTTTCCAAGTTATAAGCATAGCCTATTTATTAAACAAAAATGTTAAAAGAAGCCACTTCAGCGAAAATGTATTGCAACTTTAAATACAAACAATCATTAATATATTACATATAAATTTTGGACCATATCAGTCAAGACCTTCAGTCATTGCAATGAAATTCAGGTGCGGTAGAGTCTTATTTCTCAGGCAATAAAACTGTCTATATATCGCTGGAAGATCATCACCAATTATTAAGTGGTAAATTAATTTGTTCATCATTTGATGCCATGAAATTAGGTAATATCTTGAAATATGTATATATGAGATTCTTGTTATTAATTGTGAATATCATTCTCCACCAGAAGTAAGTGCTAAGAAATTTTATTAATTTCAATTCAATTCAATATTTTATTTGGCATTTAAAACTACATATAGCTTATATCCATTATAACATAATATATGTTAAGTGTAATAAATTGTTCATAATACAGTAAAAAATGTTTTCAAGTTATTAACAAAAGATCATCATGCAGATTTAGCAATTAACAATATAATCTAAGAGATATATACTAAATGCTGACATAAATTGTTGTTGTTGAATATATATACATATACAAATACAATCATTAAAATTATTAAAGTTGACAACTGTGTGCCCAATAAACAAACCAGTTTACCTTGTGCAACAAATATGTGTTATATAATTTAAAGCTGCATACCTCCAGATGAAATATTTTGATAAAATCAAACCTGAGAAAAATGTACTAATAAAGATTTTAGGAAAAATAATTAAGATTCAAAATTCTAGTAAAAATTTACATGTTATCTTCCAGCAATGACTGAATTTTTTAACATGAATAACTATATCCTTACTAACGCAGTAATGGCTATTTTTGCATATTTTTTAGTAATCCACATAGACCGACAATGTGTAAATTGCATTATGTTGGTAACTTTACAATATTATACTGTTAATTACATTTTCAAATTTTCATGAAAATTAGCATGAATCTGGAGGTGTGCTTGAAAAAAGATTTCACAGAAAAAGCACACTTAATGCAACTTGTGTATAAGAGTTGAAATTGATTACTGCAGCACCACCCATTATTGGATCTTAGAACAATTAATTTATGGAAAAGAAGTACCACGTACTTAAGAATATTTTGGGTATAATCCTTATACTAATTTATAAATTAATTAAAACAATATTGCTTATTTTTTATTCTTTCTTGTATAATTTTATGTGTTCTCTTTATTGCTAAACTCAATTAAAAAAAAACACCTGTGTGACAAAGGTTTGCGATATTTTTGGGGGTTCAGTTGGACAAAGATTAATGTCACAGTGACCTTCAGTAGATAGAAGGTCAAAGGCTATCGTGGATGGCATATGTGTTTTACAGCCCTTGTTTGACAATTCTATGTGTGATAATATGTTTCCTTCAATAAAACGTCTTTTTGACAAGGCTCTGTGCCTTTTTGTGACAATTCTATGCATTCATAATAATCAAGTAGTGATTTACTCAATACAACATCTTAATAACAAGCATTAATTTCGTACCTTTTTGGGACAATTTTATGTATTCATATAGATAAGCATTATTATACCTTGTGACAACTTTTTCCAATTGTCAAGCTTGGCTGTCCTCCGACAGCTCGATCTTAATTGATGTACAGCTTTGAAATTTGAACAATGTGCATATATAGTTTAGAGTTTTAGATGTAAAAACTTGAACTTTGATACCAACTGACCTAATTTCAACCTAGTGACCTAATTTCTTGGGGTTTTTATGTACAGCTTTTAAATTCAAACCATGTGCATAGTTTAAGATGTAAAATTGAACAGTGATATCAGTTGACCTAGATTTTGACCTAGTGACATTTTTTCTTGTTCTTTGATGTATAGGTATGGAATTTGAACCACATGCACCGTTTTTAGATGTAAAAATAAACTTTGATCAGCTGACCTAAATTTTAACCTATCATACTATTTTCTTTTTTTTTATGTACAGCTATGAAATTTGGAATTGGTGCACAGTTTCAGAAGTAACATTGAACTTTTTTATCAGCTGATCTAGATTTTGACCAAGTGACATACTTTGGCATATACTCGTATTTGCCCTTTATTTTTATTTTTAGTTTGTCCGGACTACAATTTTCATACCACTTCAGTGAAATTTTAAAGGATTGATTGGTAGCTGAAGTACTTACACTGCTTTTTGCTTGAGTATTTTTTGGCAGAGCTATTGCCCTTGAATAAAAAAGTTTTAATAAAGGTTGTCCACATTACTCCTCTTATACCACTAATGTAATTCAATGAAACTTTACAAGATTGATTGGTACATCAAGTACTTGCCCATAATACACAGGTTTTCCGCTTGAATAGTTTTTGGTTGAGTTATTGCCCTTGAATAAAAAACGCGTTTGGCCCTGTTGATGATTTTTATGTCACTTTCTACACAGAAGCTGCAAAATGCAATTGGCTATATTGAGGTGACACATGTGATCACTGATCAATCTTGGCTTTTGATGTGATAATATTATGTGAAAATACAATGTAACAAAAAATTTGAAAGAGCATATTTTGTCAATTGAATCAGTTTGATTCACACAAGAATTATGGTTTTGATCATTAAAATCCAAGTCTGAATATTGTCTGCTTTTGACCACATTATTTATTGGCCAGCCAATATCCTAGAAAGGAGCTTAGATATATGGTAGTTTGCTGCATTGTTTCTTGCCCTTTGTTGAAGAGAAAGCAGGTAGCATTTTAATGCTTGTTGTGGTTTGTCTTCTTGTTCCATACATTGCCCTAAAATATTTAGAGCAGTTTCTTTATGTTTGAGGTTTTCATCTATTGTTATGATTCTTGTAAGTTTGCATAACGCTTGTTGTTGGTCTTGATGTCTTTGTAGATGACTGTAGATCTTATATTGTAGGAAATACAGGAAAGGTAGAGAATCAACTACAGCCCAGTCCATCCAACAGTCTCTATACCTATATCTGTGTATCCTGTCATCTTGTGTAGATCTGAACATTTCATATTGTAGTTCACAGGGAACACAATTGATCTCTTTCTGTATGAATCTAACACAAAATGCTGTAAAATGTTTGATACACTCCTCACTTTGTTCAACACATACCCTTTCAAATTCTCGTGTTACTATAGGTATAGGCTTCCTCCAACAGGCACATATATGTAAAACAGGATAGGAGTAATATTGCTGTTCAGTGTGTCTCAGAATTAGTTCAGCTTTCTCCATATCTCCTGTACTGTAGAACACTGAAGCCAATTTAAGTCTGCTAGATGAGATATCTGAGTTTAAACCAGCTGATAACCATATCAATGCTTCATATGACACTTGATTATTTTGACCAATGCTCGATGATGCCAGGCCAGACCCATATGTGGTAAAAAGAAAAGGTGCTAGAAACTTGAATGCAGCATGTTGTAATCTATGACCATCACCTCTGAATGTCATTAGTTTAATAACAGATTGCTTCATTGTCGTAATGTTTTCATTGTGTAAATGTTTTAAAATAAGCATATGACATGAACTTGTATTACTTGCAATTCTTATATATGCCGAGGTCATTTGATATTCATTTATTTGAACGGAAGACTGAAACTTGTATGCTCCATGTGGTACCATGTTCAGTTTAACTTGCAGTCTTTGACCAAGATCATCAATATTAATTCCTAGTAACCCATGTCCATCATTCTGTATAAATTCAGTTATAACTTTTGAAAATTCATGTTTGTTTTCAGCTGTAAATTGCCCTGCCATCAAATTGTTTTCTTGGATAATGAAATGTGAACAGCTGTCATTCAGTAGACAGCTATGTAATTCCAATAAGCAGTATGTTAGACATATAAATAAATTGTTTTCTCTCCATATACTTTGCTCTGTGTTTTCTATACAATATAATAGAACTGTTTTACACATGAAACTTGATATATTAATTGTCCCCTGAGGATTTAGGTAGGATTTAAGAATCATTTTCAATAATACATAGCACCTTATTTGTGTTATATTTAGGTTAAGCATAAGACACCTTTCTGCCAGGGATGTAGATATTCTCCATTCCAGTTCAGGATATACACTGACCTTACTTCCAGTCCCAACAACAAAACACCTAGTACTGGCTGCATATCTTTTCATGTCTTGTGTTGGCCATCTGCCAATTCCTTGTCTGTCTAACCAACCTATAGCTGATTGAGGCCATGATTTACATTTTAAAGCTGCCACAATGTCTCTATCTATGAACCCAGGTCCTCCTAGCAAAGCTTGTGATGGTCCATGCCTTACACCACCAGGACGGGCCAAAAATGAAAATGTGTTTTTACATAAAATTCTTCCACTTCTATCAGTTATATAGTGATCATTACCGGGATAGTCAGTAAAAGGACTAGGTTCATCTGGTCGAAACAGTTGTAAGAAACAATAACCGGGGGTAGTGTTCTCATCCTGTATCATGAGATAGTTTAACTTGCCATGTTCCCACTCTGACAAGTCTTGCATTACATTAGTACAAAGGGCAAAGTGTAGAAAATCAATGTCGGATTTAAGTCCTCTGGTAGTAGTACCTTCACTCTGACTTCCAAATATTAAATATTTAAGCGATTTTTTTCCAGTTGACTTTTGTGTGATATAATTCATTGTCTCTTGTAGCATGTAAGTTCTTCTTCTTCTCATCACCATTCTTTCATTGACACCAATGTCATCTAAAACCTCTGACAACTTCAATGATAGATTTTCTCTGTAGTCAGGTTCTTGAAACATTCTGTAATATATTAGAAAAAAGGAAAATTGTTTTTTCAGTCAGCCATCAAAGTTTATTTTGTCACAAACTTTTACTTGCTACTTATTTGTCCTTGATGTCCTTGAACAGAACAGAATAGCCATTTAGAATTTATGAAATTGTATATAATTTAACGTAGATATCAATTAATATACAATTTTGTATAGATAATTAATTCTGTCTCTCAAGTTGTTTCTTTTTATTTATATGTATTTGTTTTGATATTTCCTATCTATTTTATGTGAATATTATTATGATAGTATATTAATAAACCTGGTTTTCTTGTAAGAATTTTTAATCTGAGTATTTTTTGTTTGAATTTAATTGTGACAAATTGTTACTGAAGGTTTGATATAGTTTACTTTCTTCCACTGTGTTTCGACTCACAAATTTACTAGTCTTTTAAAATTGAAATTCATTAAAAGACTTTCTAACGTCTGCTTATTGTGAACAAAAAAAAAAGGAATCTAAAAGATAAATTACTTATTTTTTAAGTACTGATATAACTGAATTAAGTCCCCTGCATTTCAGAGTAACAGATTTATATCCAATAAAAAAGGATAAGCCTTTTACATTTCAGAGTGAAGGAATTGTGTAACATTAAATGATGCAAGCTTTGTTCATCCTTGAGTTACTTTCTAAATAATTATTTAAGGCTTTGATACATAAATTCATATGTATTGTTAAAATTTTCAGTGTTTATGTAATTTAGCTCCTCTGAGCACAAAGTGAGCTTTTGTGACCACAATTTGTCCAGCCTTCATCGTCTGTCAGTGTGTTTATGCATCTTTTTTTGCTAACAACTTTTTTCTCATATAGCTATCCGGTAAGAAAATGTTGATGTTGAAAATTCTGATGTCAAGAATGCACCTGACATCATTCACTAGCTATAATCATTTACAGAGTAGACAATAGAACACTCAAAATTTTATCAAATGCTGCTGAAAAAGTAATATTGTAAATTATGATAAAAATGAAAAATTTATTATCTGGATTAAATTAAAGTGATGCATATCTGTCTGGACTCATGGTACTGAAGTGAGGACTATTTAGGCAATTTTGATATCATCCTTCTTGGGCCACAAATACAATGTCTACATACTTAAAAATAAACAGGAGGGCCATGATGGCCCTGAGTCGCTCACCAGAAACAACTGTTTTTCAGTAAAAAAAGACTTAAGAATGCTACAGGCAGAGTTTGGTGATCATCCATCAAAAAGGGGCCAAGCAAATTTATCATACTATACTTAAGTAGTCTTTTATCAAGTTTGCTCATACTAAATTAATAAATTAATATGCGCAAACTTGATGAAAGACTACCTAAGTATGCTACAGACAAAGTTTGGTGATTATCCATCAATTATTTTTGTAGGACTGCAGATGTTCACAGGTTTTTCTATTTTTAGCTTTAGCGGCCCCTAAAATGGGCCAATCAAATTTCTATGAGCAAACTTGATAAAAGACTACCGAAGTATACTACAAAATTTGGTGATCATCTGTCAATTAGTTCTGTAGAAGGAAACGTTTCAAGGTACATGTTTTTCTATTTTTAGCTTTAACGGCCCATTAAAGAGGCCAAGACTACCCAAGAATGCTACAAACAAAGTTTTGTGATCATCCATCAATTAGTTCTGTAGAAGAAGATGTCTAAATGTTCTTTTATTTTAGCTCTAGATACCCCTAAAAAGGGCCAATCAAATTAAATTGAGCGAATTTGATAAAGACTACCTAAAAATGGCTGAGACAAATGTTGGTAATCATATGTAGTAGAAGATGTTTAAAGGTTTTTCTATTTTTAGCTCTGTTGACCCCTAAAAGGGGCCATTTGAAATGGCATGAGCAATTGTAAGTGTGACTGTCACAAGGATGTTACAGACCAAATTTCAGGTAAATCTGCCCATCTGTTGCAGAGAAAAAGATGATTGTTGACGCATGACGACGGACGCTGGAGTATCCCCCTTTGATACTAATAGCTTACCCTGAACCTTTGCAAACTAACTCTACGATTTGAAGAAGAACCTAGCTGAACAGTGTTAAATTTTTAGGTATCTAGCTTAAAAAAATTTTAATCTGTATTGGAAATGCACAAAAAACTGTCCGGTTGATGGTCCCTGTCCAGTAAGATCAGCATCACAATTTTTCTTAAATGTACAGGTGGGGGATCTAACTGTCAAAGCATTGTGGATACAGCAGCTCAGTTTGCCATTATATCTGAGAGTATATTAAACGTTGTTAAACATAAGCCATGGAAACTCAAAGATGTAAAGTTCTATACTCCTTGTGAAGATATGCCAAGGGCAGGGTATATTGTAGGGCTGGTTTGATTAAGGAGTAGCTCAAAATGGTATTATGAGAATATATATATGGCCACAATTGAACAGCAAATGTTATTGGGGTTTGATATTGTTTATACTAAGGGTCAGTCTATTTTTGATATGGGTCATGGGGTTATGTTTTTATATGCCCCAAAGAATTTCGGGCATATTATGTTATACCCCCTGGCGTAAGCATTATGGTTTCCGGAGCATAACTTAAGTTCCATTTAGCACACAGTATTCAAACTTCATAGGATGATTGTCAATATTGGGTAGAAGACCCCTATAGATATTGAGGTCAAACGGTCAAAGGACAAGGTCACTATTACCTTAAAACTGAAAATGGTTTCAGGAGTATAACTTAAGTTCCATATGGCCCACAGTATTCAAACTTCATAGGCTGATTGTCCATATAGGGTAGAAGACCCTTTTAGATTTTGGGGTCACAAGGTCAAAGGACAAGGTCACTATTACCATAAAACTGAAAATGGTTTCTGAAGCATAATGTAAGTTCTATTTGGCCCACATTATTCAGACTTCATAGGATGATTGTCTAATTGAGTAGAAGACCCCTTTTAATTTTGGGGTCACAAGGTCAAGGTCACTCTTTAAAACTGAAAATGGTTTCCGGAGCATAACTTAAGTTCCATATGGCCCACATTATTCAAACTTCATAGGATGATTGTTCATATTGGATAGTAGACGCCTTTTGATTTTGGGGTCAAAGGTCAAGGTCACTATTACCTTCAAACTGAAAACAGTTTTCGCCCAATAACTTAGTATTAAGTATTTGCACATGTCATCATGAAATTTTAAGAAGTTAACATGTCTGATTTGCACAAGTCATCACGATACTTTTACAAGTTTAAACATATTGATCACGATTATCCAACAAGTCAACATGTTATCAGCACAAGTTATCATGATCCTAATCAAGTAAACATGAACAAGTCAGCATGGTATTATGACAAGATAGGATGTAAATTGCGCATGTTAACATGCTTAAACGATAAAATAGTATCATCATTTCACAAGGTAGCAAAAACATTGATCACATAAGACAGTCACGGCTTTCCATAATTGAGGGTCTAGAAGACAAAGGGTTCATAGAATGGGTGTCTCTGATCCTGTTCTGTGTACAATTAACCCCACTGATGGTTACGGACATAAAGGAAATAGCGAAAATAAGAATCCCCAAATAAAGCAAAATTGAAAATGTTGCAGACTCGGTTTGATTGAGTCTGTTCATGGACGTTACTGGAAAGTGCAAGTTAAATACCAAGTATGGATTACTTGAGCATAAGCATAAGCATTTGGGCTTAGGATGCGGGTCACTAGCTACTTATGCTCGTATTATGAATCTAGTAATGAGTGGTTTAACATCAAAGACAGTTTTAGATTTTTATATGCCCATTCAATAAAACGGGTTGCATTATAGTTCCCCCTGGTGGGCGGGTGAGCGTGTGGGCAGGCAGCGTCCAATTTTGTCTGGAGCATATCTCCTACATGCATGGAGGAATTTTAATGAAACTTCATAGAAATGTTCACCGCTATGAGAAGCTGCGTCGCGCATATAAACCATTTCACAAAGTAAAAGGTCAAGGTCACACTTACAGGTCAAAGTTCAGTAAAAACATGAAAATGTTTATACGGACCATTTAGTCATCATTTATTGAGGTATTGAAACACCAATGGACATTGTCATGATTACCGGTGTAAAACATGAAATTTAGGTTAATATACCTAAGGTCAAGCTCACTAACGATGATTAAATAAGAAATTTTGTCCAAAGCATATCTCATATAATATAAAGGGATTCTAATAAAACTTAATAGAAATGTTGACAACTACAAGAAGCAGACTGTCATGCGCATGAACCAGGTCTCTAGGTCAAAGGTCGAGGTCATACTTAGAGGTAATTGGAAAACGGGCGTTGGAAAACGCTTGTCCGGAGCAAAACTTCTACATACATAGAGGGATTACAATATAACTAATGGCACACTTTATGTTCACCATTGTAAGGCAAAGTGTCGCATGCAAAATTCAGGTGCCTTTGGCCAAGGTCAAGGTCACACATGTAAGTTCAGATAAAAATATGAAAATGTGTATTCGGACCATTTAGTCAGGATTCTAATGAAACTTCATAGTAATGTTGAGAACTATGAGAAGCAGTGCAATGCGCTTGAACCTGGTCTCTAGGTCAAAGGTCCAGGTCGCACTTAGAGGTAATTGAAAACACTTGTCCGCAGCAAAACTTCTACATGCATTGAGGGATTTCAATATAACTTGCAATAAATGTTCACAATTGTGAGGCGGAGTGTCACGTGCAAAAATTCAGGTACGTATGACCAAGGTCAATGTCACACATGGATCAAAGTTCAGTTAAAAATATGAAAATGTGTATCCGGATAATTTAGTTATCATTTATAGAAAGATTGAAACATCATTAATTGAAGAATTGAAAGTGATATAAAGGCCACAATGGCCATCTTGTTAAAATTTACATCATAATATAATTGTAACTTGGAGCAGAAGCTGAACTTGGAAGATACTTGAATACTGTAATTTTACAAAACATTTTACTAATAGACATTAAGTACTAAGAAAACAGTACTGTAGAAGTTGCATTAAAATTCAAAACCGCAGGTTTAAATTATTTATAAGGTTACATCTTATATGATTAAACAGTGTTAAATGTAACAGTATGGTAAGATTCAGAACAATTTGATGACTTTCAATTTTCACTTTTAACCACAGTGGAACTTGAAATTCTATCAAATAACCAATATTAATTATAATATCCAAATATACCCCCTATATATTTTTTATATTATCGTTAATAGTGATAGAATTTCAAGTTCCTGTGCTTTTAACACCCCCATTACCTTTGTAAATTAATAAACAATCAATAAAACAACTTATCAGAAGATGGGGATTTTAGTGTAAAACTAAAAACAGCAAATTTCACATTGAATATCAGTAAATTTATGGATTGAAAAATCCTAAAATTTCTAGACTATCTACATTTGTATTAATTTATTGACAGTCCATAAATATAATAATATCATAGACCTGTCAATTACCAACTAATTTGATAAAATAAAAATCATTATATCATCCAATGCTTTCTTATATAATGTATTTATTTTAATGTGAAATTATGTGTTTAAAGATAAATTTTAAACTTACTTTGAAAGTTGTATTTGATATGAAAATAATCAAGAAATTTTATTGACTTTCTGTTTGACAAGTTTAGGAAATTTTACTATTTTTACTTCCTCTTTTGGGTTTTAAAGAAAATATGAAGAGGAAATAACTCACTTCCTCTTCCTGTTGTAAAATTTAACTTGATTATTTCCCCTGTTAAAAAATGCTTATATTTGTTGCCTCTCTAATATAACAATATAAATTTCGGTAATCTCTTGTATATCGTTATAAGGGGAGTTTATACTTTCATTAAAAACGTAAAAGCATATTTACAAAATGTTTTTTTCAGCCATACTGGCATTATTAAAATTGTGTAAAACACAATAAATTCAGAAAAAAATATTTACTGTTTAAACATATGACAAAGTTTCCATAATGCTAACTTTAGTATAAATATTGTTTATTGATTATAAATTTGAAAGATGGTAACTAGAAAAACCTTTAAATTTAATGACAGTGCATCGTTTTTGTGATAAATATTGGTATTTTCATCAGAAAGCTAATAGAAATTTACAAAATAATCATCTGATGGAAATTTCGTCATATTTCTATTAGGACAGGTGATTCATTTTAAGCTAAACATTTTTTTTTTTGAAGAAAAAGAAAGAGTTGTCATGTTGGCGTTCCCGTTACCCTTTCTTTTGTCATCTGCTAAATGTTTCTGTAATGTATGTTTTAATTTGAGACTAAAAGTGAGTTGAAAATGAAGCAAAAGTCTATAACGCACCATAATATGTGGTTAATATATATAGGATGTTGAATGAATGTGACTTTAATACTGAATTTGTTATTGAACGGGATGAATCAAATATATTATGCGAGCCTCTGGTCTGTTAGCATAATATTATTTTACTCCACAAGTTCAATTAATTCAGTAATGAATTCTTTTCATCTCATACCAAAAACAAAAACTGTTTGAAGTGAAATAGTAGAACTGTGCGAAAAAAAAGTTACAACATACGGACCTCTTAGAATTACACTTGTTAAAAGAAGGGTGCACTCGGAAAATATGTCTGTTTGATATTGTATATGTATTTAATGGGTGAAATTCTAATACGTAGTGAATTTCTGAAAATGTTAGGATTACAATTAAAGGATTGTGGAATATAAAACGAATTAACAGATGACAAATTTAACAGCCGTGCAATACCATTTTTACAAAGTCGACAAAAGGGCATGGGTATGTACGGTGGCACAAAGATGATGTGTATGTTTCAATCGCAACCAGTGACTTCTATAGCAAACATTAACTTTCCATACCTTTTTTTTATTAGTGAATCTACCATTGAATTTCATAGGAGGCACTGCCTTCCAAGGAAACCATTTATTTTGTATGTAAACCAGTGACTTTAAGTATTAAAACGGTTGTTTTCCCTTAGCAATAGCAACTAGTAATGTTTTACACATGAAATATTTCCGCTTTCATTTATAGTTTACAATACTACTTGTTCCTTGTCATGGAGAGTAGTAATATTCAGATGGGTTATATTAGGGCCATCATGGCTCTCTTGTTTTTTAAAGTACCAAATAAAATTTGATCTATATATTTTCAGTTTGTTACCAGGAGTCAGTATATAGACCTAGGTAGTTTTTCAACCAAGTGAAACCTCTTTGATGGTTACAGAATGATAAATCTCATTCTGATTGTCTTTGTTCTATTTTTGAGTGCAACTATCTTCTTTATTATATAAGCAGCATAATAATAGGCCAAAGAATTTGATCAAAAACAAAGTACTGTACTGAACTTTAAAATAGTTTTATTTCATGTTACAAAATATAATATTTAAGTATACAATGTTTTGTAAATATACAAATACAAATTGAAAATATAAACATATTTGTGTCTAAATTAATGTAACTCATATATTTACCATATTTTAAAAAAAAAATATATAAAAGCAATTTTAGCAAGTTTACAAAAAAGTTAATTTCAACCCCTGTGCCGCATTGTTCAACCCCTGTGCCGTTGTGAAGGATTTTAAAATAACATGGCACAAATGCCCATGTCACTACTTCCAGGGTCACGGTTACACTTACAGGTTGAAGGTACACATTTGTGTCAGGACTGTAACTTTGCCATGCATTGAAGGATTTTTAAAAATAACAAGGCATAATTGTCTTCCATATCAAGACATTTTGCGTCCAATACCAATGTCCTTTTTTTCAGTCCTTTTCTTCAAGGTCAAGGTGTTAAGTTTGCTATAAATACCACTTCCTTTCAACAATTAGTCTCTTTTATTCTCTTTTCTTTTTAAAATACCTTTTCTGCAATACTTACAATGCCTTTTAGTAGTTGTTATTCACTTTTGTATGACAGTTAATGTTTTTTCTTTCATTTTTTTTAAATAGATTTGTTTAAGCCATTTATTTCTTCTTGCTTTCAGAAAAAAAGTCCAGCGTTGTCCCAGTCCAGCTGTGGCTCTTTGTATATTGTATCAAAAACATTATTGGTCAGTTATCATTATGATAGTAATTCCCCATACTAAATTATATTACTAATTTAACTTAACAGCGAAATGAGCCCTAAATGTCTCTTTAAGGGCAAGACTAGTGACATGTCTTTGGTTTGTAGTCTTAGGGCAAAGCTGCTATTTGTGGCTAAACAGAGGATGGATCCTCATTAAACATCCAGCCAGCCTGTCAGCCATCATCCATCTTGTGCATTAATAGTCAAATTAATTTTGTTGAGCAATAGTCTTGTGTTAAGAGGTTCTTCTAGTCTTGACTCTCAAATGTATAGTAAGATAATATTTATAGTAAGATACATTCTTTGTTTTTTGTTGTTTTTTTTATTTGATAATATTATGTGAAAATAAAATGTAACAAAAAAAATTATGAAAGCACATATTTTGACATTTGAATAAGTTTGATACACACCCAAGAATGGAGCTTGGATGTTTGCTACATTGTTCCTTGCCCTTAGCTGAAGAGAAAGCATGTAGCAATTTAATGCTTGCTGAGGTTTGTTTTCTTGTTACATACATTGTCCTATAACGTTAAGAGCTGTTTCTCTATGTCCAAGATTTTCATCAGTTACTATGGTTCTTATAAGTTTACTTAGTGCTTGTTGTTGATCTTGATGCCTTTGTAGATGACTGTAGATCTTGTATTGAAGGAAGTATAGGAAAGGTAGAGAATATACAACAGCCCAGTCCATCCAATTGTCCTTTATTTACTTGTCTGTGTATCATGTCAACTTGTGTAGATCTGAACATTTCATATTGTAGTTCATGAGGAATACTGTTGATCTCTTTCTGTATGAAGCTGACACAAAATGCTGTAATATGTTTTATACAGTCCTCACTTTGCTCACTACATACCCATTTGAATTTTGCTGCTCCTCATGGTGGTGGCTAACCCTAGCATCGATAGATTGGTACAACAGGAAAAGAGTTGAATATTGTTGATCATTGGCTCTCAGAATTAGTTCAGCCTTTTCCATATCTCCTGTACTGTAGAACACTGAAGACAATTTAAGTCTGTTAGTTAAGATATCTGAGTTTAAACCAGCTGATAGCCAGGACAATACTTGAGGTGATACTTGATTATTTTCATCGATGCTGTATGATGCTAGGATAGATCCATATGTGGTAAAAATTTGAATGCAGCATGTTATAATCTATTACCATTATCAATGAAGGTCATTAGTTTACAGATTGCTTCATTGTCCTAATGATTTTATCGTGTAAATTATCTAAAACAAGCTGATTACATCTACTTTTATGTCTTAAAATGTTTATACATGATAAGGTCAAATGATATTCATATATTTCAAGAGAAGACTTAAAATTGTATGCTCCATGTGGTACCATCCATGTTCAGTTTAAATTGCAGTCTTTGATCAAGATCATCGATTTCAATTCGAAGTAACGCATGTCCATCATTCTGTATCAATTCAGTTATATTTCTTTTTGAAACTTCATGTTCAGCTGTAAAATGGCCTGCCATCAAATTGTAATTATGCCCCCCCCCATGCAATATTGAATAAAATGGCTGGGGGGGGGGGGGGTATAGTGTTACTCTGTTCCGTCATTCCATCATTCCGTCATCATCAGTTTCCATTCATTATGTAATTGCAACAGTTGCACACATTTGACAAATGGATATATTATAGAAAAATGCAGGTCCAGTTCGAATTTGCTCATGGTTCGATGATTTTTGACAGAGTAATGTCCCTTGAAGAAATTTTCAGTTTCTGTTCGTTATCTCACCAACAGTTGTATACCAGGGCCAAAACACCATTTTTGGGGAAGGGGCCTCAGCCTTTTTCTTGGGGAAAATATGCATGATTTTGGCATACTTTGGGAAAAGGGGTCTCAAAATTAACACAAACTTTTAACAAGGTCTTCAAAATAGAAAAGCAAAAAAACACTGGGAAATACAAATAAGGCAGTAAAAGACCTTAATTCAACACCATTATTTAACTTTATTCTTAATTCTATGGGAAATGTCAAAAGACTGGGGAATTTTGAGGACCAAACTGGGGAAAAAAAGAGGCTAGTTTGGTTGGGGAAGCAGCCTATATTCGGCCTCTACAAAGAAGGGTTTTTTGGCCCTGTATACATTCAACTAAAATTTGACAATGGATATGTCAAAGGATTGCCCAGGTCAAGTTCTACTTTGGTCATCCTTTGATGATTTTGGTAGAGTTATGCACCTTTAGATTTGAAAAATATAAGAAATTATCAGTTTCTGTTCATTAATTATCACTCCAACAGGTGAACACATTTGATTTGTATTTGCAAGATATTTGCAAGATATTTGCAATATTTGCAATATAATTAATAACTAAATAAAAAGCACCAAAACACATGTAAGATACATATAAAAAATGAACACAAACTTAGCCAAATTGACATATGGACCTTTCCAGTGTTTATTATGAGTTTTATGTAAATTGGCTAACTTTGTTATCCAATTGCTACACTGAGATAATACAGAGTCACTGGTTGACCTGGTTTGTACAAAAGAACACATGCTTATGTTTGTGATACTGTTTGTGAGCAGTTGGCCTAGCAATGAATGGAAAAGGTGTGGCTAAATGTTCTGCTACGAAAAGCCGGAAAGGTCCATTATATGACACCTAATCTAAATTGGCATATTATATGACACCTAATCTAAATTGGCATATTATATGACATCTAACCTAAATTGGCATATTATATGACACCTAATCTACCAAACTTATGCTGCCATGAAGCTGAAGCATTAAATATTTCTTAATCATTGATTAATTTACTCTCTTGGCCCTGTATGAGACAGTATGAACAGTTTTTGTAGACCAAGCACATTTCTTTACATACTCATAGTCTTTTTGTGTAAGTGATAATGAGCAGCAAAGATAAGCTGTAAACACTGTAGCTAGAATCATCCTGTCAAACGTCATGTACGGCTGTAACCATAGAATCGCAATAAAACAACCGGCCCCAGAGTGTGGCATCTGTGCTAGAAGAAGTCTTAGACGTGGGCTGAGGTAAGTCTGTGCAGTCTGTGAGTTCTTTATATAGTCATAAACCTAAAAGGAACAAAGCAAATATAGTGATATAATAAAATTTATCCCCAAATCAAACAACAGTTACCTCCATTTTTTCTATTGACACCATTTATGATTTTCAAGGGAGGTTATCATTCTTTTGTACAGTAATTAGATATATATCAAATATGATTACTTTCTTTCAATAATCATAAACATTGCATAACATTGTTCTCCAAAGAAGCACACTGCATCTATACACAATGTCTAAACTTTAAGAGTATCGGGCTCATGTAGGTAGTTAAATAAAGAATTAGCTACCAAACAATACAGGTCAAATACTAATTAAGTAGTGAAGAACACAGGTCAAATACTAAGGAAATCAAATGCAATTAAGAAAAAAACACTAAAATAGTATTATACATGTATAATATGTACAAAAGCCCAAACTCTGCAACATGCTAGACTGTACCTAATGAACTTTCACCTTAAACTGGACATAAATTTATACATATTATCAATTGCTTACAAAATAACCCTTAAAATGATGATATAAATTTGAATAATGGCATTGGACCTGTTTTAAGGCAGGAACTATTCTGTTGATAATTGTTATCATTAAATAAAGCAGCAAAGAATTTAGAGCCTGGCCTGACTGTGCAAGCTTGACTAGCTCTAACTGATGGCATTTAATGCCCGCTGTAATTGGTCTCTGTATTCAATAAAGTTAATCTGGGACACAATATAGTGGGACAAGAAACTACCAACTAGATAAGCTGTCTTATGTTGGCTTCCAATTAACAGCTGATCAATTGATAAATGTAGGGTTTATATGCCGTTATACATTATCAATCAATTGAAAAATGTAGCATTCAAATGCTGTTATTATAAAAAGGTACAGTGAAAAAAAAATTGTAAAAGGACTGTAAAAATCTTATGCCAGTTGCTTTAGATTTCTATTCTTTATATTGATATTACGTACAAAAAATACCCTTTTAACAATGATCAATTTAACAAAATAGCGGGGCATTGGTCTGACTGGACAAGAAGAGAATGCAGCACTTATTTCCTGTTAAGAGCCTAGTTATACTTTGTCACAGAAACCTAGCTCAAATTTTAAAAATACATCATTGAAGTCTTCATCTTGTTCATGATGATTTTTACCTAACATAATCATCTAAGATTTGTTTGTTTGTTTGATGGGTTTTATGTCACACTGACACAGCTATCTAGGTCATATGGCCACATTCCAGCTTTACTGGTGGAGGAAAACCTCGGGTGCCCTTCCATGCTTTATTTCAGGCATGAACGGGCACCTGAGTAGAACCACCGACGTTCCGTAAGCTAGCTGGATAGCTTCCTCACATGAATGAATCCAAAGTCCCTGTCGAGATTCAAACACACAGCGGTGAGGGGCAAGTGTTTTGAAGTCAACGACCTTAACCACTAGGCCACAGATGCCCCAATCATCTAAGCACTTAAACTTTAAAACAACTAACCTGTCTAAGTCCTATCAAATGTAAAGGTTCATACACCAGTACTTGCAGGAAGAAAACTATCCACAAAACAAAATGGAGGACTGTAAAGAACAGGGCAAGAAATGGACTCTCCGAAATATCAATCACCCAGAAATGCACCTCAGGAATAGGTTGCCATAGATACATCAGCAACTGGAATAAAAAAATTTAACAGATATCTGATAAAAAAATGCTTGTTGAGAAACAATTTTTATCTCATACTTTTTTATGAAAAGGAACAATTTTTTATCTAATTTATTTTCATGAAATGTATTGACTTATATCTCACTTATTTTCATGAATTGAAACAATTTTATCTAATTTGTTTTCTTGAATAAAAATATTACTATCTCATTTATTTTCATGAAGTGAATTAATTTTAATCTCATCTCATTTATTTTTATGAAATGAAAAAATTTCTATCTCACATATTTCATGAAATAGAACAATTTTTATCTCATTTATTTTCATGAAGTGAATCAATTTCTATCTCATTTATTTTCACTAAATGAATCAATTTCTATCTCATTAATTTTCCTGAATGAAAATATTATTATCTCATTTATTTCATGAAATAAAACAATTTTCATTTATTATCATGAAATGAAACAATTTTATCTTTTTTATATTCTTGAATGAAAATATTATTAAAATGTATCTCATTTATTTTCATGAAATGGAACAATTTCTACTTCACTTATTTTCATGTAAACATTTTCTACTTCATTTATTTTCATGAAATTGAACAATTTCTATCTTATTAATTTTTATGAAATGGCACAATTATTATCTCCCTTATTTCCATGGTTAGAAATCTCCTTCACTTCAATGATGTGAAAACTAAAATTGTTATTTTTCATTTTTTATTTTCAGGTTGTGAAATGTTGATATTTTTTCTCATGATGTGAAATGGTTGCATCTTTTATGAGAAACTGATTAGCAGCAATACAATACTCTTTGCACATACATTGTACATATTGCAAATCATGATCTTAAATGTAGATAACACTGAAAATAATATAACGACATGTACAATTATTATCACGGTACAAATTTATAGTAAGTGCCTACTGGAATTTTCTATTTTTCACTTCATTATGGAACAAGAAAATAGTACTCTACAATATATCTATTAGGAAAAGTTATTAATCCCTATACCTGTGAGTTTAGATGAATGATGGCCAAAAGAAATGATTACATTCATAACAATTTTTTCTTTAATTTACATGAATTGCTATATATGTTACAATGTATATACTAATAGTCTCGATTTTTCACTATGTAACTTGTTACCACAGGAATAGCGATAAGGGCTATATCACTAACATATGTATATTTTTGATCTATTGATTAAATGTCAAGTTCCTGTGCTTGTTACATACTACATACCATCTGGGATATAATACAATGGGACAAGCAACTGGAGATAAGCGGCACATTATTTTTTCATCAATCCGGTTTATGCGCTACCATTTTGTCTTACAGATCTTTGTGAAATGGTATGAATATAAGATCAAAACACTGATCTTGTTGATAATTTGACAGTCGATTTGATGCCAGTATAAGACCACTTGTCTAGTTGGTTGTTGCTTGCCCCATAATACAACGCCCCAAGTACCGTCCTTAAATATGAAGGGAGTGGTGGCCTTGTGGTTAATGTGTCTACCTCTCAACCAAGTGTTCATGGGTTTGAACACTAATAGAGTCAGGACCATGTTTCTTCATATGACACTAGTACTGGTTGGTTCCAGGAAGCAGCGGACTCAAAAGTGATTAATATAAGTTGCAAGAACTTGTATTACAATCAAGATTAAATATTGCTTAAAAATGTTTCAACCAAATGTGAAAATACTCAATAATTAACCTTTTGCTTAATTGTGTAAAGAGCATAAAAATTAATGTGAAAATGTTTAATAAATTTAACAATTTTTGAACAGAAACAAAGTATCATTTTCATACATACCTGAAGCATCAAGGCTGAGGTGAGCACATACACAGTCCTTGAAATGGGAGATAAACCCCAATCATCCATCTTGTTGCCATACGTAGGAGAGGCAAGACCACTGTGCTGGGCCATAAATAATACAACCAGACAAACATCAATGGTAAACATTGTAAAGGTTGACGCATCTAACGAAATATAAAAAAGAATAATATTAATATAAGTTGTAACAGTACATGCTTGGAAGTAATTAAAGGCATTACATTTACATGTATTTATTCTTAAGCCATATATACAATTAAATGTACTTAAAATTTCGACATCAGACTGTTAAACTTTTGTACTGTACTGGCATGCAAGTAGTTCCCAAACAAAAGCGGAACCTGTAATTTGGTATAAATGCTTGATTTTTACTTGCATTTTTTAAACATTGGTATCAAATCACGCAGATGGGTGAACTAAAAAAATCTATGTGTCAGTTTGGCAAAAGGTTCAAAATATTTCATTTTAAATCACTTTCACCTGTGTGTTGTCCAAACATGACCTTGTAAACAATGGGGGTTCTGTTCTTGTGAGCATGTGCAGACATTCTGCCACATGAGGCATGTAAAATGTTTTTTCAATGTGTACAGATAAGTGGACAATATGACAACAACTTGTTTAAATATCAATGTTTTTTCTTTATTACCATATCAAATAAATTAATTGCCTTAATGAGTTAATAGCATGCACACAAGCACTTCATTATGTATGAAAATGTGAACAGTAGGAATAACAGTACTGGATAATAGTTCCAGTGTTTAGTCCTAAGACTCAACTAAAACAAGTGTCTGCTTCTTTACCTAATTATGTAGTTGCATGTCCATGATTTAAGAGATAAACCTACTGTAAAACTAATACTATGACCACAGCAGATTTGGTACAGAAAAATGAAAAACAGGACTGATATAACAGTATTGTAAAATTAATATGGATTATATTTTATGAATAATGTACAAGAACTACACATAATAATTAAACTAGAACTCTGCGAGTCGGATGTGTTGCCTTGTGAACAATATAGTTTAAGCAAATGGCCAGGACAAAAATGAAATATAAAAGGGCAATAACTCAACAATAATAAAGTGCAGAGCAGCAGTTTCCAAGCACTGCACTTCTTATCAATAAGATCTATCATTCTATGAAGTTTCAGGTCCATATCTTTTATAATTTATGAGAAATGGCCTAGACAAAAATAAAGTATGAAAATTAATAATAGGGGTGTGGATCGTCGGATAAGTGACGATCCAATCCGAACCACGATTCAGCACTTACGATTCACAAATCGAACCACAAATCTTTTGTTATCAAGACACCCATAAAAACATGTACATGTATTAGTTATAAAAACATGTTTATTAAAAACAAACAACGATACTAAACATTAAACATATAAAATATAAACTAGGTTTATGTTTTTATTCTTTGGAAGAGTATTTTTGTTTTGTTTTATGAAACGAACTACTTCCTAACTCAGCATTATGGTACGGCACCTTGTATTTAGGTAAACTTCCCATAATTTATACTCAAATCGTATTTTTCTCGATTTTAAGAGTGTAAGAAACAGTGAATGTATAGAAAAAAAATAGATCGCGATACACGATCTTTGGGCTTACGAATATTCAAACTCGATTTTTCACTTTGATTCGTGATTATTCGAGTACTCGGATACTCGCCCCAGCCCTAATTAATAAAGGGTAATAATTCAAAAATAAGAAATGCAGAGTACCGGTTCTTGTACACTGCACTTTTTCTTAATGAGATATATCATCCTATGAAGTTTCATGTCCATAGCTTTCATACTTGAGTAGAAATGACCTGGACAAAAATAAAGTAAGAAAATTAACAAAGGGCAATTACTCAAAAAATAAAAAATGCAGAGTAACGGTTTTTGTGCACTGCACTTCTTCTTAATGAGATCTATCATCCTATGAAGTTTCAAGTCCATAGCTTTTATACTTTCGGAGAAATGGCCTGGACAAAAAGTATGAAAATTAACAAAGGGCAAAAACTTAAAAAATAAGAAATGCATAGTACCAGTTCTTGTGCACTGCACTTCTTCTTAATGAGATCTATCATCCTATGGAGTTTCAAGTCCATAGATTTTATACATAAGGAGAAATGGCCCAGACAAAATCAAAATATGAAAATTTACAAAGGGCAACAACTCAAAAATTAAGAAGTGCAGAGTACCGGTTCTTGTGCACTGCACTTCGGTTTATTGAAAGAAGCATGCATACCGAGTTTGAAGTCAATCCGACTTATAGTGACTGAGTTATGCTCCGGCCAAGTTATAGGGGACGCTGACAATGACGCCGCCAACAAAAGTAACCCCTATATGTCGCCTTTTCAAGGCGACACAAAAAGTGTAATTTCTTTACCTCATATCAGGCCTCACAACTAACGGTAATTCTATATTTTGAACATACTGTTATTTCCATTATTTGTATGACGAGCTGAATATTGGTATGTATCAGTTTTTTGGTGAGTGAGCATATTGAAAATTGTTTTTAAGTGAACATTGTTTTTAAGTGTAACTGAACATTATACTGTAAACATTTTTTTTCCCGATTTATTCTACATGCAATATTGTGTTAACATACATTTTGGTTACATAACGAACCACTTTCAACACTGACATAATTTAATGCTTCACCATCTGAAATCGAAAATTATTTGCCTTAGTGTCGTAGGGTTAAAATATTATTAATGTATTCCGTTGTTTCATGTGTTTTTGTTTATTTCTAAATCATGACCTGACTTGTACTCCTACTTTCCCTAATGTTTTCAATATTATCTACTTCAAACTAATCTTTGATCTGTTTATACACGTGACACTTTTCAACCAATCGTTTGACTTATCTAGTCAAACTACACATGTAGATGTACAGAGCCAAGGCCGCCTGCACATCTGTGCTCTGTGTGGCTGTGCAGTCTTAAGTTTTGTACTTTTATATTGAAATCCCTTAAAATCATAAAGAACTGTTCAAAATTCATGCTGGCAGCACAAGCATGTCTAGGATTTCGTGATATAGTCTATCTGCTCGAGTCTATATGATTGATCTGTAAGTAGCTAGTCTAAAAATATTCTATGCAAAATGATATTTGCACATAAATCACGTACATAATATGGGATGTAGCTTAAGTTTAATCCTTACCATCGTCATTTTGGCGGCAAATTCAAGAAAGAAACTCTACAAAATGCAGAATAGCACGAAATTTACAAACATAATATGGGATGAAGCTGAAGTTTACGCTAACCCGAGTCATTTTGGAAACTTGCAGAATTGCACGAAATTCACGAACATAATATGGGATGAAACTTAAATTTACGCTTACCCGAGTCATTTTGGGGAAAATTCAAGAAAGAAAGAAACTTTGCAAACTGCAGAATAGTAAACAACGTGTATACAGTTGCTGCAGATGCAACGATGCAAAATAATGCACGGACAATCATTGTTTTGTTTGTCAAGAACCAAAACACGGAAGTAAATAATGTAGGGTCGCTTAGGAAATTAAAATATAAGAAATGACTCATCTGAAAGAAAAAGGAATAAAAGAATAAAAACACACAGGTTTCTGGTTAAGTAATATTTTTATAATCTAAGAATGAGTTCGGATAATTAGATCATCGTTAAAATACTTAAATTGTCGCATGCATAGTTGATGTAAGCATTCAAGGGCAGTCACTCTGTAACATTTCCTGTAACAAGTTCAGGTCAAAAATGATAATGATATTGATAGGTCATATTCTAGGACTACAAAGCGAAAATGGCTGGTAGGCAGATACCTTCAACTATCAGGAAACTTATTGCATTGCGTGCTAGCCCAAACTTTAGGGATGTTATTACTTTTAAAACGATGCCCACCCCTAAACCCAAAGATGGAGAGTTACTGGTGAAAAACAGGTAAATAAAATTTTCATGTCCATGTCAAGTTTTTTTGTAATCTACCCTAAAGTTGTGCACAGGTCACAGTGGAATGTAGGACGGTGTTTGTTTGCTATAGATAACAGTCTATTGATTAAAGGGGAAACTATGACGGTTCACTTAATGGAACAAGAATTTTTACCATATATATATACTTGGGTCAGTGTGAGATCAGGGTTACATAGCGTATTTGAAATTGAATGAGAGAAGTGAAAGCTTATTTGTGTTTAAATATTTTTGATAGAGAAAATTACATAATATAATTATGGCTAGTAAAAAATTACCGTCGACCATACGCAAGCTTGTTGCAACGAGGGCAAGCTCAAATTTCAGGGAGGTTGTTTCCATAGTTACACAGCCAACACCAAAACCAGGTGATGGTGAGGTTCTTGTAAAAAACAGGTAGGAATTTACGCTTATTAAATGTATGTATGCTCGATTTATTTATTGTGAAAAGTCTGCAAAAGAGATTTAATATTTAATGCATGGCAGAGTTTCAAAATGAGGGAAGTTGCACAATTTTTGATGATCAAGTGGTAGATGTTTCTTCAAAAAGAGAGAGATTTTAGGATTCTCAATAAACAAAGAAGAAAGTTCTGACATCAAAAAGAGGGAGATTTCTTTAATGTGTGAAAATACCCCTTATTTTAAGAAAAATCTTTGAAAATATGCCTACAGAAAGTGGGAGTCGAGACTCCCGCTAAAAGTGGGAGAGTTCACATGTATGATTAAGTTATATGTAAGTATGGCTTTAACTACAGCCATGATGTAAGTATATATATTTATATGTAATATAATGCTTGATTTATTTATTGTGAAAAGTCTGCAAAATAGATTTAATATTAAATGCATGACAGAGTTAAAAAAAATGAGGGAAGTTGCACAATTAAGTTATATGTAATAATTATGGCTTATATTTTTTACTAGCCATGATAATATTGTATAATTTTTTTCTGTCAAAAATAAGCTTTCACTAATCTCTCATTCAAGTACGCTATTTGATGTAGATATGGCCTGATTACTTGTTTCTACAATTTCCAATGATTCTCTCACTCCGGTTTTCCAAAATAATCTTTTCAATTGTGCAAAATGACTCAAAATGAAGTACAATTTAAAATTAACTTAAATTGGGTTTAAAATCACAAATTAAATCAAGATTCAATTTAATTCTGAGAATATTTCTTTATAAGTGTTTGTATATTTTTAAATTATTGTTTGTAGATTTTTATATTTTAAATGCCCAAGTATAATAATATACATTGTAACTATTTTTTTAAATTTAACCCTTTCACTGCCATAGGGACACCTTATGCCGTCCCTTTTATTTTCGGCGTATTTGCCATATGGATGGCTTTAGCCGTTTCTATAATAAAAATAGTAGATAATAATAAATTGATAATAATAATTATAAAAATAATAATAAATATAAAGAAAATTATACCATCGACAATAATTATTATTATACTCACAGATTTGGAAACATACATAATTATTATAATACTAATAACAAATAATAATAATTATATTAATTAATAATATAGTAATTTCTTAGAAAACCCTCTGGCAAATAGGTGATCAATAAAACAATTACCCTCTGGCAGCGAAAGGGTTAAATTATTTTTTAAAATTCTTTTAGACCTTATTGGAGCTTCTTTTAGTTTAAGTATCTTAAAGTAAAACTAAAATAGCAGTCTGATAAAAATAATCCATTTTGGCAAACATTTTTTGTTGGAACTGTTGTACAAGAGGAGAGCGAAATAAGTAGTTTATTTTGATATAATTATGTATATTATTTTTATAAGAGGTATTTTGTAAGTGACAAATTTTTTCTATGCCCAGGTTTGTTGGCATAAATGCATCTGATATCAACTTTACAGCTGGCAGGTATGATCCTACAGCTAAATATCCTATAGACATAGGCTTCGAGGTAAGAACTTCTTTCATATGCTCAACTTTCCTTTTTTTCTTGAGTTTTGTTTTTCAGTATAACTAAATTGTTTATCAGCTTAAGACTTGTTTTGTTGTTCTCTAACTATATCTAAATTGTTTATTAGCTGAATGTTGTTACATAATACTGAAATACTGTTACTGAATACTGAGTACTGTTACATAATACTGAAATACTGTTTATACTGTTACATTATACTGAAATAATGTTTCAGAATACTGAATACTGTTACATAATACTGAAATACTTTTTCGGAATACTGAATAGTCTGTTACAATTTATACTGAAATAATGTTTCAGGATACTGAATACTGTTACATAATACTGAAATACTGTTTAAAAATACTGAAATAATGTTCCAGAATACTAAAATACACAAATGTACTTTTAAAGAATACTGAAATACTGTTCAAGAATACTAAAATACTGTTAAAGATTACTGAAATATTGTTACAGAATACTGAAATACTGTTAAATGATACTAAAATACTGGTTAAGAATACTGAAATACTGTTTAAGAATACTGAAATACTAGCCTGGGATTCAGGCGTTGATATTTTTTGCTTATTCATAACATACGCGCTATTTCATACTCGATCGTCATAGATAACAAACATCTCGGGGAACCCAGGCTACTGAAATACTATCAAAGGCAGGTGCTAAACCCAGCAAAACAAACAAATGCAAAATGTTTGATACAAATAAGTGTATTTTATTTTCATCCAGGCTGTAGCAGAGGTTGTGGATGCTGGTCCCAATGCAATGTACAAACCAGGCCAACCTGTCATGTACTTACAGTATGGTGCCTTCAGTGACTATAAGGTAAAGCATTGGTATTTAAATTCAGGTACATCATAATTGGCAGTGACTGTAATGAAATGAACTGAAAGTGATTTTTTTTAATTATTAAGAACAAACCTTAGCTGTGTTGTATTTTTTGTCATGACCTTCTTGCCAGCGTTGGTGTCAGTTAAAGTTTTTGTTAAGGCCATTTTCTCAGAAACTATAAAAACACTTCCCTTCAAACTTGGTATACCTGTTTATTATCATGAGAAGACACGATTTCAGAAAGGCAGACAATCCTTAAATTTTTTTTGCAAAGTTATGCCCCTTTTTCTGGTTAATCTTTTTGTTAAGGTGCTGTTTCTCAGTAAATTTCAAAGTAATTTCCTTCAAACTTGATCAACTTGTTCACTATCAAAATATGACACCATTTCAGAAGGGCAGATAACTCTTAAAATTATTTTAACAAAGTTATGCCCCTTTTTGACTTAATTTTTATCTTTTTAAAGGTCAATTTCTCAAAAACTGTCAAGGTTAATCATTTCAAACTTGGAATATTTTTTCAAATTTAAATTGGAATGCATTTCTGAAAGGTAGATAACTTTAAAAAAAAATTTTTTTTGAGTTATGAACCCTTTTTAGTTTGAATTTCTTGGTTAACTTTTTTGTTAAGGTACATTTCTCAAAATGTATGAAAGATATTCATTTTAAACTCAACGGAGAACTTGTTCACTATTAAGTTTGAAATGCATTTGCAATAGGGAGATAACATGGAAAGCATTTTTTACTTTATTATTTCCCTTGTTAGACTCAGAATAGTTGCCTTTTAAAAAAACAAAAAAAAAACAACAAAAAAACAATGTTAAAGGTATTAACTTAAGACTTGAAATATTAATTTTGTCGACTATTAAGGGCAGGTAAGCCTGATAAGCATGTTTGCATAGTTATGCCCTCTTTCCTATGTTGCTGTTATGTTATATCCCAGTACTGAGAAAAGTGGAAGGCGCTGTCCCCAGACAGGTCTTGTTTATAATTTCTACAAGAACTGCAAATTTTTTGTTAATCTTTAATGATAAAGTACCGGCTGAATAGCAAACAGTGCAGACCATGATCAGATTGCGCAGACCTTGGTCTGCACTGGTAACAGTCATGGGTAGAATCAGTTACCATTAGCATTCTTAGGGTTAAGTTTATTTGCCAATGAATAGCATCTTTTTTTTATTTCAAGAATGGTCTGTATAAATAATTTTTATAAAATTTATTTGAAATACTAACTTTCTCTGGATTCCTAACTAATTTCACAAATCATAGGTGTAAAGTTTCTTTATATTAGATAAAGTAATTTAAATTAGTAAAGAAATTGAGGGTATGACAATTTTTGTTTAAACATTTTCAGATTGTTAAAGCTAGTGTCTGTGTTCCATTACCAGAAGTGAAAGCAGAGTATCTCCCTTTCATATTGAGTGGAAATACAGCAGCCATATCATTAGATAAGGTGAGTGTCTGAGGTGTAGAGAAAAATTTGCCGTCAGTTATTGTTAACTAAAATTCTTTGGGTTTGCTACACAATATGATTCAGCACTATATTAACTAAATTTCGAGAAGTCTTTCTGATTCATGATACTTTAGATGAAAGTTTTTTAATGTTCCAAAAAAAAAGTTTCTGGGAGCATAGTTTTTGCTCTGTCCTCTCAGTGGTTTAATGCTTCCGCATTGTGTAATTCTTCTGCACTGCCCTACAGATTCCCCTGGCAACTCCATTAAGTGATAGTTATCTTCTATAATTGATAGGTAGAAACCTTGGATGGTTCTCTGAGTTTGGGTGGAGTTAAGGGTCAAGGTCACTGATGGTTCAAATGGATTTTTTTACACTATTCCTTATATAATATTTATTGACTAATGCCTCTAATATTTGTTTGGCACATATATAAATTAAACCTTGGGTGGTTTCCTAATTTTGTGTAAAGTTCAGGATCACTGAGACCAAGGTCAAGGACACTGATGTCTGTACAGCCTGTATTTGTTGACATTGAATGTGCAATGAAATACATTGACAAATGTTCAGGTTCTGAATATTGCATTAACTTTTGAGATTTCACAATACATATGTATACATTTGGGATAATATGTTTTTAGTCCCCTACCGGTTTACCGGAGGGGACTTTAGGTTTACCCTCCGTCCGTCTGTCAGTCCGTCTGTCTGTCCGTCAGTCCGTCCGTCCACAAAACTGGATCCCGCGATAACGCAAAAAGTACCGAAAATAATTTAATGAAACTTGATATATGGATAGATGGCAGTATGGAGATTATGCACGTCTTTTTCTTTTCTTCCTATGTTGAAAATTCTGGTTGCTATGGCAACAAATAGACTGAAAATATGGCAAATTTTACACATAACCTGGATCCCGCGATAACGCAAAAAGTACTGAAAATATTTTTATGAAACTTGATATATGGATAGATGGCAGTATGGAGATTATGCACGTCTTTTTCTTTTCTTCCTATGTTGAAAATTCTGGTTGCTATGGCAACAAATAGACTGAAAATATGGCAAATTTTACACATAACCTGGATCCAGTGATAACACAAAAAGTACTGAAAATATATTTATGAAACTTGACATATGGGTAGATGGCAGTATGGAAATTATGCACATCCTTTTTTATCTTCCTATGTTGAAAATTCTGGTTGCTATGGCAACAAATAGACTGAATTTCAAGATTTCTGATTCTAGTTTTTAAGTTTTTTCACTATAAGTTCTTTATTTCTCAAGGTATTTTCTTCAAACTTTAAATATAAGTTGCTTGTCATCAACCACATTATATGTGACAAGGTTTACAACTCTAGCACAAAATTTATCAGAATTACCTCCCTTGAACTTAAAATTTTCATGAAAAAAACATTATTTTTTTAAATAACTTCTTTTTCTGAATGTATCTACTTCAAACTTCATATAAATGTTTCTTATTGTCACTCAACATTTGTGAGTGTTCAATACTCTAGCAAGACTATTTCCAGAATTATGCCCCTTTTGAGAAATTGGTAATTTTTACTCCAACTTCTTCAATCATGATAGGATTTTAAAAATGTTATATTTTGATAACAGGGATGTTTAAAAAATAACTTTAGAGTGTCCTTCAGTCCGTCTGTCTGTACATTAAAACTGTTTCCTGTGATCACTTTTAAAGAACTTTTTCAACAAATTTACTTAAAATAGGAACCTAAGTGAATGGCCAATGGCCCTTTAGAATGTTGCTTGGGCTCTTACCGGTAGGGGACTTATGGATTGCTTGCAATACTATGATAATTGCTTGTTCATTATGTAATTAAATGGTATAGTAATGAATATTGTAATGTATATCAAGAGTTATGTCCCTTTTGTATATATAAAACTTTTGTCTGGTTCCAGGTTGGAGAACTCAAGTCAGGTGAGACAGTATTGGTAACTGCTGCAGCAGGAGGTACAGGCCAAATTGCTGTAAGTTTATATGCATTTTTATAACTAAAATCCCAATAAAACTTGACAATTTTCCATTTTCAGTCATATTTTGTCTTATTTTAAATTGACCATTTTCTGTGATTATTAAATTTGCTTTCAGTTTACTATTGTACTATTGTACATACCAATAATATTTAATGATTGTTGTCAGTCATATGAGAGTTGTTCAAAAAGAAATTAGACTAAAAGTCTTGTGTCATCATATTGCATTAAATTTAGAATATTTTAATGTGAACTGTGATCGTAAAATATTTTCTCTACAATTTGAGCATGAGTTTATTGAAGTATTGTGATAAATGCGTGTCCCTTGAATATTGAATAAGAATGGTTACACAGACCTGGTGCAGTGTGTTATAAAAATCATTGAAGCTTAGAGTTGTACTTCTAATTTATTCATGATTTATTATCTGTTTTTCCATATATTCCACTGACATGTTTTAATATATTTAAGTGACATTATCGGCGCCTTGTCCGTCTGTCCGTCCGTCTGTCTATCCGCACTCACAGGAGAGTAATTTATGTGGCTAGAGGGACAATAGGTAACTGTTCTTTCTCTTTGATGTCATTCATTCCGTAATGCTTTTATGTGGCTATTTTCTTTTGTGTGGCTAAAAAGAACAATAGAGAGAACAATAGGGTAGCCACATAATTACTGTCCTGTGAGAACTTCCGTCTGTCCGTCCATTGTCTTGTCTGGAGTATAACTTGAAAACCCTTGGAGATAATTTGTTTAAACTTCATACAGTGGTAGAGGGCATTGAGGGGGGGTGCAGTGTCAAAGAACCATAACTCTATTTTGCCTGGTTTTTGAATTATCTCCCCTGATAGAAAAATCTTGTCCGAGACATAACTCTAAAACTATATGAGATATCAACATGAAACTTTGTAGGTAAATAGATCTCAATGGGTAGATGTGCAGTGCATAAGAACAATAACTCTTTTTATCCTAATTTTGGAGTTATTGCCCTTTGTTAATTTTAACACTTTGAACTTTGTCCGGAACATAACTCTAAAACTATAAGAGATATCTAGATGAAACATTGTAGGTAGATAAATCTCATTGAGTAGAAGTGCAGTGCAAAAGAACCATAACTCTTTTAAGCCTCATTTTTGTGTCGCCTTAAAAAGGTGACATATAGGGGTTACTTTTGTCGGCGGCGGCGGCGTCTGTGTCGGCGTCGGCGTCCGCTAAAGCTTGTCCGGAGCATAACTCAGTCACTATAAGTCTAATTGACTTCAAACTTGGTATGCATGCTTCTTTCAATAACCCGAAGTGCAGTGCACAAGGACCGGTACTCTGCAGTTCTTATTTTTTGAGTTATTGCCCTTTGTTAATTTTCATACTTTAATTTTGTCCGGGCCATTTCTCTTCAACTAAAAAAGCTATAGACTTGAAACTTCATAGGATGATAGATCTCATTAAGAAGAAATGCAGTGCACAAAAACCAGTACTCTGCACTTCCTAATTTTTGAGTTATTGCCCTTTGTTAATTTTCATACTTTATTTTTGTCCGGGCCATTTCTCCTAATGTATAAAAGCCATGGACTTGAAACTTTATAGGATGATAGGTCTCATTAAGAAGAAGTGCAGTGCACAAGAACTGGTACTCTGCATTTCTTATTTTTTGAGTTATTGCCTTTTGTTTATTTTCATTTTTTAATTTTGTCCGGGCCATTTCTCCTTAAGTATAAAAGCTATGGACTTGAAACTTCATAGGATGATAGATCTCATTATTAAGAAGTGCAGTGCACAAGAATCGGTACTTTGTATTTCTTAATTTTTGAGTTATGGCCCTTTGTTAATTTTCATACTTAATTTTTGTCCAGGCCATTTCTCCGAAAGTATAAAAGTTATGGACTTGAAACTTCATAGGATGATAGATCTCATTAAAAAGAAGTGCAGTGCATAAGAACTGTTACTCTGCATTTCTTATTTTTGAGTAATTGCCCTTTGTTGATTTTCTTACTTTATTTTTGTCCTGGTCATTTCTCCTCAAGTATGAAAGCTATGGACTTGAAACATTATAGAATGATAGATCTTATTGATAAGAAGTGCAGTATACAGAAATGCTGCTCTGCACATATTATTTTTTTAGTTATTGCCCTTTGTTATTTTTCATATTTCATTTTTGTCCTGGCCATTTCCCCTAAACTACATTGTTCACAAGGCGACACATCTGACTCGCGGAGTTCTAGTTGAATTATCTCCCCTTATAGAAAAATCTTGTACGGGACATAACTCTAAAACTATAAGAGATATCAACATGAAACTTTATAGGTAGATATATCTCAATGGGTAGATGTGCAGTGCACAAGAATCATAACTCTGCATTGCCTAATTCTGGAGTTATTGCCCTTTGTTTATTTTTACTTTTTGAAGTTGTCAGGGACATAACTCAGAAACCATAAGAGATATCAACAAGAAACTTTGTAGGTTGATAGTGCAGTGCAAAGAACAGTAAGTCTTCCTTGCCTAATTTTGGATTTTTGCACTTTGAACTTTTTCCACAACTACAAGAGGTGTACTTTCCTGTGTCCAAAACCTATTCGGGGAGCATCACCCGGCTCAAACCGGGCTCTTGTTGTTAGCATGCACCAGATCACATACCCCTTGTCATTTGAAATTTTCACAGAATTGTTATTTGTATACATATTATTTAGAATTTTTCACTGTATATGGTGGACATTTTCCAATATTTGTGGCTTGTAAAATTGTGTACATAAATTAAAAGATGTGAACAATAGAGCTGCAGTCTTATTACTTTATGAACAACCCTCGTATCAACTATTGTACATGAACATTTTCTGTGATGGCTGCTGTCAGTCTAATATTGTACTATTGTACATGATGTGGTGCTTTATCTTGTAGGTTCAATGGGCTAAGTTGAAAGGATGTCATGTGATAGGTACATGTTCTTCTGAAGATAAGATACAGTTCCTGAAGGTATTCTTTTAATACAGTGTATGTTTGATTAAGATGGAGACATGTGTTAAGTTGATACATTGTATGTGGAGACCGGTTTGCCTAAAATACGAAAGTGAGATTTTTGACGAAAGTGTGCGAAAGTCAGACTTAAAATTTGAATTGTACCGTTTTAGTAGAATTTCACAGTGATTTTTCTGTTTGTAGATGTATACTATTAACAACTAATAATATTTCTTTTCAAGAATAATCCCTATGATGATTTAATCGCCATTTATTTGCACAATTTCTATATCTTCCTTTCGCTCACTTTGAGAAATACGTTAGTGACATGTAAAATATTAAATAATAGAGTTTAAATTGAAATTTATACTAAAATTGCAGTTTGCAGACGTATATTATCTGAAATATATAATATCTATTTTCAAAAATAATCATTATGATGATTTAATCACCATTTGTTTGAATAATTTCTACGCACAAGTTCTGAGATCTTCCTTGCGCTCACATAGAAGAATATACGACTTGTAAAATATGAAATAAAGCGTTGAATTGAAAGTTATACATATATTGCATTTATCAGGTGTATAATATCCAAAATTAATATTATTTATTTTCAAAAAATAATCATTATGATGATTTTTACCCCATTTTTTCTACATAATTTCTATATATACAAGTTCAGCAATCTTCCTTTCGCTCACATAGAAAATATGAAAGTGTCCTCTAAAATATCAAATATAGAGTTTAACTGAAATATAGTGATGAATATCAAATTATTAGTTTCTGAAAATATACGTTTACAAACTGCAATTTAAGTACATTTTCAATTCAAACTCTATATTTAATATTTTACAAGTCACTTTCATATTTTTCTATGCAAGAGAAAGGAAGATCGCTGAACTTGTATATTAGGCCAATAAATGGCGATTTTTTCATGATTATGGTTATTTATTATAATATACATAATTAGTAGCTAATAAGTTAGGTCTACAAACAGCAATTTTACTGTAAAATTCTATTAAAACGGTACAATTCAAATTCTAAAAGTCCCTTTCGCTCACTTTCATTAAAAATCTCACTTTCGTATTTTAGGCAAACCCTGTGGAGATAACATTTATTACAAAGTGATTAAAGTTTCTGATATAGAAATATAGTTCATAGAATCTTAGTCCTAAGTGTATCCTAAGTCTAAGGACATAAAACCAACTTCAGGACTAGCTTAAGACTGTTTCAATAAACATTTTTATCTTCATTCAATTAAGTAAAAAATTACTGTAGACTATAAATAAATGCATTTTCCTGAAAAAAGTTCAGAAATACATTGACAGGCTCTTGTATTTGCAATTTGTTAATGCCAAACAGTATTCCAATTCAGAAATTAAAATTAGATATTACTACAGAGTTCATGAATGAAAATGAAATTAATTAAACTTAAAAAAATTATATTTTTTTTTGTTTGTAATACACATTAAATTTAGCGTTTTTCATTTATCTGATTCTTCACAAACTTTTGAAAGACTTCTTTGATTGGATTTGTATAAGATATCATTGAATATGATACAAAATTTCATGTCTTGTTTCTTTTCTTTATATTTGTGATATAGAGTTATGCAGCCTTTTTAGGCCAATGCGGCTGTTTTTTACCCCACACATTTATGTTAAGTTTTATTGTTTATTACAGAATATAATGTTTATTGGTAATAAGTTTGTAAACATTTTGTGAAAGCTTAGCCTGCTAAATATGTATTTTCTTTCTTCAGTCAATAGGCTGTGATAGACCAGTGAACTACAAGACAGAGAACCTTAGAGAAGTTTTGAAAAAAGAATATCCGGTAAGAATTAAAATATTTTTCGATCAAATGAGGTACAAAATAGCTTTTAGCTTACAATGAATTTTTTTATTTATCTGTGCATAGATATTTAACTGTATGAATCTGTTCAATTGTTAACAATTTACATGTATATATAATTTGATACTATGAGTCAGCAGTTTCCCTTTGTAAAAATTGCCCCATTTGTTTCTTTGTATGAGAATTATTTAAGAATTCAAATTGCAGAATTGGAAGCTCTGAGGCCAGCAGCTTGTACTTTTAAATGTTACTGTATCTGCAATGTTTTAGGGGTGGTTTTGGTCAAGTGGTTAAAGTCATTGATTTTAAACCACTTGCCCTTTACCGCTGTATGTTTGAATCCCAATGGTGACATTGGATCTTTCACATGAGAAAGCTATCAGGCTTAGGTTTATGGAATGTCTGTCGTTCTACTCATGTGTCCGTTTGTGCCTGAAAATAATGCATGGAAGAGCACCTGAGGTCTTCTGCCACCAATAAAGCTGCAAAGTTACCATTTGACCTACACTGTGTTAGTGCAAGGTAAAACCCAACCCCCAAAGAAAAACCTGCAATGTTATAAAATGTACTTGGCTAGCTTAATGCTTATCAACTGTTGTACATATGTATTTATTTTATTTTTCAAACAAAATAGAAATGTCATTTGATTAAGCCATGTTAATTGTTCTTTTATTTTAGATACATTATAAGTTTTAATTTTTTCAATAATGTGAACCAGTAACTAATAATGTGAGTGTGATTATGCATAAAAAAGTGTTGAACATACGGCAACAAAAATATATTTTGTTTTCCAGAAAGGGCTAGATGTTGTTTATGAAACTATTGGTGGAGACATGTTCGATACCTGCGTTGAAAAGTAATACTTTATTTGAGCCGTGTCACGACAAAACCAACATAATGGGTTTGCGACCAGCATGGATCCAGACCAGCCTGCGCCTCCGCGCAGTCTGATCAGGATCCATGCTGTTCGCTTACCAACCCTATAACAAATAGAGAAACTGATAGCGAACAGCATGGATCCTGATCAGACTGCGCGGATGCGCAGGCTGGTCTGGATCCATGCTGGTCGCAAACCCATTATGTTGGTTTTGTCGTGACACGGCTCATTTGTTTTTCTTTCAATGAAATTGAATTACAGTCAAGTCTGTGCACAAGGACCACCTGTAGGGTTGTCATTTGTGGAGAGGTGACCTTTATTCTTAGACAAACTATACTGGTATTGCAAATAAAGAGATATGGTATTTAATGATTGTGAAGTCTCTGTTTGCAAGTGGATCAGGGTTTTTCTATGATAGAAATTTATATCAATTTAAGGCTTAGTGTTTGATAAATTCAATTCTTTGACATTTTGAGATCTATGTAAACCTATGTGACCACTACAAAGCCATGATAGCCTGGCTGATCTAACAAGACTCTTTACTGTTGACTGTTCCTCTATTTTGGTTGCATATATTGCTGAGGAAGAAAATATACTGCCTCTCAACGCTTTAGTTTTGACTGCGCCAACATCTTCAAATTCTTTCATTTGAGAAAGCTTTAATAGTAGTCTGAGCTAGCTTACGGAACGTCAGTGGTTCTACTCAGGTGCATGTTTGTGTCTGAAATAATGCACAAGGGTGCACCAGAAAACTTCCTCCACCAGTAAAGCTGGAAAGTCTCCATATGACCTTTACTGTGGTGCGACATAAAATGGTTTAAACCCAACCAAATAAAAACAAAACAAAGAAAAAAAAATGAAATATAGTAAAACATTACACTGTTCTGCTGAATTATGGAAGGTTGGTGGTTCTACTCAAGTGCCTGCACTACAGAAAAGATTGAGAGTTGTCATATGACCTCAGCAGTGTAGGGCTGAACCAAGAAACCCACAACGTTAGGACAATACATTGTCTACATGTCCTGAGATTTAAATATTAAATTTTGTTTTGATAAAATATATTTGGCTTTAAAGGAACTCCACTGAGGTCCGAAAGCCTAAAATCTTTAAAATTTGAATTTCTTACATAGGTTAGTTGGGGCACTAACTAAATGATATGCAAAAGATAATTAAGAAATATACTCAGAAATAATTTGAATTTTGTATTTTTATGCTATTTTAGCTAAATTTGAGTGAAAAGTGTGAATGAATTTTGGGTCATTTTTGACAGTTATCAACATGTTATTGGTCTAGAGTCTAGACCTAGTCATCAAATGGAGAATTAATCGCGAAAAATTATTTCCAGTCCCATCATGTCAAAAAACCTGAAATGAGTCCCTTTAATTAAAATTCACAACTATAATGATTCATACCTCAATGATCATACCTTGCTGTCTCCATTTTGTCGACTGTCAAGTATTAGGAGTTTAATAATGAAATACCATTTGCCAACAATATCAAAGTACAAATATAAAGAATAAGAACTAGACGATAATGGTAAAATAAGACAATTTAAGACTGTATGTTTTTTATTTACAGTTTGGCTACACATGGGAGATTGATTATCATAGGATATATCGAGAACTATGAGACAGATAAGGGATATAAACCATCCCATACAGTTTCCACATTACCAGCAAGAGTAAGTTTTATTTTGGCATATTGTTAGCATAGGTTGTTTTTTTTTCTTCAAATTATTGAGCATTTATTAAAGTGTTTAAAGCTATATATACATGTACATGTATATATGAGCCGCGTCACGACAAAACCAACATAATGTGTTTGCAACCAGCATGGATCCAGATCAGCCTGCACATCTGTGAAGTCTGTTCAGGATCCATGCTGTTCGCTATCAGTTTCTCTACTTGTAATAGCATTGGTAAGCGAACAGCATGGATCCTGATCAGACTGTGCGGACCCGCAGGCTGGTCTGGATCCATGCTGGTCGCAAAAGCATTATGTTGGTTTTGTCATGACACGGCTAATATATGCTGTTAAGGGATTGTCAAACTATTATTTATATTGTGATTAAAATGATTACGAAGGATATTTGACAGTATATTTTATAGAAAATGAATATTAAGCCATGCATAATATCATCGCCAGACCTACCTAAAATACCAGCGGGGAAATTTTACGAGTAATAAGACATTCTTTGTTACAAGAAATATCCATAATTTAATGAAAACAACAGTTACTAAATTTTACATTTTTTGAATTTTGATACAATACTTAATCAATATATATAGCTTCATACACTTTAAGATATTAGATATTTACCTATAATGATAAAATTTATCATATGATGCGATTTGGTGAAGTGGCTAAATAGTGGTTATTGCGGTATTCATTTACCACTGCTAATAGAAGTTATATGTGTAAAGAAAACTGGCAAGTACAGGTACAGAAGTAAGAAACTCTGGCTATTTAGCTAATTGTCAATCAATCTGATACAACTAAAAACTCGTACATTTAACCAACCAAACAATGAGTAAAATCAGCATATGTTTTTTTGTAGCAGCTTTTAAGTATATCAGTGGCTACACCTTGATTTATTCTGAAGATTTAATCTTTATTCAATCTTTTAAGAATATTAGCGGCTACACCTTGATTTATTCTTAAGATTTAATCTTTATTCCAGCTCTTAAGAATATCAGTGGCCACACCTTGATTTATTCTTAAGATTTAATCTTTATTCCAGCTCTTAAGAATATCAGTGGCTACACCTTGATTTATTCTTAAGATTTAATCTTTATTCCAGCTCTTAAGAATATCAGCAAGTGTACGCGGTTTCTTTTTAATGAATTTTGCTAAAGATACAGCGCCCTATGTGATGCAACAGATACAGTATCATAAGGAAGGGAAATTGAAGAGCTTTGTTGACATGGGAGAGAAGGCATCGGCTGGGCCGTTTGTTGGTTTAGAAAAAATCGTAGATGCTGTTGAGGTAAATTTTCCAACTTAAATATATGGTCTGCATTTCATTACTTTGATACTTTGTTGGTATTCTTATGTGACAGGTCTCACTTGGGAAAAGGGAAAAAGCAGGGGGGACTGGGTTGTAGATTTATATCCATCCCCTGACACATACCTATTTTGAAATTTAAGCATATTTATACAAGTATATTTAAATACATGAATGAGAAAAATTGAAATTTGAACCATTGTTTAGTGGGATTCTTTGAAATAACCAAAACTTGTGTCATATAAGAAAACATAATCATGACCCCCAGTTCAACCATAACCTGATCCTGACAGCAAAAAATGTTTTAATACACATATATATACAAATGTAAAAAAAGTCAAAACTTGCTTAAACATTCTCTCTAAGGATAAAATATTATACAAATCATGAAATGTCTGTAAGATTTGTTTTTATGTGTATTTCAGCATCTGTATTCCAAGAAAAGTATCGGAAAGATTGTTGTAGATGTTAGTTCGAAACTCTAGTGCATAATTATCCATGGACCTTTAAATACGACAAAACTATCGCTTAAAACACAAGGATGTGCTGAATTTTTAAAGTGAATTATATTGGTTGTAAAGTGCATTCTGTATTGACCTCTCTGGTAAAGGTCACGAACTTATGTAACTATGACCTTGTATGGTCAAGGTCATTGTATCTTTGGAAATCATATACATACATGTAGTTACATTTTCATTACATCAGGGATGTTAAAAAAGTACCTCTTTTTTCACAATATCTCATATTTTTAATTTATGCAAAGAATCGGTAACAGTATTATTGTTCCAAAGTTAAAACATTAATTTTGACCTTTCTCGTAAAGGTCAAATTTTTTAAAAACTATTCGTGTTATATGTTCAGCTATATTTACTCAGTTGTTGAGGATTGGATTTTGTTTTTATTGTGAATTAATGTTAATTGTGTCTTTCCTTTTTTTGTTCGGGTTTACATATTTTTAAAAGGGAGGTAATAAAGTATTAATGGTGCTATTTTTAGAAATTATACAAATATATCATTTTCAAAGGTTTCCATTATCCATTTTGGCAACGACCAACTATGTGACATTGTATAGCCTAACTTGCCACAAGATCTTATTAATTTCGTTTCTCCCCAAGAATGAATGTGTATCATTAATTAAGAATTAAAAAAAATATATTTCATAATTGTATATTTGTATGTTATTAGTCAGGAGGCAAAAAACTATGATTTTAATGACAATAAACAATGAGTATACCATAATCTGTTGCGGTTTCTTTTTTTTTGCTAAACAAACAAATTCTGTATTTTAAGATTTAATATGATCATTGATTTAAGAGGAATTTAGTGTATCTGTGATAATTTCCTTATGGCTAAAAGAAACAAAACAAAAACAAGTTTAGATCTAATATTGTTAACTTCTGTTTTTTATGCACATGCAGAATAAATGTTTTTTATTTCAAACAAAATGATTTGTTTTATTTCTTCCTTTCTGGAAACTGTTGAACCGAAGCCAGTGTACATTGTTAATATCAACATAAAATTTTCATTGTGTTTAAAGGTTAATTCTACAATGATATTGTAAGAATTAATGTGTTTTTTTACTCTCCAATTTTTGTAAAACAAATTTTTTTTAAAGTTCTGTTTTCATCAGTATCAAAATTCCAGTTGTAATTTTGATACAAGGAGATTTGTTAATTCATCTATTCATCAAATATAGGCCGGTGCTCAAAATGTTTTAATGACTTAGAGTTCTCTTATTATTTAAAGGTACAGAATGCCTCAGAAACAAATAAATTTTTTCACATTTTTACATCGTTAGAAAGGGCAAACACACAGGTGTCAGTATCAGTGTTTGGACACCCCACCCTACCCCGCCCCTAGACCCCTGCTACAACCCTAAAAAATAATTCAACTCTAAGGCTTACTATAAGATACCAAATACAATACCACTGATAAAATGTGGGCAAACTTGAATTTTATACTGTTTAAATTATGGTTTTAGTGAAATGTCAGATGTTTCTGACCTGAATAAAGTAGCAATAATGTGAAAAAATTTGTCATAAAAGTAGCAAAATGTAAACAAAGTAGTTTTTTGACTTCCATATAAAACACTTATTCACTATAACTGTACTTATTTCCAAAGAGCAACAGATAAAAAAAGAGTGTTCTGCTATAATATTGACCAATGATTTCTTTTTGTGATATATACATGTATAGGAAAGTACACCAAAATTAAAAAATTTTGAAAAAAAAAAATTAAAAGTTTTTAAGGCATCAAAAAAATCTGAAAATTTTTTTTTTCAAAATATTTTTTTTTTTCCCTTTCCGAGTAAAAATTAAAGGTAATGGAATTTTTTTGGGGGTTTTTCTGGGACAACCCAGACCCCCTTTTAACAGTTTTTTCTTGGCAGAAAGGGAACCACGATTTTGAAGCCAAGGGAATTCCTTTCCATAAAAACTTGTTTTCGAAATATTGAAAAGGAGATTAAAGCAAATTTTTTCCCTTAGTGCAAAATTTTTCCCTTTTTTAAATTTTTATGATAGTAAGTCCTTAACTAAAACTTTTTTAATAATTTTTTTAAATTTAATTTAAAAATAAAATTTTTTTAAAAAAATTTAAATTCATTGGGTTTTAAAAATTTATAAAAAAAATGTTAAATACGGTTTTGTAATAAAAAAAAAATTTTTATAAATGGAAGTGAACTTTTTTATTTAAAAAAAAACCCGGATCTTAATTTAAACTTCAACAAACTTCAAAACTAAAATTAACCTTTTTTTGTAATTTTTTAATTTGTTGTATTATTTTAATATCGAATTTTTTCCAAAAAAAGTGTTATTTTTGTATTTATTTAGATTTTTTTTGAAGCAAAAAAATATCACGATACATCGAACTTTTAAAAATTGTTTTTTTTTTTTTTTTTAATTGCATTATTTCAGTTTAATTTACAGCAAAAAATCTTTTTTAAAAAGTTTTTCGATTTTTATGACACAAAAAACATGAACAGTCGTTAAATGTCGTTGTAACTGGGTTTTTTAATAATCTTTTTTTCTCCAAAAATTCTGAGCTAAAAAAGGACAATCTTCAAAAAAAAAAACTTTTAGAATTATCCCCCTTGTCTAAAAACAGCACCTTGTCATATCCAAAATTGTATGCTGATAACTTTAAATAGGTTTGAAAAATGGGCTACAATAAAGTTTTTACACGACAACAACACGACAAATAAAAATGATCTACAATAATATGAACACAAGAGTAGATAGGCAAGAGTAGATAGGCAAGTTTTGATTAGCAAACCAACACATTTCACAGTTCCATAATATTACTGTAATAAATCAAGTTCATCCAGTTAAAATTATGTATATAGAGTCCTCAATTCTGAACTCTTCACAGCCAGTTATATCTTCTACAGAAATCTTTTAAAAACAACAATCTAGGACAGATGCCAGGTGAAATTCTCCCAGGTTGTTATGTACTGGCACATTCTGCAAGCAGTTCAGGCAATTTTCCAGATTTGTTCAACTGCTGAAACTCTGAGTTCCCACCAACACATTTCCCATTAATAAACACTCTTGGAACCTGGAAAATATAAGTGAATGAATAATAGATGTACAGCCTTTTTCCTGTTTGTTTTGTGTTGTTTTTTTTTGCTAAATAATAAGCAATATTCAATCCTCAGCACTCAATCATTAAAACTATAGTAATCAACATCTTGTAATTACAAATATAATATAAATGGCAGGGTGGTTGTGTGGTTTAAACTAGGATTGCTGGCCTCGTGGGTTCAAACCCCATCGAAGACAAGCTGTTATTTCCATGAGCCAGAAACTTTACACCCATTGCTTAGTACTGGTTTGTTCCAGAAACTGATTCGAGAGTGATCCACTAAGCTTATAGCTTCTAACACAATCCAACTATAATAAATTAGTATAAGCTATACTACACATGATTATAAGTATCAACATGACATGATGCTTTTGTCACCATGGCAGTGATAGTTCTTTCAGCCATATTATAGTAACAACAGGCTAAGCAATTATAGAACCATCCCTTTAATACAATATTAGTGCCATGCTAAAAATTGTAGCATTTTTATAACTCTTTTCTAAGACTAAAATTAATATTTCTGACAAAGATCCAATATGCAACTTTTGGCAGACAAAAATTGCGACAGATTACAATCATGTACTGCATTAATAAATTTATTCTATACAGAATTTATTTTAGTTCAATTATGTAGGAAGCTATAATCTTACAGACACGCTCTGTTATTTGGTTCCTGGAACCAACCAGTACTAAGCAATGAGCATAAGGTTAGAAATTGCTTCTCCTGACATGAATTTGAACCATCACGAATAGCTGTCCTAAGATCGTTACCTACTCTAAATGAGTCACGCCTCCACTTGCATGTGACAATGATTCAGAGAAACAATGCGCAACTTCAAGATGTAATGGCTGATGCTCTGCTGTAATAATCATATTCATACATAGAATTATGATAATCATTCTTGTATATATAATTATGATAAAGACCGACACATACCGTTGATGCGCCAGTCATTGCTCCTAGGAGATTCTGTATATCACCTCCATCTTGTCTCTTATCTAGTTCAATAACTCGTGCATCCACTCCAAGTTTCTGACACAACTGTTTCGAGGCACTGCAGTAAGAACACCAACTTTTAGAAAATATCACCACACAGTTACTCTGAATCTCTGATGTAATCAACTTCCCCTCAGGACTATCCATATTGACAGCTGAACCTGATCCAGAGTTTCCCATTGTTTTAGGGTATCAACTTCACTTTAAATACTTCACCAGATACACTTTGCAGGGGTTTACTGTTAAAATAGAAAAAAATGAGAAACTACGGTAGTTAATTTTACAACAAAAATGAATGAAAGAATTATGCAGCTACCTTTGATCTATATCAAATGTTCCTGATGTTTCTTGAACAAGAAAAAAAACTGTTGCATTGATCGAAAATCTATTTTTAACTATTTAATCTCTTATAACATTCACCTGACTTCCCCTCAGAATGTGCACACAAGTCATAGGGCATCGGCAGAAGATTTGAAGAACATGGGATGGCCAAAAATACCTAGAACTTGAACCTGGCAGCGTAGTGTGAGTGTAGCTGCACTGATGTCCTGACTGAAGCCCAAGGGAGTGGCTCTACAGAGTTGGCAGAGATGACCAGGAAGGTCACCGTATGCTTCCAAGGTGCGTGAGCTGAGGGCTTTCAAGAAAGACAGGCCCTTCCCTGTTTGCTTGGCACCAACAGCCCTTTTCAGAGCGACCTCCTTTTCATATTATCTTAGGTTACTGTACAATGCTGTACATTGGCCGCCATACAGTGACCTACTTTTGGCTGAAAATTACTTAGTGGAAATTGCAGGTAATAATTCATACTTCAATATATCATGCCCTTTCACAGGTGACATGTCGAGGGTCCGTACTCAGCTAAAGCCGCTTGATGGACCCTCATTAAACATTAAAGTTACATACATAAATTGCCTGACTTCCTTTTCAATTATTGTAAATACATGATGTACATGACATGATAATTGATATGTACTGTACTGTGATATATGATTGTACCTGAGGTCTTGATTTATTGATTAAAATTAAATATTTGAAAAAGTCACTGTACAGGTAGATTCTACACATGTGTCAGCATTAACTTAAATTTGTAAAAAGATGTACGTAACATATAAAGAGCGAAAAGGTATCCTTACTTTACTATAAACACGTTTTCAATTTGACATATGCCCTTCCAAATATTGTGTCACGTGATTTCTATTTTTAGAATTTATGTACACCGTACTAATCATTTTTATTGATTAATAGATATGAGCAAAATTTTTCCTAATTTACAAGATAATCAGTAATTATTTTCAAATATTCAGATTATTTTGTCAAATAAAAAGTATCAAAATTGCGTTAAAACTGTTATGTTACAATTGTCACGTGATTCGATTTAACAAAATGGTGGACGCACTGTGGTACGGAAGTCCGTCAGCATAATATTTTTGGTGTTTATCCTGCTTTCAAAATGTGGGTCAAACCTGAAGAAGTTCTTTTGGCTAATGCATTATGGTAAGATTTATTTTATGAAATCAATGTAACCATTTACTCTCCTGAATCGAGTGAATGAAATATTTTTACGTCTAAAAATGTAAATAATCCAACAAATATGACATTTGCCATTTTTGACACTACTGTACTGTAGATCTATTATTTCCAAAACATAACTGATTTGTTATGGTTTAAATAAAGATTCATCTTCAAAGTACAAGTCAGTGATATATGACTGCTTTTAGTTGCTTTAATAAATGTTGTGATATGTACTTAACAGCTTAAGTAAGTAGTTTTAGCACCTTTTATCAGTTTATTGCCTTACCGCTGAAGTGATATGGCTTATGCAATTATGCTACTGTCCCATTTATGTCAACCTCTTTTGGGGACCTACATGTACATCTACCTATCTTCTGTTAATGTCAAAGCCCTCGCGGGGACGTGGACTTTTCTGCACGTCAAAAATCGCCAGAAAGTTATAAAGAGTTGTTTAAAAAGAGGATAAAAGAATGTTTAAAATGTTAAAATTGGGGCTGGAAAATAGGGTGAAACATATTCAATGCAGACTAAGGCAACTGCAGAGGGTAGGTGGTATACCGTCCTAGGAAAGAATGAGACTTTACATGTATAATAGTTTGAAGTTGCTGTGAATAACCTAAAACATAAGGGATGGCCATGGCGTGGTGTTCGAGAGAGGGGTGTTAAATATTCTTTTATGGGGATAGCAACCAGACCAGGATGAATCTAATATAGAAAAGGGATAACCTTTAAGTATCTTAGTTAATACTTCTGAGTTCCAGTTTTTGAAACTTAAAGGACTTAAGGAGTGAAGCATGTCCGTGAGGCGTGACGCTAGAGGTCTGACCATAATCTAGCTTGATCCATCAGGCTGCTCTTCTTTGGACATTATCAATTTGATCTATTTGTATTTTGGTGTGGGGAGACCATATGCCTTTCCAAAATACTATATCATGTCATTTTTTTTTAGAGTTTATGTACACTGTAATCACTTTTATTGATATATTTACAATTTTATACATATCATATACAAGCAAAAAGTTTTTCTTAATTTGTAAGATAATCAGTAATATGACTAATAATTCTTTAAAAAAGCCTATTTACTTTATAAAAACCGCCTCCGTGGTTGAGGGGTTAGAGTCAATGACTTCTAATCCAGTTACCTCTCTGGCGTGGGTTCGATCCCCAGGAGATGCTTTGGTAGTTTAGCGCGGAAGAAGGTAGTCTAGTACTGGTGTAACTCTCCAGGAACGATGGTTAGGAATCTTCCCGCCTATATGACTGAAATACTGTTGGGAAAAGGCGTAAAATGAAACAAACAAACAAACAAATACTTTATAAAAGCAATCAAAATTGTGTTAGGACGGTTGCATTACAACTGTCACATGGTTTTCTTTGAATGGACTGTTCCAAATTCAAAGCTGGACAAATCCATTACACAGTCAGCAGATTTAGGGTTAAATGTTATATGCATCCATACTTTAGAGTACATGTAGTTCCAGTAATTTTTAGAAAATTCACCTACAAAAACACGTACACCATTATAAACTTATGTAGAATTACAGCTATATAGTGGGAAAATTGGTGCCATAAATGGTATAATATGCGACATTGTCTAATCAACTCATGTATTAATAATTAATTTTTGATACAATTTCCAAAAGAGACACATTTAGGTTTTTCGACTTGATGGCAGTGGGACTGGAAATATTTTTCTAATATTTGACTGTACCATTTGATGTTGGTCTGGATTTATGAATTATGTGCAAAGTTTTAAGGTCATCCTGTTTTTCCAGAATATTAATTTTTGTTGTGCAAAATGACCCAGAAATGAAACATGTTGCAACGCTTTTCACACATCCGGTTAACAATCTCACAAAAAAATGAATTTTAATTTAACTATGAGTTTCTTCTTTATTATCGTTTGAGATTTTTTCATTTTAAGCACTCCTCTTGATCTTTGGAAGGTTTTTAAATTTTAATTCAAACAATCACTGTCTAGGGTGGCATCTTCAAACATTTAAGCACCATAATAGTGAAGAATTTCTTATTTTCAAAGATTTTAGAATTTGTTATTCAATATTTTTATTTTTGTAACTTTGATTTAGGAATTTTTTCCTGTGGATTGGGAAAATAATAGACTATATTTTGTATTTTCAATTGGGAATAATGACCCAATATTGACAATGAAATAAGCCAAAAAAAAATCTCTGAGTAGCTGTTGTTTAATATGTTGTTAAAATTCTGAGGCAGTTGTTAAATTTTTAATAAAGATTGAAATTTTAATTTTTGTTTATTTTAAATTACAAGAAAAGTAAACCCAAAAGAGCAAAACCCCCCTTATTTTGTCTACCCAGAGAAAAGGAAGGGCTTATGGAGGGAGGGATTGCTGGTTTACTTGTTGGTACATGGGACACAGTTGTGGATAATAAGGTAATGATAACTGTTCTAAAATAATTTGTTAAAAGCTGCAAAGTTACATGTCTCTAGATGAAAGAAAATATCTTAAGAAAATTGAACTTGAGAAAAATTTACTAAGATTGTAAGAAATTAGTAAAAAGATTTAAAATTCAAGTAATAATTTACAATTATCGTTTGCAATTTATGGGAAATTTTCAGTATTTAATTACCATTTTTTACCTGTCTGTTTCTAAATTGTTCAGGAATAAATTGTTTTTCCTATTTTTGGACCTCTTTTGTCCACACCACAAGACATTCCTTTGTTAACATTGTATTATTTTTTCTGATATATATTTGTGCTTGTTAATTGAACTTCAAATTGAGTGTAAATATTGGCCCACTTTTGCTGAAAATGTGATAAGGTTTAGAAATAAACCTTTTGTTTTCTGATTTAAGCTAGCAATGTTAACAGTAACAGATGTTCTCTACAATCAGCTTGATGCTGAGTCAGAGATTATTGTTTTAAATGCAGATTGAATTATTTATTATAGTACATTAAATATACATGAACAAAAAATCAATGGCTGCAATATTTTCATTTTAACCTTAATATATGGATACTGAAAATTCTTGTATTTATTAATCTTTATGGTAGATTTATTGATTCTTTGACATAAATAAACCTACAAATTTTCTGGGTCTTCAATAATTACTTACAATAAATAAGTTTGCTGCATTTTAGACTAAGATAAAAAAATAATTGAAAATGGATAATATTTACTTTTCAAACTGGAAAATGCTGGACAAGGGATGATAGAATTCTTTAAATGTTAGGAATCTATTTTACACCATGCTATGTATCTAAAATGAACTTTTCCATTATACAGTATGGACCAAACCATTCATCATTGTTTGGGAAAATTTCAAAATAAATACTGACAAAATAGGCCAGGGTGTTCACTAGCCATGAAATTCCTGAGGGCATTTTGACTTAATTTTACTGACTACAAGTTCAAAATCCCCATTGATTTTTACAAAATTTGACCCCTCCAGTTAAAATCCTGTGGTTTAAAACAGTCAGAGTCATTTCAAGGGTTTTTAAAAGACACCCTAAAAATGGAAATGTGTTTTATACTAATATCAGACAGCAGGAATGTGGGTGGATGATTCTCTGGTCCCCCAGCACTGGTTGCAAATTGGTCCCAAATCCTGAATAAAATATGCCAGGTAAAGCCAATGGTTTAAAAGCCTTTTAAAGAAGATTTTATGTTTACCCCATTGCCTGCCTAAAATTTAAGTGTCATTGGGCCCGACAATTTAAACTTTAAAATTATTTAAAATTATTAAACCTCACCTTTTCACAATATCATTCAGCGAGGCTAATGAAAATATTGATATTTTATATTTTATTTCCCGTAGTGTGTGACATAATAAAAAAAAATAGTCTGCACATTTATTTATGTTATATATTTATATGTATTATATATATATATCCAGCATTTAAGTTAAAAGTCACAATTTGATCTTAACAGTATTAATAAGAATTAAAGTGAATTAGTCTATAATGGAAGATCTGTCATACCATAAATAATTACGTTAATAGTATTTAGTTTTATAGTATATATTGACTTAAAAAATAAACACGACTCGTAGAAAAAAATCATTTGGACATTTTGTATAAAAAATACTGCTGATTTTGCCGTAAGTTCCTTTTTTTTTTATATTTCAGACACCTCCCTATAGAATATTACATCAGACCCCTGAGTCAGAGCTGAGTTACTGTAAGTACTTATTTTTAAAATTATTTGAACACTAGTGTCACATAAGACTGTAGACTTTAATATTTTAGGCATACATGTACATTAAAAAATTGTTTGTTTCCCCTCCTACTACCTACCCACAAAAGTTTCTGCTATCCAAAACAAATTATTGCCAAAAAAAATAATTCTAAACAATTCCTTTTTTGAAATCCATATTCTACTTGTTCCTCACTGTCAAGGAGTTTGGATTCTTTGATGTGAGGAAGCCATCCTGACTTAGCTGATGAAATGTCGGTTGTTGTTCTCTTTGGCCCGTTTGTGCCTGAAAAAATGCAACGAGGGTCTCCTGAGGTCTTCCAGCACAGGTTAAGCTTGAAAAATTGCATATGACTTTCATTGTGTTGGTACAATGTGAAATCCCCCCACAAAAAATAATAAAACAACAACAAAATTAACAACAACAAAAATCTAAATAATTCAATATAATTCAGCTGTATGTTCAACATCGAGTTTAAATACCTACCTACCAAGTTAGACATAGGCCACAGGAGGAGAAACAATGATATTTTTAATGTTGGCCTTATATAAAAATTCTGTATATAAAAAAGACAATTCCAAATTCAACAAGAAATATCCATGCAATAAGGCAAGTTTCTTTTGAAGTGGCTTGGCTTTACTTATATCTATTTCTCATAGCCTGCATCTAGAAATATCCACATAATAAGGTAATTCTATGTTGAAGTGTCTTCACTTTTTCCGATGAAATTTTTTTATTTATCAAAACCTTGTTATATATCATGCAAGAACTCAGATATGTGTTTTAAAAAAGAAAAAAAATTTTGAAGAGAATTTGCGTAAAAAAAGTATTATAGAATGAAAGAAATCATATTCTATCAAGGATAAAAAGCCTATGTGAGTTATACAACATTATACAAACTTTGAATATGCAAAAAAAATGTATATTCATATTGATCTTTTGAAAAAAACAAAAATGATAAATAGAACATATAAAAACCATTGATGCCACGAAAACGGTATTTAATTTGCTGCCTTGTAAACAGAATTACTGTCTTGCAAATAGTATTTATTTAAGTACTACCTTGAACTCAGAATTTATTTTACTTCTTGAAAACAGCTTTGAAAACAGTTTAACTGCCTTGAAAACAGTATAAAGTTTTTAATTAACTGCCTTGAAAACAGTATTTGATTTACTGCCTTGAAAAAAACAATATTCCTGTCTTAAAAACAGTATTTATTCAAATTACTCCCTTGAAAACAGTTTTACTGCTTTAAAGCAATATTTAATTTACTGCCTTGAAAACAGTATTTCATTGTTCTGCCTTGAAAACAGTAAGTAATTGCCTTGAAAACTATATTTGACTGCCTGATAAATAGCTGACTAGCTTTTTTGTTGTTGCTTTTTTCTATATGCTAATTTTGTTTTGAGTGAAAACAGTAAAACACTGCTTTGAAACAGTATTTCATTTACTGCCTTTAAAACAGTTTTACTAACTTGTAAACAGTTTTACTAACTTGTAAACAATTTTACTGCCTTGTAAACCATTTGTAACCTTGGACTGAACAGATCAATTATTTGATATTTTATGTTAATTGCCTATCTGAATAGTACTTATTTCTATTAAATGAATGTTGTACATTAAATAATGCCAGAGGGTAAATACACTGATAATTAGATACATACTTATTGATTATAAATTAACATACATGTCATGTACATGTATGTTATATATCACAATACATTTTCTCAAATGAAATACTGTTTCACCTGTTGAACAAGTCCACTTGATATTTTCTTGTATGTATAAATTATGTTATTGTGTTCAACAGAAATTAAAAATTTCGACGGGAATGATAGAGACTAGTGAGAGAATGTTTCTAATTTCTGTAGAACAGCTACGGATGAGTACTTACATACTTAGTGGCAAGCTTTATTTGGCTTCATAAATGTTCACTTTTTTACGTCACTATAAATGACTCTTTTTATCCGGAGGCCATTTAATATTGAGCACTATGAAAAATAGAAGGTGAGTGTGAATGGAATTGATATAGTATTGACTTTTGTTCTTCTATGAAAATTAACGCACATAATTTTTAAGAAATAAAGCGTTTTCATTGGATGACAAATAAAGCTTACAAACCCTATAACAAGTAGAGAAACTGATAGGGAACAGCATGGATCCTGATCAGACTGCGCGGATGCGGCTCATTTCAGTTTTCAATTTACTTTCAGCGGTTTCTATGGCTAACAACAAGAAAGATATCACAAAAGACTGGGAATGGATCGAGTCCAACTTGATGCAAACTTTAGGTAATAATGTTTCTTGTTAAGATAATCAAAGGTTTAAAAGGCAAAATAAACTATAAACTATGAATGTGTCCATAGAAAACGTGTGCTCCCACTTCATTCTACTATCAAAGTGGCATATTCACATTCATATGCACAGTTCAGAAAAGTGAAATGTTATATTAATATAGTAATACGGGTACATAATAATAGTAATCCAATCAAATTTTTAAAAAATAAAGCATATTCCTTCTCAAATATTGATTTATCAAGAATATTACACAAACTGTCATTTTAGCTTGACCTTTGACATAATTACCTCATATTAACAGGGGTCATCAACTTGCCACTGATTGGCAATGTCCATACCAAACTTCTAAAAAAATTTGGGATTATTCCTATTAACCCATTACTCGATACACATGCCTTTTAACACCCCCCATTGCCATTTTGTTTTGTTTTTTACAATGTCAGGTATGTGATATTTTGTTGTGTTGTTTTGTTGCAGGGGCATTTGAGACAGATGATGAGGCTACAGAATTTGTCAAATGTAAAATTGAGAGTATGGTGGCCAACAAAGTAGACCCAATTAAAGAAGGTATTACCTCTCTCAGGGGCGCCGAAATCAATTGTTCATATTGTCCATTTAATTTCACAGTCTATATGAAAAAGTGGAAATTTTCAAGAATTTACTATATATCGTATATATACCATACAGATAAGTTAAGAAGTTCTTCAGATAAAAACGGACATGTACATTGTAAGATGAAATCAAATTTGCTGCCCTATCTCATTGGATGTACTTATATTGATGTATTTTGTTGATAAGAGTCAGCCTGGGCTGTTTGTTGCCGATTTCAAAATTGTGAATAATTGTGAATTTAAGAGCTGATCTCTTGTGTACAATACATTGTATGTATCTAGTCAGAGGGGTGTCTGTGGCCGAGTGGTGAAGGTTGTTGACTTTGAACCACTTGTAGGCTTGAGCCTCCAAGCCTCTTCAGATTCTTTCATGTGAGAAAGCTATCCAGCTAGCTTACAGAATGCCGTTGGTTCTACTACGGTGACTGTTTGTGCCTGAAATGTCTCACAGAGGGTCACAGAGGTCTTCCTCCAACAGTAAAGCTGTAAAGTTGGCATATGACCTATACTGTGTTGGTGGGACGTAAAAAAAATGTACCTAGTAAATGTATAACAGTTATTATTATTGTATCTTCATTAGAATATTTTATTTAAAAAAGATTTGCATTTTAAAAACACAGAAATTCTAATAAATATAACTACATAGTAAGACCTGGAGTTTACTGTTAATGACTTGTAATTTCAGATGAAGAGACGAAAAGTTTTAAAAGTGCCACAAGAAAGTTCATGAAGTTATTCAACATGCCAAAAGAGGAGAAACTAGTGAACCATTACTCATGTAGTTACTGGAAGGGCAAGGTGCCTCGCCAGGGCTGGATGTACCTTAGTATAAACCACATGTGCTTTTATTCCTTCTTGATGGGCAAAGAAGCTAAAGTTATAATGAGGTGGACTGATATAACAGTAAGTGCATTTTTAGCTCGCCTGTTTGAAGAATAGGGAGAACTTTTGTTCTAACCCCAGTGTTGGCATCTGCATTTCTGTCACACTTCGGATAAGTTTTTGTGTTCAATTTGGTATCTTCAAAATTACCAAAGAAAATGGGTTGAAACTTCACACACTTGTTTCTGTGTGAATTTTAAAACATGATAAGACCTAAAGTATAAACTCTGAGGGTTAAACCCTTTAAACAGATTATATGCCCCTTTTTTTGCCAAGTCAAGCATTGAGAATATTTGAGTGTTTGCTGCCTTGGACAGCTTTTGTTTAAATTGCACTAAACTCTTTTAAAAATCATATGGTTTGACTGTCCAGCTTAAAAACGTTGGAAAAAAAACGTTGGTTCTGTTAGTTTCAATTCTTGTTTCATAATTGATTTTATAAGAAAATGGAAATCAGTATATTTTTCAGGGACTTGCTTGATTGACCTACAAGGTTGTTTATTACGGTTATAAGTGAAATCTTGACATGTTAATGACTGCTGTAGGAGGGACAAGTCTGTCCTTTGTATTTCTTTGACATAATTTAAAATTCCTAGTAAATGCCCCTCCCTTAATAAAGTAATCCCCAGGTTTTTTTATAAGGAAAATATCTACTCAACAGCACTGAACTCAAGAGTAAATGCATATTAATCAAATCTTTCAGACTGATGTATTATATAAACTTTAACACTTTTTAACGTTAGTATGAAAACATGTTTAACACCAAATGTATTTACACTGATTTTTTAACACCAAATGTATTTACACTGAATTTTGGATTAAGGAAAAACTGTGTTTAAATTAAACGCCACCATCCCCCCACCCCCTCCCCGCCCTCAGAAAATAATTAGCCCCAGATGGGCATTTAATAGGAATTTTACGGTATTGATTGTTGTCATATATTTCCAGAAATTAGAAAGAGGAAACAATATGCTACTACCAGAAAGTATAAAAGTGTCAACACGAGAGGGGGAGGTAGGTTTTCTTGTACATATTTTCATTACCATAGTTTACGTTAATGCATTAGTAGTTAAGGGTGCTGAATTAGAATATGAAGCCCCTAACTTCTGTGAATATGATATAGTCAGGGGCATTGCGTCTCTTTTACTGACTCCATATAAAACGTCTTGTATATCATCCAGTTTCTTGCACACAACATGTGACATTTTTAAAAGTCTTAAGGTAATTTTTAGCTCGTCTGTTTTAATAAAAAGTCAAGGCATTATATAGTTGCGTTGTCGTTGTTGTCATCTTAAAAAAACTTAAATGTAGCTCTTTCCTCAAAAAATTTAAAGGTATCTAAAAGAATCTTGGAATACTTGTTAATCATGACAAGGGGCAGTTGTAAGGCAAGGGGTATAATTCTGAAAGCTATATGTTTGGAGTTATGCCCCTTTTTAGCTCGACTTTTTTTTTTTTGAAAAAAAAAGTAGAGGTATTGTTATAGTCAGGTCGGCGTTGCCGTTGCCGTCTCCGTTGCCGTTGCCGTCCGAAAACTTGTACCTGGATCATAACTTTTTTATTTCTTGGTGTATTGTCTTCATACTTGGCCACAACAACCCTTGGGACAAGACCTTTCAGTAGACCACACTAACCTTGACCTTCATCCATAAATGACCTTGACCTTCAAGGTTAAAAGTCCAATTTTTGCTTGTTCATGCTGTTATTGGCTGTTACTTTGTTATTTTTGAATGGATTGTCTTCAAACTTGAACATAATAATCTTCAAGGATATCCCTTAAAAATAACCAGTCAGACCTTGACATTCACTCATCAATGACCTTGACTTTGAAGGTCAAATTATTGAAATTTTCATTTTTTGGGCTATTATTGGCTTTAACTTTGTTATTTTTGAATTGATTGTCTTCAAACTTGAACATAATAATCTTCAAAGATAACAGTTAAAAATATACCGAAAGACCTTGACCTTCACTCATTAACGACATTGCCTTTGAAGGTCAAATTATTGAAATTTTCATTGTTTTGGCAGTAACTGACTGTAACTTTGCTATTTTTGAAGGGATAAACTTCATATTATAACAGAACATTCTTAAGGACCAGACCTTGTTGTTTATCAAACCCAAATTTGCTTGGGCTCTTTAATGACCTTGACCTTGAAGGTTATATTACTGAATTTTCTCAGATTGTGCATTTATTGGTGTGTGTGTATGTATAGTATATGTATTATATATATATATATATTAAATGTGTGTGTGTATATATACATATATGCAGGTATATATATATATAAATATATATATATATATGCATGTATATATATATATACATATATAATATATATATATATATATATATATATATATATATATATATATCAAATATATATATATATCAAATATATATATATATATATATATATATACATATATATACATGTATATAATTGCGTCATGTTTTTTCTATTTTTAGAAATTGCGTCATTTTTTTCTAATTTTAGAAATTGCGTCATTGTTGCTATTTTTAGAAATTGCGTCATTTTTTTTCTATTTTTAGAAATTGCGTCATTTTTTTCTATTTTTAGAAATTGCGTCATTTTTTCTATTTTTAGAAATTACTTCATTTTTTTTCTATTTTTAGACATTGCGTCATGTTTTTCTATTTTTAGAAATTGCGTCATTTTTTCTATTTTTAGAAATTACTTCATTTTTTTTCTATTTTTAGACATTGCGTCATGTTTTTTCTATTTTTAGAAATTGCTTCATTTTTTTTCTATTTTTAGAAATTGCGTCATGTTTTTCTTTTTTTAGAAATTGCGTCATGTTTTTCTATTTTTAGAAATTGCGTCATTTTTGTTATATTTTTAGAAATTGCGTCATGTTTTTCTATTTTTAGAAATTGCTTCATTTTTTTTCTATTTTTAGAAATTGCGTCATGTTTTTCTATTTTTAGAAATTGCGTCATTGTTGCTATTTTTAGAAATTGCGTCATTTTTTTCTATTTTTAGAAATTGCGTCATTTTTGTTATATTTTTAGAAATTGCGTCATTTTTTCTATTTTTAGAAATTGCGTCATTTTTTCTATTTTTAAAAATTGCGTCATTTTTTTATTTTTAAAAATTGCGTCATGTTTTTCTATTTTTAGAAATTGCGTCATTTTTTCTATTTTTAGAAATTGTGTCATTGTTGCTATTTTTAGAAATTGCGTCATTGTTTCTATTTTTAGAAATTGTGTCATTTTTTCTATTTTTAGAAATTGCGTCATTGTTGCTATTTTTAGTAATTGCGTCATTTTTTTCTATTTTTAGAAATTGCGTCATTTTTTTCTATTTTTAGAAATTGCGTCATTTTTTCTATTTTTATAAATTGCGTCATTGTTGCTATTTTTAGAAATTGCGTCATTGTTGCTATTTTTAGAAATTGCGTACTGTTGCTATTTTTAGAAATATGCTTAATGTTTCTATTCATATATATACAAAATATATAAACAAAACTAATGTGACAAGACAGACCAACTAAATTTATAAAAAGGAAACATCAATATATGTTCAAACCTTTCTATGTTTGCGTTTAGAAAAAGTAAAAAGTCGAGCGTTGCCCCCGCCCGGCGGTGGCTCTTGTTATCTTAAAACCTTTGCCAAAGTGGTGTTTTAACAGACGGACATAATGCTTCAAGAGGCCACTATTTAAAGATCATTTTTTGAAGTCCCTTGACTGCCTTGAGAGGTCTTTCATTGCACTGTCATTTGTATATTTGTTGTTAAAGTTTGAAAATGGCTCCTACAAAAAAAAATGGAAATATTATTTTCTATGACACCATTGTGACACCAGAGATTTTTCTCGTACATTCACAGTATGTGTTCTCGATGTTCATGCATATAAATGAGACATACCGATTGATGGAACAGCTCGCAAACATGGCTATGAAACAATTAATGTTAGAAGGAGGGTTTGAAGAGGATAAAACAATATTAGACAGAACTAAGTAAGTAAAAAAAAAAACTAAGTCTGTTCTTATTGAAATAGACATTATCCGGAACTCAGCAAAGTGGGTTTTTCCCCCATCTAATCTGTAGATACAAACTAACTTTTACCATCATATCTTCATGGTGCACTACCCGCCACAATAGATTAGTCATTTTCTAAGCTGTTACTGTAAAAGTTTGTCTGAACGGTACCTACGTTAATAGCTTGGAAAAACCCAAATATTCTTAAATTCCGGAGTAAGTCTATGAAAATCAGGTACTTAGTTTCATGATTTTGTAGACCCATTTCCATGGCTATATTATCCTGGGCATTGGGTGAATGTTCCACTACCATTCACTTTCTTAAAGTTGAAGTAACTGTAGTGTATTAAATTATGTGCTTGTTATGGAGGCAACTACATTTAACTTACATGATCTTTGAATGGGTTATTCAAAATTAAGCGAACAAAGTTCAACTGTAAATGGATTTTATACTTAAAAGGATAGCACTAATATTATATTGTCCTAAAATTTGGACTTGTCATGGGATCAAGGATGCATGTCAGATCAGTCGGCCTCGGCCATTTTGGTGCTCTTGACTTCAAAATATACTGATTCTCTTTTAACATGACTGCTTAACTTTTTCTTCAAATCTTTAGAAACTCTTAACAGAATTAAGCATGGTATGGTGATCATTTTGGTCAAGTTAGTTGAAGGAACTCCACTGAGGTAAAAAAGCCACACAAAACAGAAAAAAAATCAGATTTCTTACTTACATCAATTTGGGCACTTAAAACATAAAGATATGCAAACGATAATTATGCTAAGAAATAAATTGAAAATGGTATTTTTAACCAGGTTTTCCGAAGGAAAAAACTGGTTATTAGATTGAGGTATGTCCGCGAGCGGTGGGCGGATGGGCTGGTGGGCGGGCGGGCGTAAACAATTTCTTCTGTGCGCAACTCCTTCTACATTTCTCGATGGATTTTGACCAAACTTTCACAGAAGCTTTGTCATCAAGTGCCCTGGCGCATATTGTCTGGGTTTTGCGATTGGATAATATTTGACCTAATTATGGCCCTTTGTTTTTTTTCCTTAAACAGAATATATAGTGAACAATTTCTACAGTGCGCAACTTCTCCTACATTTCTCAATGGATTTGACCAAACTTTCACAGAAGCTTTGTTATCAAGTGCCCTATATAGTGAACACTTCTTCTGTGGCAATTCCTCTTACATTATTCATGTTTTACATTGCACATAGTTACATTGTTTGTTGCTTGTATTTGTATTTCAAATACAACATAATTATCTACAATGGTGATAATTGAAAACCTGGTTTCGTTGCATTGCCATGTTTCTTGTTGTGCTTTTCTTAGCCCGATTTGAGGTCATTTTTCTCAATTAGAATGATAATTCTGGATAAATCAAGTGAGCGAATGATTTGAAATTTTGCACACAAGTTATTGGTCTAGCTCTACATCAAATTGATTATTAATCTCAGGAAATTATTTTCAGTCCCATCATGTCAAAACCTCAGTGGAGTCCCTTTAATAAGCACATACTGTAAATTCACTTAATTTCTTATGCATGAAATATCGTGGTTTTGTCACAAAGTACATTTACTTGAGTTGTTAAATTCATAGACTGTCTCTTTTTCCAAAAGGTGAACTGTAAAATATTGTAATGCAAATAATCTTGCAGCAGACGAAACAAAATTTCTTTTGATTTTAAATTTGTGGACTGACTTATCCATGAAAACTACAAAAAATAGTGTCTCACGAATAATAATGATTTTGCATATCCATTAAGAAAATAAAGAAACTGAAAAATGTTTGTACATTATATTTAAACCTGTTTAACCTGTCGATAACTTTTATCACCCTGCCACTCTGTTGATAAACACCCCTTACCATGAAATACCAAAATGTAAAGAAACATCTGGAGTTAACCTTCTGAGAAGACATTTTGCCAAATACTTTAAGAATAAAAATAATGTATCAAATGCCATGAAATAACATGAGAGTATAGTAACTAATACTTTTTTGTCATAATTTTCCATGAAAATCATTAAATGACATGCTGTAATGGGTATCTATTGTATATAATTATGTCTTACAGAAAAAAGACGCCAAAGAAAATGTCGATGATAAAACGAGATCTCGATGCCAGGGCTAGAAGTGATGCTTACAGGTAAGTGTAGACCCTGAGGTTATAAAACTTGTCTCAAATCTCAGGATTTTCATTGGTCAGTGTACATTGTCCGGTAGGGTGGTTACCAGGGTTTATGCAAAATAAGGGATGAATAAAGTTTTATCACTCCTGTAACCTGTTACTAAATTTATTTAGGACTAATTTTGGATATTTTGACATAAACTAGGTAATCGTTTATAAAATTTTCATAAAAATAGTTATGAATCTTGGGATATGGTGCTTTAACTGCAACATATAGGTCATACAAATATTTGAGTATCATGACAGAAAGTTGTGAATATGTCTGTAAAAATCCGACCCGAAGTGAGATTTAGCTCAACAATCATTGGCTTACAAGCAAATAAATATACAACTATTGACCTCCAAGCTAGGATGCATTTTATCAATATCAAATGATAATTTTTCTTTTATTTATCTAATTATCTTTCAGACTCGCATTTAGTCTTCCAATGCACGAGAAACTGGATGGTGATACAGAGTGTGTGATATTTACTCCGTTCAATAAACAGAATGTTTGGGGAAAACTTTACATTTCCCAGAACTTTATCTGTTTTTCCAGTAGGGTAGGTAGAGTATTTACACTGAACAATCTAAAAAATTTAACTTCTAGCATTTATATTGTCACAATTATGACACTGCTTATTTGTTACAGTGATTTTCATTGGATACTTGTGATGTTTATATATCATGTATTATTATATCTCCCAAAATTTTTGTTTGGGAGAAATATTGTTTTTGCCTTCGATGTCTATCTGTCTGTCTGTCTGTCCGTCCATCCATCCGTCCGTCCGCACTACCGAATAGGGATAGTGGCCATCTAACTGTAAACAGAACAAAAGAAAACAATAGAATTTGTTCCGTAACAATAGAATAAGGGGCCATGGCCCTCTTAAACAAAAGAAAATAACAATAGAAATGGCCCTTTATCCCTTTTCGTTCGGGTGTCCGTCTGCATTATGCTCGTCCGCCCTTCACAGGTCAAACTACTGGTGGTATTTCAACCAAACTTTACAGGAGTGATCAGTACTATCCCTAGTTGTGCACATCACCAGCATGTTCCGCTTCCCTGCACAAAATGGCTGCCAAAGCTAAAAATAGAAAAATCTTGTCTGGCCTTCAAAGGTCAAATTACTGGTAGGATTTCAACTAAACTTTAAAGGAGTGATCAGTACAATCCCTTGTTGTGCACATCACTGGTACATTCCCCTACACTGCACAAAATGGCCTCCCGAGCCAGAGGAAGACTGCGAAATATTGTTAACCCCCAAAGAGCAACACCTCTAGATAACAACCAAATGTTTGTCACCCAAAGCGTGTTCCTTATTAGAGGTAATACTGTATTTGTTAATGTATGTCTTTTTTTTCCTTTTTGAAACTAGGTCAGGGATCTAGTTACAATGATTATACCTCTGAGAGATGTAAATACAGTAGAGAAAGTTGACAGCCCAGTTGGTGGCACGTTGTATATGAATGCCATGGTTGTCACTACTAAAGGAAAGGTAATGCCTTTTAATTTTTATTTTCTTACAAAAATTCTGTTGATCCTTAGCCTTCACAGTAGCAATTGTGAATAGTTTTGTTCCAGCACAGGCATTAAGCTCATATGTCTTGTCACTAGTAATAAAAATATCGTAAAACAACCTCTAGTTGATCATTAAAAACAAAACTATCCAGTGTCTGTAAACTAAAAATTATTAATTCAAGGTATAAACCTTGCCTTAGTAAATTTTCTGGCGACAAACAAGATCTTTGCTGTTGCAATTAAAAAAAAAACATATATGCAAACGTAGCACAATAAATTTATTTTTCATATGCTGTTGTAAATATCCTGTTAGTTTAATTCATTTACAATTAATAACAAATCAAACTTGAAAAAGATTACCCCAAAATCTCACAACTTAAAACTCAACCAAAATATATAGATATATTTGTTTTTAAATTTTTGTAGGTAAATGTAATGTTCAGTCAGATAGGACAGAGAGATTTAATCTTAGAGAAGATTTCTGACTGTTTGTCACGACAACCAGCTCCCCGACGACGTCTCAACAGTCAGGTGTCCACAACGAGTGAGAAAGATACAAACACCGCAATTGTTGAAGGTTTGTAGGTTATAGTTTAAATATTTACATGTACATTTTTTTCAAAAAGGAGAGAAATAATGTACAGATTTTAGTTTGAACATTTACTGGTACTTTTTTTCAAAGAGGGGAGAAATGACGTATACCCTTAAAGGTGTTGGGCCTAGAACTAGAATTTTGGGTGAGGGGAGTGCATATTTTTGTTCTCATCTTGAAAACATTTTCTTTTCCTGTAGACTGTCACTATTTTAATTTGATCCACAACTGAAAAGAATGTTTTGAATTGTCACATACATTTATGTCTGTGTCACATACATTTATGTCTGTGTCACATTCATTTATGTCTGTATCACACATTTATTTCGTGTCACATACATTTATGTCTGTGTCACATACATCTTTGTCTAAATATGTCTGTATCACACACTTTTATTTATGTCTGTATCACATGCATTTATGTCTGTGTCACATACATTTATGTCTGTATTATTACTTATAAAGAATGGCTGGCACTTCATTAGCGATTTTGTTTATTTAAATGTAATTTTAGAAATTCAGTCTTTTAATAAATAGATAATCACTTACTTTCTTGTTTCTTATCAAAACAAGATAAGTGAAAGACTTTCGTTTGTTTTTCATGAATATGGAATCTCCGAAAGAAACTTGTTCGATTTTAATATGTATAAGATATCTGAAAAAATAGTGATTTTATCAAGGGATAAAATCACTGATTATGATATATTATTTCGATTCTAACACAAAATTAACAAATAAATGCTGCCATACCTGATATTAAGCTAAATTGCACCTGATTTGTTTCCATGCTTATTTTCAACGTGTTACATTTTTAGTGGTTACGTCACATATTTAGTGGTTAGGTCACATATATAATGATTTTATTGCATAATAACACACACTTTTGGTTCCTCTATTTTCAATAGGGAAACATGCGAGTTGTGTTAGAATGAATTTTAACTATATACTTATGTTACTTTCGATAGGTGAAGAAATTCAGTTCCAGCCAGCGTTAGTAAGCTTGTTTTGTAGACGTGGGTCTGATGAGCTAACAGCAAAGGAGTCTGTAAAAGAACATCTCTGGGATGTCTATTTTTCTGAATATGGCAGGTATAAATATTAATGCATTGGTATTACATAGGATAATGCTATAAGGCAACACAGTTTTGACTGTACTGTTCTGACCCTTTTAACCTCGACTTTTTAAAAGAAAATAGAGGTATTGTTACTGTCACTTCAGCGTTGCCGTTGCAGATCCACAGCAACCTTGTAACTTGATTATAATTTTTTTAGTTCTTTGTGTATTGTCTTTAAACTTGCCCATAACAACCCTTGTGACAAGACTTTTTAGTACACCAAACTAACCTTGACCTACATTCATAAATGACCTTGAACTTCAAGGTCAAATGTCTAAATTTTGCTTGTTGTTTTGCTGATTTTTGCTATTTGTGGCTATAACTTTATGTTAGTTTTGAATGGATTGTCTAAGACTTGAATGTAATAATCTTTTTGGATAGACCTTGATCTTCACTCATAAATGACCTTGACCTTGAAGGTCAAGTTATTGAAATTTTCACTTTTTTGCTGTAACTGGTTATAACTTAGTTATTATTGAATGTATTTATTTATTACTATAACAGAACATTCTTGAGGATAAGACAATTATGTATGCAAAACTCAAATTGACCATGGCTCATTGATAACCTTGACCTTGAAGGTCATATTATTGAATTTTCACTGATTTTTACTATAATCGATTGTAACTTGGTAATTAATAAATGGATTATCTTCAAACTTTGACAAAACTACCTTTTTGACAAGACCTTCTCAAAGGTTGAACTGACCTTGACCTTTAAATGACCTTGACCATCAAGGTCAAATTATTGAATTTTGTTTAATTGTCATTATTTTGAACAAAAACAAGACTTTTTATAAAACAAACATATTGAATATTTAGATGTGACCTTAACCCCATTTTCGAACGTTGACTGTGAAGTTAAAATAACTGAAATTCTCTTGTTTTTCTTTTACTGGTTATAACTTAGTTATTAATAAATTGATTAACTCTATATTCAAAGGCATTGTCTTTCAGGTCAGAATCATTATGTATATCAAACTCAAATTGACCTTGACCCATTTATGACCTTGATGTTGAAGGTCTAATTTTTTTTCTCTATAATTGGCTCTTACTGATGTGACTTTGATTTCTTAGCTCAAAAGTCACTATATTGCTCAAAAGTCACTATATTACTTTAAAAGTGTTGGTCTTACTTAAAACCCATCCAATCAAACAATGGATTTTTTTTTCTTTTCTTTTTCAAAGGGGAATGTGTATGTACAGAACTCATAAAACTCATGAGCTGATGTTGAAAGGTCTACCAGAGAAATACAGAGGTGAAATGTGGATGCTTTTCTCTGGAGCACTCAATGAAGTAAGTGTTTTTTTATATATACATGTTTTATCTTGATAATTTGTTACATTATTCTGGTACTATTTCTTTTATTTTCCTCCCCATGAATAAAGAAATAAATTCAAATAGTACATTGAATAATTTCCATTTTTTATCTTCTAATAATTTTTAAGTAATCGATGCTATATTTTAACATGTACACTGACCTTGTGGGTCAAAATTGGCCCCACCCTGGAGGCCAGTAATTATTGAAAAACATTTTTCTATTTTATTTTGATTTTTTTGGTGTGTGAAAATTATATGGCTTTGAGCTTAGATTATATATTTGGCATGAAGCATTGCCAAGGTGGTCTTCTACAAGAGTTATAATTGAATCATAGTCCTGGAGTCAAAAATTATTCTGCCCCAATGTGGCCCAATATTGCAGTATTATTACATTTTTTAGTAGTGGATCTCGGGTTACCGATCTAGCACCATGATACCTCTCTTATTTTACTTTATAAAAAAAAAGATTTTTGTTTTCCTATAGCTTTTGTTTTGTCGCTATGTTTTTAAATAAAGTTTTACATATCTTTGTGTATTGTATTCTGTATTATAGATGACAACACATCAAGGTTACTATGCAGATTTAGTACAGCAGAGTTCAGGGAAATATACCATGGCAACGGAAGAAATAGAGAGGGATCTGCATAGGTGAGTTAATAAAGTACACATTATTGTTTTATATTTTTCATTTACTAGGTAGATTTTGAATTCAAGGTAGATTTTGAATTCAAACTAGAACTTCACTTGTAGAGAAAATAAAACCAGGGAACCCTTCTACATGTTATTTTTACACTATAATATGCTTATAAAAGGAGCAAGGTTGAAATTATGAATGACTCGTCATAAAATTAAACATTGTACATGTACATGCACAGGAGTGTAAGGCTTTTGACCAGAAATCATTAACTTAAAGCATTTCATTAGGTTCCATTAAGGCGGGACTTTACTGTATATCGCAAGTAATAGTTTTAAAATGTTGTAGTGGGTATCAAAATATTAGCCTTATACAGTACTCCCTCTACCAAGTAACTCCCTTTAGGGGACAAGGATTTTGGTCGTTGCTTGGTCTAGCTGCTCTTGAGAGTTTGAATTTGTCAAGAAATCGTACTCTGCAAAAATTTGATACCGTTATTGTAAAGATTTAATTGCTGTATGGAGGTCAGCTCTGCTGCGACAACACTAAAAAACAATACTTTATAAAAAGTTGTGTACAATATGTATGGTGTATTTGAATAATATTTATAATAATTATGTTGTTTTGCAGATCTCTGCCAGAGCATCCAGCTTTCCAGTCAGATCTGGGTATTTGTGCCCTGAGACGTGTTCTAACAGCTTATGCATGGAGGAATCCAAGTATTGGTAAGCTATCTTTGTTTGTTCTTGATATTTCAGTATTTTACATGTTTAAAAACTGCCACTTACTGTCCTCTTCATGTTTTTCTTGCTTACAGCTTCAAAAAGCTACATGTTTGTTGTCAGATCTTTTAATTTTTGGTGTTTATAATTTTGATTTATTTTCAAGTTTTTGCCAGGTTATGGAGGTTTTTAATTTTGATATATTTCCATGTTACTGCCAGGCTATGAACATTGTGTTTATAATTTTTATGTATTTTCAAGTTAATTGCTAGGCTATGAACATAGTGTTTATGATTTTGACCTATTTTCAGGCTATTGCCAGGCCTTGAACATTATGATTAGAATTTTTATGTATTTCAAGGTTACTGCCAGGCTATGAACATTGTGTGTATAATTTTGATGTATTTTCAGGCTGTTGCCAGGCTATGAACATTGTATTTATATTTTTGTATTATTTTCAGGCTGTTGCCAGGCTATGAAATTTAACTGTATTTTGAAGTTTATTGCCAGGCTATGAACATTGTGTTTATAATATTGTTGTATTTTCAGGCTATTGCCAGGCTATGAACATAGTTACAAGTGTCTTGCTGTTATATACGAGTGAGGAGGAAGCATTTTGGCTTCTTGTTGCCTTGTGTGAGAGGATGCTGCCTGACTATTATAATACTAGGGTTGTTGGTGCACTTATTGACCAAGGTATATAAATATTCTAAATCTATCATTTCTATAGGTAAAGGGAATTGGGGAATGGGGGGTTGGTATGGGGCTGATGATTTAGACTACTCGTTCTCAAAACCAGTAATAGGTAGTTGTACTAGAAGGCTTCTCTTGTTCTTGTTATTACATTACATGAATGGTTCTAGAATTTGTTAGTCCAGTTTCTGTAAATTGAGATTTATGAGATAGAGGGATGAAAAATAAACAGGCCATGGAAGTGAATGACATAATCATGTTTTTTTTTGGTTAGGTGTCTACCTAACAACTCAATGATCATGGATTTGAGCCCTACTTTGATTGCAACAGTGTTCCTTCATATGACACCTGGCCTTAGGGTTTTAAAACCTTTTTCTGAGCTTTGTCAGGAATCAAATTTCAGGTCTTTCATTAGTTAATGTACATTCTTTGTCAGTTTTTGAAACAATCTCTTGTACCGGAGATCTGAATTTGAGTTTCGGAAAGTTTTTTTCAAAACCTCGGACCTAATAATTATAAGTTTGAGGAAGCAGACTCGGAAGTGATTTTTATCAAATGCAAAACTTCTATCACAAGCTTTTGAGATAAATAAAAATATATTTGAGACTTTAAAATCAAACTCTTATCATTTGTCTTTGTTTTCAGGTGTGTTTGAAGAATTGATCAAGGATTATCTGCCTAACCTTCATCTAAAATTGGAAACCCTCGGTCTTCTTAGTATGATCTCATTATCATGGTTCCTTACAATATTTCTCAGGTAAGTTCAGATTACTGTTGTCAATTTGCTATATATATATAAAAATGATAAAAAGTGCCAGAACAAGAAAAATTATGCTAAAAAAATACTGACATTAACTGGATTTTCTCAATTAAATTTATTGCCCACCGGTTTCTATAATCATCAGGGCAAATAAACATAAAACCATAGTTACAACGTCATGGAGGGATTTTAATATAATTTTGGACAAATATTCTCCATTGTGAGATGGAGTGTTGCGTGGAAAAAATTCAGGTGTCTGTTGCAAAGGTCAAGGTCACACTTAGGGGTCAAAGGTCGAATAACAAAATTTAACATTCATTTGCTAGTATAACTTCTATGTACATGGATGGATTTTAATATGACTAAGCACAAATGTTCTCCATTTTGAGCCGAGTTGTTTGCCAAATATGAAGGTCAAGGTCAGAAGAGGTCAAATAAAAATATTGAAATTTGTTTGTTGGGGCTGTACCTTGTTTATGCTTTGAATTATTATGCTTAGTGGTCATAGGATTTATTTAATATTGTGGAGCTCGCTTGTGTTGAGGTTGACTAAGTCGCAACTTTTCACATTTAGTGTGTTTGTGTCCGTCAGTCTGTGCAATTTTTGTCCAATCTATATCTTCCTCATTCTTTGAAGAATAACAAAATAATTTGGTACAAATGTTAACCATGATGGGGTGGTGTGTCACACACAAAACCCAGGTCCACTGCTCAAAGGTCAAGGTCACATTTGGGGGGGGGGTCGGTACAAAACCCGTGTTGGGAGTGTTACTTCTAAATGCATGGCAGAATTACCTGCCACAAATGTTCAACATCATGAGATGGCGTGTCACTGACAAGAACCATGTGGGTTGGTCAAAGGTCAAGATTATACTTTAGGGTCAATTGCAAAAAAGGTCTCAAGCAGCAGCTTGTCCGCACTGTAACTCTATCACTAGCTGATAGAATTTAAATAACCTAGCTCAAATGTTCAACATCATGAGATGGCATATCTTGCGCAAGGACTGGTTGATTAGGTCAAAGCTCAAGGTTATACCTCAAGGTCAGATGTGACAGCAGGCTCGACATGTTACCCTTAAGCATCTAGTTCGGAAGAAATAATCACATTAATTTGACAAATATAGAAATTAAATGAATGTTTTTATTTCAGTGTGATGCCATTTAATTGTGCAGTAAACATCCTTGATTGTTTCTTCTATGATGGGGCAAAGGTAACTTGTTATTTTGTACCTTTTATCTCTAAAAATAATATAAATTCCTATTCTGATCTTGACCTTAATTTCAAGATCTTTATTGGAACATAAGTTTCTTAGAAAGCCCAATGCATTTGTATTTTGAAGATTTAAATTCAGTGTATACTTTGTTTTGTATAGAAGAACACCTGTTATTATTACTATGGAACAAGCTCTGTCTTAAAAGTAAAAACTGTGCTCCAAGACTCAATTTTTTGTCTCATTTTATCTTGAGGCATGCTGCCAAGAATTTGCGATTAAATAATTTTGGATTGGATTTTGGCCAATTGGATGTTTCCTTCACATATGTAACACTAGAAGAAAAGCTTGGGTTTATGACAATTTCCTGTCAATTGTTCCTTATAGATTATCGTTTTTCTGCTATGAATTATAATGTTCATAAATTACTGTTAAGCATCAAAAAAGCATTTTGAAATTAGGTAGTTTATACTTATTCTTTTTAAGGTAATATTTCAAGTGGCATTAAACATATTAGACAACAATAGTGATGAGTTATTGAGGTGTAAAGATGACGGGGAGGCAATGCCGGTCCTCGGCTCATACCTGGAGAACGTGACGAACCGGGACACAACTATGCCAACAGTTGACCATACTAATATGATGTGTACAGATAATGTCCCGAAGAAGGTAACATATACACATGTATGTTTGCTTTTAGTGGAGATATTAAATATATATCATCCTCTATTTCAAGGATTTTTGGAAAAGCCAGAAAATTCCAGATGCTAGGAAAACCTGTCTTACACCGACAATGTAAGACAAGTCACGTATTTCAAATGATGTCATTCACACGCGCCTTTATGACTGAATTGCCCTCTTTGATGACGTCATTGTGCTGTTATGAATGGAATTGAAAATTTATACGCTACTATAAGAAAAAAGTGCATATGAAAGTATTAAGTTTGAAATTTCTGCCTGTAATATCAAGAAAAAGAATTGACACCGGCTGTCATCACAGACAGGAATATCTAGCTCTCGGGTAACTGTTTAGCGGAAACTACTGCCATAATTAGTTATCCTCGAGCTAGATATTCCAGTCTGTACCGGCAGACGGTGTAAGATCTGTATAATCTGTCACAGTAGTTTTAGTAGTGGTGATCTAAGTCACGACTCGTTGATTAATAATATGACAGTGTTACCACCTTTCCTCACAACCTGAATAATGTGTATATTTTGACAGTGCTCTGTTGATGTGTGCGACTTGATCGAAGAAAGTTACAGGAAGTTTGGTCATCTGGAGAACCAGCAGATTGGTCAGTTACGTCTGAAATATCGTCTACGAGTCGTACAAAACATCGAGGACCATACCATGAAGAATATCCTGAGAAGCGTGTCAGAAAAGTCGATGATTAAGGGGAAAGAACTAGAAGACTTGTATATGTTATTCAAGGTAAATGATTCAAAACTTATTGAGTGATCCATGCACAATGATTTTATTGTATATGAAATTAACCTCTTTAAGGATCTCCACTGATGTCCAAGGGTCTAAAAACATAAGAGTTGAAAATATTACAAACATCAAGTGAAGCACTTAACATTTCAAACCCTGCAAAGGTTAACAAGAAATATACTTAAAATTGAATTGAAAATCGACTTGCGTGATTCTTAGCCAGGTCATTATGCACAAAAAATGATTATTTTGGAAAAATAAGGTGAAGGGAAGACCTGAAAATTTGCAGACAAGTTGTTTGTCCAGACCCTCATCAATTGGTACAAAGATTTCTGAAAAATATTTCCAATCCCATAATGTCAAAAACCCACAGTGGAGTCCCTTTAACCTGATTAAAAGTTAATGTGATTAACCTTTGCCACTAGTATAGAGTTGATTATGCTCTATACTGTTGCTGGCTAAATTTTTGCATTTCAATATTGACACCCCTTTAAAATTTGAATGGACTATTCCAAAGTTAAGGAAGGACAAATCCATTTCACAAATTCAGTTGGTTAAGGTTGAATATTTACCTCATGACATAGCAAGTGTACCTTTGAGATTAGTAATAATTGTTTGTCACTGACAAAGTCCCATCACTTTAGTATTTATTCTCTCAATTATTCCCCTTTCTTAATTTGCATGGCTGCTGTTTTACATTCAAGGTTGTTTTCTTTTCGTTATTTTCCAAAGTTAATATATTTGTCATTTATACTTAAAGGCCTCAGAAATCCATATTTTTTTCAATTTTTCAAAAATGTAAAACATGTGTTTAATAATGTTTAAATAATGGATTGAATGCATTTTAGATGTTTTACAATTGAAAAAGTAGTGCTGAACATACAGTTATGTGTCGTAAAGGTAGCAAAATGTAAACAAATTACTACTTCACTGTAATTGTACCAATTGCCAACAGAACTAGAAATGCAAAAGATAGATCATGTATATATCAATGAGTATGTTTTTTGAAACTTTAACAAGGTACCTAAAAGAATCAGTTTTTGATAAATAAAAATGATAGAATTTCTGAGGCATAATGGGCCTTTAAAATGTACCTTATATACAATGCATTGTTTCCAAGGTGTATCTTGTTTCTATAAATAGGAGGAGTATTTGACGTCATGTTACTGGAGGACCAATCAGCAACCAGCAGACTTGGCAGACAAGTTTGACCCTTCACGACCCTATTACGAGATTTACAAAGTGGACTATGACCAGTTTAAGACGATGTTTCTATCGCTATCACCATGGGCCAAAGGTCAAAGGGGCGGAGTCTTAGCACTGAGAGCATTTAGGGTAAAGTATTTAGTATTTATATGATGCTTAATCACACTGCCTGTTACACATGACATTTTAGCTTGACTATTTGCAGAATAATCTAGCTAATGCAGTCACCCATTTGTCGGCGTCGGCATCGGCGTCCCTGTGGTTGAGTTTTTGCGTGTAAGCTTGTATATCCATAAGTACTGAAGGGAATGGATTGAAACTTCTCACACTTGTTTTCTGTGATTATCTAATATGAATAGCACAAGTCTCATAACTCTGATTTGCTTTTTTGCATAATTATGCCCCTTTTTCGACTTAGATATTCTTGGTTAAGTTTTTGCATGTTAAGCTGGTATCTCCATACCTACTTAAGGGAATGGATTGAAACTTCACAAACTTGTTCTCTGTGATAATCTTACATGATTGGCACAAGTCCCATTACTCTTGATTTGGTTTTTAGCTCGACTATTCGCAGAATAATCGAGCTAATGCAGTCACCCATTTGTCGGCGTCCCTGTGGTTAAGTTTTTGCATGTAAGCTGGTATCTCCATAACTACTGAAGGGAATGGATTGAAACTTCACACACTAGTTCTCTGTGATAATTATCTAAGATGATTGGCACAAGTCCCATAACTCTGATTTGCTTTTTTACATAATTATGCCCCTTTTTTTACTTAGAAATCCTTGGTTAAGTTTTTGCGTGTAAGCTGGTATCTCCATAACTACTGAAGGGAATGGATTGAAACTTCACACACTTGTTCTCTGTGATTATCTAAGATGATTGGCACAAGTCACATAACTCTGATTTGCTTTTTTGCATAATTATGCCCCTTTTTCGACTTAGAAATTCTAGGTAAATTTTTGCTTGTAAGCTGGCATCTCCATAACTACTGAAGGGTTTGTACCTTTTCGGACAATTTTATGTATTCATATAGGTAAGCATTATTACACTCGATGAAACACCCTTGTGACATCTTTCCGAATAGTCGAGCGTTACTGTCCTCCGACAGTTTTAATAATTATGCCCCTTTTTTGCTTAGAAATTCTTGTGCTTGTAAGCTGGAATCTCCATAACTACTGAAGAATTTTTGCCTTTTTTGGGACAGTTTTATGCATTCATAATAATAAAGCAGTGATTTACTTGATAAAACATCTTAATAACAGGCCTTTGTTCCTTTTCGGACAATTTTTATGTATTCATATAGGTAAGTATTATTATACTTGATGAAACACCCTTGTGACATTTTTTTGGAATGGTAGTGCGTTATTGTCCTCTGATAGTTCTTGTTATTATTTGTTGAAATGGAATTATAAGGGCATTATCAGTGTTTAACAATATTATACACTTTAATTACAGTACATAGACAGAAATGAAGACAACATGATAAACTTTAAGGAGTTTGTTGACCTCATGTGTAAGATGTGTAAAGCTGATTACACGCAGAAATTGAAACTTTTATACGAACTTCACCAGCCCCCGGCTTTGTTGGAGACTGACGACATGGACGAGGAAACTATAGCCTCACCAAAGTCAGGTAACTCTTCACCGACTTATTAATTTTGTGCCAAAATCTTACAAACATTAACCTTTATCATTACTTTTTAAGTTGTGCCATTGGGACAAGACCTTCATGTAGACCAGACTAAACTTGACCTTTGTTCATAAATGACCTTGACCTTCAAGGCCAAATATCAAAATTTTGCTTGATTTTTGCTATAAGATAAGATAAGATAAGTAAATTTTATTATAGTGACATTGTGTTATGTACATACATAATAACGATACATTTTTATTTTTACAACACCCGGCCACGTTGGGCCTACAAGTTTTTAAGTGGCTATGACTTTGCTTTTTTAGCTCACCTGTCACAAAGTGACAGGGTGAGCTTTTGTGATAGCTTTTTGTTTGGCGTCCGTCTGGCAGTCGTCCGTAAACTTTTACTTTAAATGACATCTCCTCATAAACCACTAAGCCAATTTCATCCAAACTTCACAGGAATGTTCCTTTGGTGGTCACCTTTGAAAATTGTTCAAAGAATTTAATTCCATGCCTAACGGTGGTTGCCATGGCAACCAAAAGAAAAACCTTTAAATATCTTCTTCTAAAAAACCAAAAGAGCTAGAGCTTAGATTTTTGGCATGAAACATCTTGTAGTGAGTGTCTACCAAGTTTGTTCAAATAAAAGCCCTTGGGTCAAAATTGGACCCGCCCCAGGGGGTCATTGATTTTCCCTATACATGCTATATGCATATAGTAAAAACTTAAAAAATCTTCTTTTAAAGAACCCAAAGAGCTAGAGCTAAGATATTTAGCATGAAACATGTTCTAATGGACATCTACCAAGTGTGTTCAAATAAGAGCCCTCGAGTCAAGATTGGCACCGCCCTGGGGGTCATTGATTTTCCTTATACGTGTATAGCAAAAACTTAAAACATCTTCTTTGGAAAACCCAAATAGCTAGAGTTTAGATACTAAGCATGAAACATCTTCTAGTGAGTGTCTACAAAGTTTGTTCAAATGAAAGCACTTGGGTCAAAATTGGCCCCGCCCCGGGGGTCATTGATGTTATATGTGTATAGCAAAAACTTAAAAAATCTTCTTTGAAAAAAACCAAATAGCTAGAGTTTAGATATTAAGCATGAAACATTTTCTAGTAAGTGTCTACAAAGATTGTTCAAATAAAAGCCCTGGGGTCAAAACTGGCCCTGCCCCATGTGTGTCATTGTTTTTAACTATATGTGTAAAGAAAAAACTTTAAAAAAATCTTCTTTTAAAAAACCAAACGAGCTAGACCTTAGATGTTTAGCATGAAACATCTTCTAATGGGTGTCTACCAAGTTTGTTCAAATAAAAGCCCTTGGTTTTAAACTGGTCCCGCTGCGGGGGCCTATATACAGGTGAGCGACTTCAGGGCCATCATGGTCCTCTTGTTTATGGATTCTCTTCAAATTTTTACGTCTTAATCTTTTAGGATATACCTTCATGTTAAGCAGACATACCTTGACCTTCACTCATAAATGACCTATAAGGTCAAATTATTGATTTTCTTTGCTTTAACTTGCAGGTCATGTTATATTCATGATATTTATTACATGCTTTTCGGTGGTTTATAGAAATATATCAGTGAAATAAAACTGGTAATTTCACTGTTTTGAATTTAAGCCCCTTAAGTTGTTTCAGTGAAATACCAGCGTGCACAGTACTTGGTACCAACTTAATGACGTGACGTCGTAAATGACGTCACGTTGTATTATTATTTGGCGCGCTTTTCATTCAGTATTAGGTTTAATGTCTTTTTAAAAGTTCCTTTGCATATAATAAAAAAAAATTTGTTTAGTTTAGTGTAAGATCGAAATATATTTCACCTTGTGAACACCAAAAGTTCATATTTCACTCGTGGCTGCGCCACTCATGAAATATACCTTTTGGTGCTCACTCGGTGAAATATATTCCGATCTTACACTGAACTAAACAAATATCCTCTATATATATGTTAAATAAGTAGAGGTTTTGATGCTTAAGCATCAAGTTGCCAGGTAGAAAAATAATTTAATGATCATATAGGGGAATATCAGTTTAATGATTCATGTATAAAAAAAGATGAACAATATGTTGAGTAACTGTTTATTCATAATAAAACATCATATCTGATACAAACTTGCATAGTAATATTGTCAAGAAATTGTTATCATTATCAAATAAGCAAGTAATAAAACTTAGTTCATCATGAATAAAACAGATAAGTAAAGAAAACAATAAAAGTAAAGAATTAACAAACATATGTGACTCTTTAGCATAAATTTATTTTTTGATGTTCTACCTAAACTAAACTATTATATTCTTTATTTGATGTTTTTGTCCGATATTTGAAGGGAAGGGCCCCAAAAAGAAGAGGTTTTGAAAATTTATTTTTTAATCTGTAGAATAAGAGTTCACAGACTTTCTAAAGATATAAAATATTAATCTGTTAACTGAAAAAATAATGTTATATGCAATAATATATGAAAGCCTGAAAGCTGTAATGCTCTAAGATAACATGTATGACTTGTATAAGTTTTAATTGAAATCGCATAAAAATCAATAAAAGAATATATGTCTAAGTCTTTCATTTTTGAGAAAAATTAAAAATATTTAGTTAGCAGGGCGCCGCCATTTTGAAAATCTTTAGACTGGTTCTATCTTTGAGCTACCTTTAGATTACAGGAGGCTTTTGAAAAACAAAAGCGTCTATACAATTCAGACTGTTGTTAGCAGACGCCACAGTCTTCTTTCCAGTAGAAGTATGATGTTGAAAATCAGTAAATAAGCATTATTAGCCACCTACCGGTTTACCAGGGGTCATTGATTTATCCTATCTATGCATAGTAAAAACTAAAAAATCTTCTTTTAAAAAACCCAAATAGCTAGAGCTTAGATATTAAGCATGAAATATCTTTTAGCAAGTGTCTAACAAGTTTGTTCAAATAAAAACCCTGGGATCAGAATTTGGCTGCCTCAGGGGGTCATTGACTTCCCTTATATGCATACAGTAAAAACTTAAAATATCTTCTTTTAAAAAACCAAAATAGCCAGAGCTTAGATATTATGCATGTAACATTTTCTAGTAAATGTCTACGAAGTTTATTCAAATAAAAGCCCTGGGGTCAATATTGGTCCCGCTCCAAGGGAGTCATTGATTTTTCTTATATGTATATGGTAAAAAACAAACAAAATCTTCTTTTTAAAAATTCCAGAGCTAGAGCTCGATGTTAAGCATGAAACATCTTCTAGGTAATGTCTACTAAGATTGTTCATATAAAAGCTCTTGGGTCAAAATTGACCGTTCTCAAGGGATTCATTGATTTTTTTCGTATGTATGTAGTAAAAACTTCAAATCTTCTTTTAAAAAACCTAAATAGCTAAATCTTAGATATTAAGCATGAAACATTTTCTAGTGGGTGTCTATCAACATTGTTCATATAACAGCCCTGGGGCCAAATTTGGCCCTGCCCCAGGGAGTCATTGATTTACATTTATGCTTAGGTATTAAGCATAAAAATCTTGTAATGGGAGTCTACCAGGTCCTGAGGTCTGTTCAAATAAAAGCCTTTGGGTCAAAATATACCCGGCCGGGTGTCATTGATTTTGTACACTTTTTGAAAATGTTGATTTCCCTAAGCAAAAGTGACAAGTAATGTTTTTACACATGCACTGTTTCAGATACAAATATGAACTTTTTGATATCGGTTCCAGATTTAGATTTGTTTTTGTTTATAGTATATAATATAACTTTTGCCATGTCATGGAGAGTTTATATATTCAGGTTAGCGATTTCAGGTTCATCATGGCCTCTTGTTTATTCAATGACTTATTTTGAAATATTCGATGTATAGATTTTTCCAGATTACAAGATGGGCAAGTCCATTTAATATATATTTAGCCCGGTAAGGGTTATTCATAACGTTTTTTCTCTTTTTAGCTCGACTATTCGAAGAATATGAGAGCTATTGTAGTCGCCCCGGCGTCCGCGTCCGCGTCGGCGTCTGCGTTGGTTAAAGTTTTTTGTAAAGTCAAATATCTCAATTATTACTTGAGATATTCAGTTGAAACTTACAATACTTATTTATAGTAACAAGGTACATCAGATTGACAAGTTGGATAACTCTGCCTACAATTTTGACAGAATTATGCCCCTTTTTAACTTAGAAATTTTGGTTAAAGTTTTTTATAAAGTCAAATATCTCAATTATTGCTTGAGATATTCAATTGAAACTTACAATACTTATTTATAGTAACAAGATACATCAGATTGACAAGTTGGATAACTCTGCCTACAATATTGACAGAATTATGCCCCTTTTTAACTTAGAAATTTTGGTTAAAGTTTTTTATAAAGTCAAATATCTCAATTATTGCTTGAGATATTCAATTGAAACTTACCATACTTATTTATAGTAACTATGTACATCAGATTGACAAGTTGGATAACTCTGCTTACAATATTGACAGAATTATGCCCCTTTTTAACTTAGAAATTTTGGTTAAAGTTTTTTGTAAATTATTGCTTGAGATATTCAATTGAAACTTACAATACTTATTTATAGTAACAAGGTACATCAGATTGACAAGTTGGATAACTGCCTACAATATTGAAAGAATAATGCCCCTTTGGAACTTAGAAATTTTGGTTAAAGTTTTTTTTGTAAAGTCAAATATCTCAATTATTGCTTGAGATATTCAATTGAAATTTAAAATACTTTTTTTATAGTAACAATGTATATCAGTTTGCAAAATTGCATAACTCTGCCTGCAATATTTGCAGAATTATTTGCCCCTTTGAAACTTAGAAATTTTGGTTAAAGGTTACAGGTCTTCAAAAATATTTATTTGAAACTTTACACATGCACTTAGGGTCATAATTGGAGGGTCATAATTGTATGTCACTGACCAAGTTCCATAACTCTATCTTGCATTAAGGCTGATTCATATCCCCTTTTCTACTTAGTCTCTTGGTTAATGTTTACATGCAAGTTTTACATATCTCAATAACTATTAAAGATATTTATTTAAAATTTCACATATGCATTTAGGGTCATAATTGTAGGTCACTGACAAAGATCCATTATTCTATCTTGCATTGAGGCTGATTTTTCTCCCTTTTTCAACTTAGAAATTCATGGTAAAGTTTTGCTTGTAAGCTGTTATCTCAATAACTACTGAAGGGTTTGTGCCTTTTTTGGGACAAATTTATGCATTCATAATAATAAAGCAGTGATTTACTTGATAAAACATCTTAATAACAAGCCTTTGTACCTTTTCTGTCAAATTTATGTATTCATAGGTAATTAGTATTATTATACTCAATAAAACACCCTTGTGACATTACCTTCCAAATAGTCAAGCCAATACTGTATAATTAGACTCTCTCTAAGGCCTATTACATGAATTTATAAAAAAAATTAGCCCTTTTGTGAACTTAAAAAATTTAACATTATCAAGGCTCTTTTACTATCAAGCACTTAGAATAGTCGAGCGTGCTGTCCTACTGACAGCTCTTGTTTTGTATTTCTTTTTAATTTGTATAGTTGTCCTGTGGGGGTAGCTTTAATGCTGGAAATTTTCTTTGTGTTAGTCTTGATTAATTTTATTTTTCAGATTTTGAAACGGACTGGCCGCTAAGATAAATAAACATATTTTATTTGGAATTTCAGATTCCACTGAAGATGCTTTGGAGGCCACTAATTTCTTTTCAGAAGATGCTGACACCCCTAGCACAGATAATCCTGATGGTATGTCCTCCTTTTATTTCTACTTCTTTCATTCTACTTCTTTCATTCAATAGTATTTAGTATTTTCAATGTTATACATTTGTAGTGTTTTTCACCAAAGTTAGTGTTATTAATGCGCTTATTAGATTGAGTATGAATTATAAAGAAGTTCTGAACTCCAAATCATACTTTTTGTGATCCTTTTTGTTTCCTTCTAATCATATTGTCAAAATATTTTCACATGACATTATTATTCATAATCAACCTATTTTCTATTCAGACATTGAGCTTCCCAGTTGTCCACCAGAGGAAGAACTTCCTGCTGAAGGTAGCAACATTGGAAGCCAACAATCTACAGCTGAAGCCCAGGATATTCCAAAAGGCGAGGGAGCACACGGCCCTATTATCTCCCCTCCTCAATCACTCAGTGTTGTGTCTAGCTTGACAGATTCAGACCCACCCAGTCCGAACACAAGTGAAGCTAAGTTGATTACAGAGGATCAGGGAAATAGTATCTCCTCTAGTCCAATGAAGGGTAAAACATTTAGTTTATTTTGTTTCATTACACTAAATAGTTGTGATAGTCTATATTTGCTGAAGAACTGTAATTGCATGGGTGCAAGTTTTCAGGCATATGCCTGAAGCTCAGGTTTTTTGTGACAAATTTCATCATGTTTTACTATCAGATTATCTAGGAACATTATTATGAATAAAGGTTTTCAGGTTTTTCCAAATTTTCAACTAGCACCCATGTTATTGTAGATTAACACTTTACTTGGCCTTAGGTATAAAACCTTTTCCTTAGCTCTGCATTTATCTATTAAGAGTTTTTATTAGTCAGTGTACATTCTGTGATGCTTTTTGACCAATCAGTGAACATAATACAAAAAATATCATCTTTACAGTGAACACACCACTTGGAGAAAGCCCAATGGGAGTGTTCAGCAGAAAAAGGGAGTTAATCCGTGAAAGGTCGGGAAGTAAAGAAGAGTTCAGAAATGTACCAAGACTAACACAGGTAAGACAATAACTGCTTAGCTTCATTTTTGTTATAAAAGATAACAAAGACAGCTTGATTGTGTGTAGCTGTTACTGAAGAGCTTTTTTGTCCGAGTTAAGGTTGTCGACTTGTTTGTGTCTGAAATAATGCATGGTGGGATACCTAGTGTGTCATGGTAGACATGTACTGACACAAGTTAAAATTGTGAAAATTTTGAACTTACTTCAAATGATAAAAAATGACTGAGTTGGTAAGATTCAGTCAATAGGAACATAATAGCTACAAATAAGTTCTTATCAAGATCTTTTTGTTTGCATTTTAGAGCCAGTTTATTCAGATGTGGAAAACCTTATACGACCTTTTTGGTGGAGACCCTCAGGAACAAGAGCTATACCACGCCATAGCAACAGTTGGTACTCTTCTTTTGGAGATAGGAGAAGTAGGCAAAAGATTCTACCTCCATAGAGAAGAGCCTTTAAGCTCATCATGTGCAAGTACGGAGAGTGCTAGTGAAACAAATAGTTTGGCACAAGCATTTATCCCAGAAATAAAAGAGGATTCACCATTGGTTGAGAGTAAAACGGAACTATCCAATGAAATTGGAGATAACAGTTTGAATAAAGCTGCAGACGGTGCAGCAGGTGATACTGTTACTGATGAAGTCTCCTCCAAAGTAGGAGAGCTTGATATAAATGTAGAAACTGATGGAGACAAGCCTGAAAAAATAGTTTCTAAGAAATCGGACCAAGAGGAAATTACTCCAGACCATTTTTGTGAGCAGTCTGACCTAGTAAGCGAACAATCTGCTACAGACAATGGTAGTTTAGCTAGTGTGTCTGCTAAACGTGGCGAGAGGACCATTTCTACATGTTCATCTAAAATCGATATTGATTGGTCAATTAGCTTTGAGCAATTCTTAGCTTCTATGTTAACAGAACCGGCCTTAGTGAGATATTTTGAAAGACCAATGGACTTGCACGACGCAATAGACAAAACGAGAAATCGACGTCTTTTGATGCGTCAACAGAGCGCGCCATTTGAGATGATCGATGTTCAAAAAGCACCTTGATGTCAAAATGACTGTTCAATGCAATGATATTTTTATTTTTGTCTGTCATGTGATTGGAAGATAAGAATTTGATTGGATAATAAGAAAATAATTTGATTATGCTGTTATTGGTATCTTATTAAGAAATTATTATGTTAATTAAATTGTTTTAAATCACATGTTTATGATCATTGTCATATTCATTTTATTTGATTGGATAATGTACAACATTTTCTTACATGCCGTTTACAGAGGGTAATATAAACTAAAAACGGCCAAAATATGGGTTAATGTACATGTATGTTGAGGTCCATCTTTCGGTCTCAAAACACGGAGATGTTATCATGCTTATTTTTATAGCAAATGCCAAACATCACTTTTTCCTACTTTAAAGATACATGTTACATAAAGAAGGTATGTGTATTTTTTTCTCAATAACAGCATCTGGGTTAACTTGCAAAGGTCATAGCTTTGTTTTACGTGAGCAGAGTTTATTGAATAAAACATGGCCAATCACTCCCACCATATAAAAGCCAAACTTGGATCATTGCCTTTTTTCCCTTTGTGATATCTGTCATTATTCTTTTCATGTTAAACATATTCTTATTGTACAATTTTCCAACTTAAATTGTGAAATTGGCTATTACTGAATTTAAAAGTGTCCTTTCTTACTTTTATTGGACAAATAATAATGATAGCGAAGGATTGCCTTTATTGCTGCTAGTACTTGGCCCTTCCCATGCTAAATCAGGACATATCTAATACGGACATGCCATCTTTCACGTAGTTTGATCAGACTTTTGATGTTGACTAACTTTAGATTTTCATTTTGATTCCCTTGATATTGGTAAGGTACTGTTCCAAAAATGAAAGATGGACAAGTCTTTTTAAAAAAATTAGGGTTAAAATGCTGAAAATATGAACAGACGGGATCAATAAGTTTTTTGGTTTGTTAATAAATTTATAATGGTGGATATTACATTATAAAGATAAAGACATTGCAAAATGCACTTTGAGAATGTTCATAGATTTATGACTGTGATATACTTAAAATTGTTTTCTACATAAATCTTAAACTGTTTGTGAATGTTAAAAGAAAATTCATTTTTCAAATATTTTAACATTAGATGGGTAATTAATTTTGATTTTGAAACTGCAAATTTATTATTGTTTTCATGTTGTGCAATTATTTATTAACTCGCGTAACTGTAAAATTTGCATTATTATTACTTTCCACATTGTGTATAAAGTTGGTCTTTTTACTACATAGGGTTGGTTAAAGATTATTTAAAATGTGTAAATGTGAAGCATATATAAGAAGCGTAAAACAGTCCTGTGGTATCATCTGTGTTCATTCATGTGTAACTTTACAAAAGTTTCTAGACATATTTGAAATAATTATATTTCTTTTGCTTGATACAACGTCTGTGGTTCTAACCAAGTACCTGGTCATGCCACCTGAAAGAATCCTTGAGACCAAGTGATTAATTAAAAGGTCACTAACTACACATTAGTTGCTTTTGAGTGTTGTAGGTTCGAATTCCATCATGGACATGAAAATATCCCACTTGAAGAAGCTTAAAAAAACTTTCTAGCAGAAAGTTGATGGTTCTGCTTTGGTTTTCTAGTCATGTCTGAAAATAACAACAGTAAACTTTTCTTTGCATGACTATTCTTGTTGCATAGCACCTATGCATGTTTGAAAATTATTACCTTTATTGGATGCCTAGCCATATCTGAAAATTACAACCTTGTGTGAGTGCCCAGTCATGTCTGAAAATTACTATCGTGTTTAGGTGCCTAGCTATATTTTGCTTAGGCAACTAGGTATGCCTGAAAATTGCAACCTTGCTAGGCTGCCTAACCATGTCTGAAATTACAACCTTGCTTGGGTGCTTTGCCATGCCAGAAAATTGCAATCTTGATTAGGTGCCTAATCATGCCTGAATTTTATAATGTTTTACAATTGCTACTGAAAATACATTAAGCTTGCTTTGTCATTTTCTAAAGCATGAATATATAAATTATACATCTTCACCGTATTGTTATAGTCTGCCACTCTATGTGTATTCAACTAGAGTTGTCTCCCATTTTAGGGATGTAGTATTTAAGATACAACAATACCCTTACTGCTTAGCTCAATGTTTTGTTCATAAACAAATCTTAAATGTGACCAGAAGACAAATCGTCATGATGTTGTCTTTACTTGTTACTGTAGAAAAAGAAAATACTTAATTACATGTAACTTGATATTTGCTCATTTAGTTGTTTGAGACCCAAAAGTTGCAATCCTGTATGTGTTGTTCTTGTTCATTATTATGCTATTAAAATTTTTTATGTCAATAATGTTGACAATGTTACATGTAATATTTCACCAGTTAGTATATAGCATAATCCTTGTGTATAACATTAAAGGAATTTGAGGTAAAAAAACCATAAAATTTGAATATAAGATTTTAAAGAAGATTAATTTGGAAAAATAGATTGAGTAAATGATCTGAAATTTTTGGACATAATTTATTGGTATAAACCACATCAAATGCTATAAATTCTTTTAAACAATTCCAGTGATGTTAAAAAACCTCAGTTTTATTTCTTTAACTTTATTTTAACTTTTCTGGTCGTTTGTGATTGTTGTTTACATTGAATCCTTTAATTAAACAGATGCTAGGGGCATGACAGGAATTACATTTTGCTTTATCTCTAATAAACCTAATAGAAATCAAGTTCATTAAAAATATGTTTTTAATTTTTGTGTTCATTGATCTTTTGGTAATTTTCCCTCTCCAGAACGTTTTGTTTTGTCAAAACTATGTCAAAAACAAGGTATCCTGAAAATTTAAAATTCGGGCATTATAGTAAGTTGTCTTTTTTATATAAAATATGTATGTTAGATTTACATGCAAAGAAAATAAATAAAAATGTGCTTTTTTCCTTCTTTTTTTTTCAAGATTGAAATTTATTTACTTGTGCAATAAATTTATATGTTTTTTAATTAAAGCTGTTTGTTTCCACTTTGGAAACATTTTTCCCCCTCTATACACACATACAATGTTCTTGATAAGTGTTGACTAACAGCACTAACATATTGTCACATGTCTTTTTTTTAAACATTTCCTGATTCATAAAAAATTAAGTTAATGATCAGAACAAAATAATTTTCTGCTTGCATTTTCCTTACTTGTTAAAAGCTTGTCAGCAAAATCAGTGTGGTATTGTACATTTTCTTTGTACTACAACATAAAATTTGAAAGGAACTTGTCAGGATCATTTTGTTTCCAAATGTGAACTAGTGGCTCTACCAAAAACAAAAATCTTTGAGTTATATTCACTGAACGAGCTGAAGATGTTTATGTACAGTTTCACAACGGGTTTACATCAAAGGGGCATAAAAGGTGGGGTTTTTTTTAAATATTTGTTATATGCTTTACATTATTCATTTGTTTGGGATTATTGGATTTTTAATATTTGTTTCAAAATGTGTGCGCAAGAGCAATTTGTATGTGAATTTGTAAAACAATATCATTTTAAGATTTTTTTAACCTGAATTGGTTAAAAAAATATTGGATTATTCTTTTTGAACCTGAATTGGTGAAAAATTTATTAATGAATTATTCTTTTTGAACTTGAGTTGTTGAAAAAATTATTAAATTAATCAAAAGTAGCGTTAAAACTTTTTTCTTAATTTTTGACAATGCTTTGTATGTTAAATTTTGTAACTATGAATTGGTGGAAAATTTGTATGAAAGGCTAAGCAGTATGTGTTATTTACTAGATTAGATGTGTGGTAAAATTGTGATAAAAACAAACATGTATTTATCATATTGTATCAAAAAGGTTTAAAATTTTTTATACCTATTTTTTAAATTGGACATGCTTTTTTTTCACCCCTTTTCCTCTTTTTTTATCCTTGGCCAAAAAAACATTTTTGGGTTCACAAAAAATTTTGTGTACTGTTAAAATTTTAAAAGATGTGTGAATATTTTCCATTAAAATACAACAAATTTGTTATCTTTTAAAAAAAGGCTTTGGATAAAATAAATATATTAAAAAATTTTTAAATTTTTAATTAGTTTTTTTTTTAGGGCCCAAATTTTGAAAATCCCCCCTTGTTTTTTCGAAAATTGCCCAGAAAACAAAAGAGTAACTTTGTCTTCGGGAAAAAAACTCTGGTAAAATTAATTCGAGGGCCTCTTTTGTAGGGCGTCGGGTTGATCCCAAATCACTAGTGCCTCACTGCTAAAAAATTCCCAGGACAAAGCGGTCCCTTGATTTTTTCAAGAAAAGGGCAAGTTTTACTTTTAAAAAGGTTGGGGCCCGACCCCAGATACATCAATTTTCCGTTTGAAATAGAAAACTTTAAACGATTCTTTTAAAAGTATTCCTTCAACGTGAAAACAATGAAATTATAAAGAATTAAAAATTCCTGTAAAATGAAAAAATAAAATTTTAAACAAACACAAACATACAAGACATTTTCATTCTTGAAAATTTGACGTGAAATTTATTGAAGGGTTGTAAAATTTTATTTTCAGTTTAAAAGGGTTTAAAGGGTTTCAATTTTTGGGTTTGAAAAACGGTTCGAAAAACCTGAAAACCGGGGGTAAGTTTTTGACATAGGGCCGGAAAAAAATTTAAAATTAATTCTAAATATTTTTTCTTTTTAAAAAAAGATTTTTTTTAAAAATTAAAGTTTTATCCAACAAATTATTTTTTTCAAATTGGTTTTTTTGGCAATTACTTTTTTAGGTTTAAAGTTCCAAAAAGGTTGCTCCTTAAGAAATCCAAAAAAGGGGCCCTTTTTTGGGAAAGTTTTTAGTAAATTTTTGGGGTTAACCAAATTACCCCGAAGAGAGATTTTTACTTTTTTCGGGTTTTTTTATTGGGACTATTTTTCCCCTTAGTTTTCCCCATGTGATAAAAAATTTGGGGTGAGAAAAGTTGCCTAGCTTTTAAATTTGGGGGTTACTAAAAACTGTGGAAAATTTAAGGGGGAGTTTTAAAAAAAGTTTTTTTGTTCTTTTAAAAATAATTTTAATTTTTTAAATTTTCCTGGGGTTGCCATTATAATTGGCGGGGTTAACCATATTTTGGGTTTTGTTTTCTTGTTTGAGGCAAAAGGTTTTAAACTTTGTTTTTTTTTTGGGGGAATTTTCTCTCTTAAAAAAGAATATGAATTTTACTCAAACCCCTTTAAAACCCAAAAATTTTCAAGACCCTTTATTTAAACCCCAAAAGTTAGAAAAAACCCCAGGCATTTTGTTTTTTTGGAAGTTTTTATTATTCAGTTGTTTTTATTTTTTTTGTGTTAAAAAGAATGAAACACCTTTTAAAAATTTTACTATGAAAAAACCTCTTTCAAAAACTATATTTTTTAGACTAAAATTCTTTTGTTTTCATTTTGTTTTGGGACGCATGCTCCAAATTTTGTTGATTTAAATTTTTTGGGGGGAAAATTATGGGCCCATTTTGGTTTTCTTTTTTTCTTTTTCTTTAAAATGTTATATCCAGAAGTAATGCCCAAATTTTTGGGGTGATAATTCCCCGCCCAATTATTTCTGTGGTTTTAGCATACGGAGAAAATCTTTTATAAATTAAATTAACGGGGAAACCTGTTTTCGGGAAATTGCCCTTTCCCCAGTTTTAAATTTTACCGCCCCCCGATATATGAAAAAAAATTTTGTGTTTTTTAAAAAATTAACCCCTTTAAAAAAAACGGGAGAAAAAACAACAAGGAGACCCCTTTTTAAAATATAATAAATTTAAATTAAAAAATTTTGTTTTGATTTTCTTTTTTTTTAAGGTTTTTATTTAAAGGGGTGGCTTTTTAAAAAATTAAGAAAACCCCAAATCGGGATTGGAGATTTATTGAAAACAACCCCCTTGGGTTATTAAGGTGTAAAGATGACGGGGAGACAATGCGGGTCCTCGGTCAAATGGAAAAAACTTTTACAAAACCCGGGGCCCCACAAACTATGCCCAACAGTGAACCATACTATATGATGTGTACAGATAATTTGTCCCGAAAAAAAAACCTTTTTTTGATAAAAAGTTTCTGGGATAAATTTTAAATTATATTTTCTTTTCCCAAAGGGAATTTTTTTAAAAAAAGTGAAATAAAAGAAAAAAAATTTTTAAAAAATTAAATTCTCAAAAAGAATCACTAAAAAAAATTTTTTAAATCAGTGCATTCAAATTTTTCCCGTTTTTTGGAAAGGAAAGACAAAAGGTTTTGGGTTCATCTAGAGGGCCCGGGGCCAAGATTGGCCATTTCGTCTAAAATATCGTCTACGTTTTTCGTCCCCAAAATACATGGGGGAGGACCTACCCAAAAAAAGGTTTGAAACCTTTTTGCAAGGTGGCCCAAAAAGGTGAGGAAAGGGGAAGAATTTGGGGAAAAATTTTTAAAATTTATTTAAAAATGGAAAATACAAAAAAATATTTTATGTAAAGGGTGACCCCATGCAAAAACTTAAGGTTGTATTATAATAAATCTTCCCCCTGAAATTTTTAAACAAAAAATAAAGTGAAAGAAATTTAAAACCATAAATAAACTCGGGGAAAAAGGGTAAAAAAAAGAAATTTTCAGACTTTTTAAAATTGAAAATGCCCTTTTTGAACAAAAAATTTTAATTTTTAAAAAAAACACATTTTGGATGAGGGGAAGACCTAAAAATTTTCCCTTTAAATTTGGTGTACAAAAAATTTTCTGAAAAAAAATTTCCAGTCCCTTTGATTTTTAAAAATACACAGTGGAGTCCCCCCTAAATTTTTTGAAAGTTAAATTTGAAAAACTTTTCCATTTTTTAGTGTTGGGCCCTTTTTTGCCCTTTGTGTAATAAAACCATATCTCCTATATGTTGCCCCAAAAACGTATTGGCCCAAAGGGTTCCCACTTTGTGAAAAACCCCCGTTTAAATATTTTTTTGGCCCGGGACCGTACGCCCACGGGGGGAGGGTTTGGGGGGGGGGAAACCCCCAATTAATTTGGTCCATTTTCCCCAACCCTTAAATATTTTATCACAGCCTCTTTGATATTTAAATACAGCATTGACACAGGGCCCCTTTAACTTTGGGATTCGATTTCAGGTTTGTGGGCTCATCCCATTTCCCTTTTTTAAAATTGACTTATTTTAAATTTTCAAATTAAAAAATAGTTAAAATGGTTACTGGGGAATTTGGTAGGAAATTTTTTAAACCCAATTTTCTCAGCAATTTACTTATTGCCGGGGCCCCCTTGAAAATTTGGTTTTCCCCAGTATAAAAACTTTTGTGGCCCAAATACCGTGGGTCTTCTTTTTCAGGTATTTTCGCTTTTCCAAATTTTCCAAATTTTACCGACTTAAATTTAAATTTGTCGACGGGTAATGGTAAATCTTTTGGGAAAAATTTTCATAACATTTTCCCAAAGGAAAACTACTTATCAAAACCCCTCCTGATATTTGGCATACACCCATTAACTATTTGGGTTTTGTTTTTCAGGTCTGTAACTCATCCATTTTTTGTTTCCCCGGCTTATTTAAAAAAAAATTTGAAAATTTAAAATGGTAAATAAATGGGAAAAATTTTCCCGAAAAACATTTTTTCTCAACACAGTCTTTGTTTTTTTGGGCCCATTCAGAAATTAACAAAGTGATCCCATTACCGGGGGTTTTTCCTTTTCAGGCCCTGTTTGCCCTTCTTTTCCCACTTTTTTTTCCCCGATTTTAAATTTTTTTCCGACTTTAGGGGCGTGGTAAACCCATTTTTTTGTAAACATCATAGCCTAGATATTTGTTTTACAAATGCAACCCGACATTTTCTTTGACCCATTTTTTGGGTTTTTTGTTTTTAAATTTTTCCCCTTCAAAATGGGAAATGGACTGTTTAAAATTAAAAAGGAGGAAAAATTTTCCAAAATTTTAAAACAATTTTAAGTTTAAAAATTTTTTTGGGAAAATTTATTCAATTGACAAAATACGTATTTTTGAGATAAGTTTATAATTGAATGGCACTCAAAAAAAATGTTTTTTTTTAAGTATTTATTTTTCTCATTTAAATTCCTTTTTAATTTGCAATGTTTTTTCCCTTTTTGGTTTCCACCTTTCAAGTTTTTTTCCCCATTTTTCCAAAAGTTGATATTTTGTTAAAAAATATTTAAAAAGGCACATTTTTCGCTTAGAAATCCCTTGAATTCTTTCATTCGGGGCCATCCCCTTTCCCTTTTATAATCTGGTAAAAAGTTGAAACTATTAAAAAACTAAAAATTGGGGAACATTTGGATTAAAAAATATAGGGAAAAATCGGGGTCAAGTTTTGAATTTGGGTCATGGCCCGAGAGTTATGCCTTTTGTTTGATTTTTTTTAGTTTTGTTTTCCCATTATCTCCCAAACAGTTGAAACATATTCAACCCCCCAAAAATTTTACATTGAATATGCCATTGGAAATGTGCAGGCCCAGGGTTAAATTTTTGGAAAGGGGTTCGATAAATTGTTGACAGTTTTAATTGGCCCCTTTAAACTTTAAAAAAAAAATTTTAAAGGGCCCCTTTTTTCCCCCAACCATTTTTAAAAATTAAACGAAATTTTTGATGTATGAATATGTAATAGGAAATTTTGCGGGGTTAAATTTCCCAATTTTGTCAGCGTTCGTTTTTGTTTTTGGACAGACTTATTTTCCCTTTTTACTTTGAAAAAGGGAATTTTAAAGTTTCTGTTTCATTATCTTCCCCAAAAATTTTTTTGTCCCGAATTCAACCAAAATTTAACCACTTAGCACATCTAATAAAATAAGCTTTGCCAAAGGGTTTAAATTTGGGTTCTTTAAATTTTAAATGTTTAAAACCCAAAAAATTAAAAGCACTTGAATTTTTGGAAAAAATTTAAAATTTTTTCAGTTCCCGCACTGTTTTTTTTTTTGGAAAGGGTATAAACGTCTTTTCTCGGGTTAAAAAAACCAATTTTACCCATTTGTAAAACCCCTTTTTAAACCATTTAAAAATGGCCTTAAAACTTTTGTTTAAAAAGGGTTTTTGTTTTTTACCAATTGAAATAAAATTAAGGACTTTTGAATTTTTGGGAATGAAAAAAAATTTTATGCAAAGGGCCAAAATTTGGAATTTAAAAAAAAAATGTTTAAAAAATTTGAATTTTTGGGCTGATTGTTTTGGCGGGGGCTTTTTGTAGGTACGAAACTTTCTAGTTTTTTATTGTAGGGAAAAAAACTAACACAAAAAAACCGAAACGGGATTTTATTTTTGGGAGTAAAATTTTTAATTTCTTTTTTTATTTTTAATACAATAAAGTGTAGAACCGGGGTAGGTGAGTAACACATAAAAAAAATTGTTTTTGGGGGGGAAACAGATTTTTAAACAGAAAGTAAAAACCATGTGTTTGCAATCAGATCGCTTTCCCGGGTTTAAACGTTCCCAAAAAAGGGCTATTTATACCCAAAAAAAAAATTATTTGTTTTGGTTTTTTCAGTAAAAATGAACGGGTTTTTGCACTTAAATTTTAACAAATTAAGGGGAAAAATTTAACCCAATTGACAGTCTTTTGTATTGTTTTTCTGAATAGGGTTGTCAAAAAAAATTTTAAAATTTGTTTTAAATAGGAAACTGTGATTTTTAAACTATAAATGCAACAAAAATATATCTTTAACAAGAATGGTATGATAATAAAACATATTTTGAAGTATAGACAGCTTGTGTTTAAACGAAAGAATTACAAATTATAATATATTAATTAGTGAATTCAGAATTTATTTTGGGCCAATTGTTGAGCTATAAAAAATTACAAATAAAGGGAAAATTCAGATTTTAATTTTGGGCCCAAAATCTTTTGAGAACTATGCTTATTTATCAATATTTATTTTTAAAATTTTTCTAAATAGTGTTCGGAACCCCCCAATGATTTTATTAATCTGCTTCAAAAGTAAAAGTTTTTTGGAAACAAAGTCTATGAATTATAAAAAAAAACGGGTTTTGCCCTTTTTTATTTTTATTCATTTTTAAAAAGGAAGAAGGGGAAAGGTAAAACATTTTCCCCAAATTTTTTTTTATAAATTTAATTAAAAATTTTTCTAAAAAAGATGAATGAAAAAACTTTTTTAATTTAAATTTTAAATTTTTTAAAAAGTAATATTTTTTCGGAGAAAAAAATATTAGGTTTTGTCCAGTAAAGGGCTGTGTTCCCCTTCTGCAAATTTTAACCTTGATCATTACTTTTTGAAGTTGTTTGGTTTGTACCTTGTCTTCGTTTTGGGTCAAAAACCAATCTTTGGACAAGGACCCTTCCCCAAGGGGAAAAACCCCAAAACAAAACATTTTTTCAAAAAGGGAACCTTGACCTTAAATTTTTATGACAAATATCTAAAGTTTGCTTTGTTTTGCAGATTTTTGCTATAACTTTGTTGTTGTTGTTTTTTTTTTTTATGGTTCAAAAAATTTTCCAAAATAATAAAAGAAAATTTTCTTTTTGGGGTAATGTGAAAAAAATCAATACTTCCCCTTCCTTTAAAACAATTGGTTTTTTTCTTATTTTTTTTTTATTTTTGGGGGGGCAAAATTTTTCCCCATTATTTAAACTTTTTTTAGAAAACCCGGGCATAAAACCCAATTTTTTGCCTTTTTACATTTTAAAAATAGGTTTTTAAAATTTGGGGAGGGGAAATTAAAAAAACCCGGGTTTCCCTTTTTTCTTTTTTTTTTTTGTTTTTTTTTTGGGGGTTTTTTTCTAAAAAGTAAAAATATATCAAAATAATATTTTGATAATTTAAAAATTTTTAACCCCCTTGAAAAATTTAAAGAAAAAGGGGAAAAACTGATTTGAAAAACCTTTTTATTTAAATTTTAATTTCAACTTTTATTAAATAATTAATTTTTTAAAAATAATCGAAAAAGCATATGAGAAAAGTATCAGTTTAAAAAAGAGGAACAATGTAATGAGTAATCGTTTATTCACAATCAAACATCATATCTGAAATAAGCTGTATAGCAGTATTGTCAAGAAACTTTATCATTATAATATTAGCAAGTAAAGATTCTTGGTTCATCATGGACTAAACAGATAAATGAAGAAAACAATAAAAGTAAAGAATAAGCAAACAAATGTGAATCTTAAGCATAAATTTGTTTTCTGATGTTCAGCCTAAACTAAACTTGGATTCGTTTTTATGTTCTTGTTCGAAATTTGACGGAAAAGGCCAAAATGAAGGAAAAGTTTGTTTTGAAAATGTATGTTTTAATCTGTAAAATAAGACTTTACAGACTTTCTAAAGATATAGCATATTTTACAGATTTTCTAAAGATATAACAATCATATTAAACTATTTAATGAAAAATAACTTTATATGCAATAAAATGCGAAAGCCTGAAAGCTGTAGCACTCTTAGATAACATGTATGACTTTAATTGAAATCACAGAAAAGTCAATGAAAAATATAAGTCAAAGTCTTACAAGTTTGAGAAAAAATAAAAATCTTTAGTTAGCAGGGCGCTGCCAATTTTAAAGATCTTTGACTGGTTCTATCTTGGAGCTACTTTAAGATTACAGGTGGCTTTTGCAAAACATTTAACAAAGCGTCTACACAATTCAGACTGTTACTAGCAGAGGCCACAGTCTTGTATCTTGAATTACACTACCAAAAGAAGTATGATGAATACATTATTTCAATTCAACCTACGCTAATAATAAGCATGTAAACAAATAGTAATTTAATGCTAGGAGTTGTTGACAATTTTCACCCCGATATATTAACCCTTTACCTCATACAGACGTGTTTTGACGGCTTTTCATCCACCACCTTTTTGAGGCCTCAAACAGTAACAAAATTTATCATATTTAGGTCGCAAACACTGTTTGTCGTTTGAGAAATGTTGATTAAAATATGATCACTTTTTCGGCGCCGCCCCTATCAAAAAGGTACATCAAGGGGTTGCCAGAAGGGGGATGTGTCCCCTTCTGTTCAGGGGTTTGAAGGGGGCGACTCCCCCCTCATCGCCAAGAAAATTTTGGACATGTGACAGGCTAAAAATGACCTCATCTCGATCGTAAGATAACGTGTAACCAACGCTTTAAAGCCTTTTACTCCATCTAAATCCATTGAAAAGTTGCAGCACTTTGAATCAGATTTGATAAAAAGAAAAACAATGCAAATTTTTTTGTGATTTTTGGCAATTTTGAGACGTCCTTTTCCGTTACCATTCTAACAGGAAATTTAAGATTGAGTTACAAAGGCCATGGTCCAGTCAACATTTGTGCCAAGTTTCATCAGTATTGAAGCATTTTTCATAGTTTCGTAGCAGTTTAAAATTGTAACAGTGGGCTTTTCAATGAAAACGGCCTTTTTTCACAATATGCTCATGAGATAAAGAGTTCAGTAAAATTCCACCTAAAATAAGGTAATTCATAGATATAACAGCTAACAATACATTATTTATGTACTTTTTATAATGGTTGTAGAATTTGAGAGTACAAATGCGAACACCTGACATTAAGTTGGCATATGAAATTAAAAATGTTTGTTAGACAGATTTTAAATTATAATTGAACCAAAACAAACTATATTTTCCTGAGTATGTTAAATATATACATTCGTTTCATATTATCGAAGATTACACTCCCTGTTTCTGTATAAATCTGAAACATAGGTAGAACTTCTTTAAATCCGTGTAAAATCATTCCGATTGGGACACTTCTCTGATTTTATTGAACGAGTTGAATTAAATCATTATGCGAGCCTCTGGCGAGGATGATATTATTTTATACAACAAGTTCAATAAATGCAGTAATGAACCTACACAAATAAAATTTTCTATTTATCTCATACCCCAAACAAAAAATGCAAAAGAGACATTTTTAGCTCGACTTTTTATTTTTTATTTTTATTTAATAAAAAAGTAGAGGTATTGTTACTGACATGTTGGCGTTGCCGTCCACTAACTTGTACTTTGATCACTACTTTTTAAGTTCATGGTGTATTGTCTTCATTCTTGGCCAAAACAACCCTTTAGGATAGCCCTTTAAGTAAACCAGGCAGACCTTGACCTTCACTCATAAATGACCTTGACTTTGAAGGTAAATTATTTAAATTTTCACATTTTTGCTGTAACTGACTGTTACTTTGTTATTATTGAATTGATTGACTTCATATTATAACAGAACATTCTTTAGGATGTGAACATAATGTTTATCAACTGAAATTTAGCTTGACTATTTTATGACCTTGACCTTGAAGGTTTAATTTTTGAATTTTCACTGATTTTTGCATTAATTGACATATATATATTTGCGCACGCACTATGGTACTTTTCGCAAGAAGCTCTTCGCTCTCAAATGTATGCTAAGTCAGATATCAGTCATTGAAGTTGGATTCATGCTTTCAATTTATCATGTTTAATGTTATTTCAAAATGAAATGTGATAGAAAATGTTATTACATTTCAATCAGTTTGATAAACACAAGCAGTATATGATTATTGAAAACTTAATTCTTCAAATTTTTCTTTTTTTTTATCCCATTTTATTGATTAACCAGTAACCCAGAAATGAGCTTACATATATGGAAATTTGCTGCATTGTTTCTTGCCCTTTGTTGAAGAGAAAGTAGGTAGCATTTTAATGCTTGTTGAGGTTTGTTTTCTTGTTCCATACATTGTCCTAAAATATTTAAAGCTGTGTCCCTATGTCCAAGGTCTTCATTAGTGATTATGGTTCTTATAAGTTTACCAAGTGCTTCTTGTTGATCTTGATGCCTTTGTAGATGACTGTAGATCTTGTATTGTAGGAAGTGTAGGAAAGGTAGAGAATCAACTACAGCCCAGTCCATCCAACAGTCTTTATTCCGATGTCTCTGTATCATGTCATCTTGTGTAGATCTGAACATTTCATATTGTAGTTCTTGAGGAACACAGTTGATCTCTTTTTGTATAAATGTGACACAAAATGCAGTTATATGCTTGATACAGTCCTCACTTTGTTCACCACATACCCTCTTGAATTCTGCTGTTACTGTATAGACTTTTTTCAAGCAGCTACACATAGGTAAAACAGGATTAGAGTAATATTGCTGTTCAGTGTGTCTCACAATTAGTTCAGCTTTCTCTATATCTCCTGTACTGTAGAACACTGAAGCCAATTTAAGTCTGCTAGATGAAATATCTGAGTTTAAACCAGCTGATAGCAAGACCAATGCTTCAGGTGACAATTGATTATTTACACCAATGCTAGATGATGCTAGGATAGATCCATATGTAGTAAAAAGAAAAGATGATAAAAACTTGAATGCAGCATGATGTAATATTTTACCATTATCACTGAAGGTCATTAGTTTACCTACAAATTGCTTTATTATTCCAAGGTTTTGATTGTGTATTTTTTTTAAAATAAAGCCATGGCATACACTTGTTCGACGTGCAATGTTTATATATCCATTAGTCAAAACATGTTCATATATTTTAAGAGAGGAAATAAAATAGTAAACTCCATGTGGTATCATGTTCAGTTTAACTTGAAGTCTCTGACTAAAATCATCAATATCAATGCTAAGTAACCCTTGTCCATCATCCTGTATAAGTTCACAAATATTTCGTGAAAGTTCATGTTTTGTCTCAGCTGTGAATTGCCCTGCCATTACATTATTTTCCGGTATAATGAAATGTGAACAGCATTCATTCTGTACACAACTGTGTAATTCCAATAAGCAGTATGTTAAACATGTATATAAATTGTTATCTTTCCATACACTTGTCTCTGTGTTTTGTATACAATGTAAAAGAACTGTTTTACACATGAAACTTGATATATTGATTTCTTTTTGAGGATTTAGGAAGGATTTAAGAATCATTTTCAATAACACATAACACCTTATTTCTGTTATATTTAGATTAACCATTAGACACCTTTCTGGCAGAGATGTAGATATTCTCCATTCCAGTTCAGGATATTCACTAACCTTACTTCCAGTTGGAACAACAAAACACCCAGTACTGGCTGCATATCTTCTCATCTCTTGCGTGGGCCATCTGCTAATACCTTGTCTCTGTAACCAACCTGATGCTGATTGAGGCCATGTTTTACAGGGAAGAGCTATAACTATGTCTCTATCAGTTGATCCATGTTGTCCTTCTAGAGCAATAGATGGTCCATGCTGTTGTGAATCCCCATCAAGTAAAATATTTATCATTGTGTTTTTTAACAAAATTCTTCCTTTTCTGTCAATAATATGGTCTTCATCAAGAATGACAGTAACAGGGAGAGGTTCATCAGTTCGAAGCAGTTGTAAGAAACAATACCCGGGGGTTGTGTTCTCATCGTGTATCATGAGATAGTTTTTCTTGTCATGTTCCCACTCCGACCAGTCTTCTATTATATTGTAATCATGCATACAAAATAGTATATCTAGGTCTGAACCAAGCCCTCTTGTAGTTGTACCTTCACTCTGACTCCCTAGGTTATATTCAATAATATTTGTACCAGTAAACTTGTGCATCATATTACTAATAGTCTCTTGCAGCATGTAATTTCTTCTCCTTCTCATCACCATTCTTTCATTGACACAAATGTCATCTAAAACCTCTGATAACTTCAATGATAGGTTTTCTCTGTAGTCAGGTTCTTGAAACATTCTGTAAATGTTAGTAAAAGGAAAATGTTTTTTTCAGTCACCTGCCAAAACAATTTTGTCACATACTTTTATTTCTAAATCTTTTGTCATATAACAGAGCAGAACAGGAGAGTCACTCGTGACATTATGAAACATAAAATAAATAAGTTGGGGTAGATATAAATTGATTAAAAATATTAATTTTTTTCTATATCTTTTAACTATCTACAATATTTTTGTCAAAAGGTATTCTGATAAACCATATATATCCAGGATTTCTTTTACATTTGACACCCAGTGCTTTTTATCTTTATAACAATCAGATAAACTTATTCCTTAAAATTAAAATGTCAGTTTTTATCGATTTGGCATCAAAATTTAATTATTCGTACGTATTTATCTATATACAATGGGTTAAGGCCGAGTTCGCCGTATATACTGACATTCAATGCTTGTATGTGCTCTAACATTTAAAATTCTTTTACAAAATTTAAAGTGAATACGTTCATTATCTTTTGATTTGCTGTAACCCTATATTATATGATTGAGCCTATAAAAGAATCAAATAATTGACATTATGATTTCGGTTTTAAATCCATGTCTTTACAATTTGTCAATTATTTGTTCATTGCTTTTAAAGCTTTAACAGTTTAATGTTTATTATTAAGAGAATAATTGCCTGTATAGCTAAATATTGTACTAAAGTAGATAAAATGTTAGATACTACTTCTATTGTCTGACCGTAATAAGTCCATTTTTCATTGATAATAATACGCCGTCTTTTTCTAAAGACAACAATTTTAGTTTTAATGGTATTAACCTCTAATTCCCATTTAAAGCAATATGTGTACAAAAGATCTAACCTTTTTTGTAAATCTCGGGAGTTTTACCTACAATGGCCACATTTTCAGCAAAAAGCAAATAAAATCAAAACAATATCACCAATCAATAATCCTGAGTTTAAGTTATATTGTAAACAGAATTCAAGGGGAGAACATAAATGGCGGAGTTACCTCCCCTTACAGAAGCCTACAGCATACTTGAAAAAATCTGCAAAGGTGTTACAAGATCTTATTCATGAATTTACTTTGTCATACATATTTTTAATGATTCATAATATTTTTCCTTGTATACTACATTTATACAGTTTCATCCATAATGAATTTCTATGAATACTATCAAAACATGATTTATAAAACATTTACACAGTTTCGTCCATAATAAATTTCTACAAATACTATCAAAACAAGATTTATACCACATTTATACAGTTCTATCCATAATGAATTTCTACAAATACTATCAAAACAAGATTTAAACCACATTTATACAGTTTCATCCATAATGAATTCGTACAAATACTATCAACACAAGATTTATACCACATTTATACAGTTTCATCCATAATGAATTTCTACAAATACTATCAAAACAAGATTTATACCACATTTATACAGTTTCATCCATAATGAATTTCTACAAATACTATCAAAACAAGATTTATACCACATTTATACAGTTTCATCCATAATGAATTTCTACAAATACTATCAAAACAAGATTTATACCACATTTATACAGTTTCATCCATAATGAATTCCTACAAATACTATCAAAATAAGATTTCTACCACATTTATACAGTTTTATCCATAATGAATTTCTAACAATACTATCAAAACAAGATTTATAACACAGTTATGCAGTTTCATCCATGATAATGAATTTCTACAAATACTATCAAAACAAGATTTATACCACATTTATACAGTTTCATCCATAATGAATTCGTACAAATACTATCAACACAAGATTTATACCACATTTATACAGTTTCATCCAAAATGAATTTCTACAAATACTATCAAAACAAGATTCATACCACATTTATACAGTTTCATCCATAATGAATTTCTACAAATACTATCAAAACAAGATTTATACCACATTTATACAGTTTTATCCATAATGAATTACTACAAATACTATCAAAACAAGATTTATACCACATTTATACAGTTTTATCCATAATGAATTACTACAAATACTATCAACACAAGATTTATACCACATTTATACAGTTTTATCCATAATGAATATCTACTAATACTATCAAAACAAGATTTATACCACATTTATACAGTTTTATCCATACTGAATTTCTACAAATACTATCAACACAAGATTTATACCACATTTATACAGTTTTATCCATAATGAATTACTACAAATACTATCAAAACAAGATTTATACCACATTTATACAGTTTTATCCATGATAATGAATTTCTACAAATACTATCAAAACAAGATTTATACCACATTTATACAGTTTTATCCATAATGAATTACTACAAATACTATCAAAACAAGATTTATACCACATTTATACAGTTTTATCCATAATGAATTACTACAAATACTATCAAAACAAGATTTATACCACATTTATACAGTTTTATCCATAATGAATATCTACTAATACTATCAAAACAATATTTCAAATCAATAAACCCTACCTATAAACGTTTATTATCATTTAAATATTGTTGTATTACAGAATGTAGAATGAAAATTGCATCAACGGTTGATATCCCCTTTCTAATCAGAAATAGGTTCTTCATAGGTAAAATCATCAAAAATCATTACATTTATTATTGTTGGAACTGAATTTATTATGAGATAAATGTTCAAAAAACAATTCAAACTTCTCAAGAGTAATATCTTTAGAAACATTAGCCGTTTTCCTAAAATGTCGCTAAAACTGTTTGGGTTTACAAAATCTAAAGCGTTCAATTTCAAAATATCTATTCTTTTTCTTTCGGATTATATTTTTATATTCTTTCTTACATTGACACAAATATTTCTTACTTGCTGAAGTTTTACATATATAAAACGAGTTAAAGGCATATTAAAGAATATTGGCTGATCTACAAAGATCAATCAATTTTACACAGTAACTATTACTATAAGGAACTGTTAAATTGACAACATAGGACAATAATATGCATTAAAGGTCACCGGTATGCAAATCTAAACAAAACTTACAGTGTGGTTTATGAGTTATAGACATTTTTTTTAACTAAAATTTCGCTATCAGAAGGACTCTTTTTTCAGAAATGAGGGCACTCTTAATAATTTATTATATCATCATTATGAAAAATGGTTTCCTATTGCTCATTGTTAAGAAACAAATAATAACAATTAGGTAACAAATCAGACGAGCAAAATGATTCTTTCTAACCAAAATGTTTTTAATATGTATAAATTTGTTATCCTACCCCATCCACTTTTAACACTCATTTGACCATTTCCCTACGTAAAAAGCCTTATTTAAGATATCTCTAAAATTTACGATAATGAGGGGCTGTTTTCAAAGTTGGCCCAATTCTTTAAAAAAGTATATTTGTTGGTCTAGCAAAATATAAAAAAAAATTACCGCATAGTTTTTATTTTATTAAAATTTGAAAATATTTGGTATCATATTTGCTATTACATTTGGCATTATTTACCAACTAAATACAACACTAATTATAAGATTGAAGTCTCCAAAAGGGATCTAAGAGGTACATAAATAATGTTTAAAAGAAAAAAAGAGAAAGAAAAAAAGTTGTCCCTAGTGGGGTTTTAACCCACGCCCCTAAGTTTTCATGCAGTTGACAGTGTTTCTAGCCTATCTGAATACTCTTCAAAGTGGAGGTAGAGTGCATTAGAGTACACAATTCATTAAAAGAAATAAGTTTATTTCATTTACTTTTTTGAGATTGATTAAAGTTAGACACCAACATTCTAACAAAAATATTCCAGGACACACTTTCTTACATAATTCATTCTATACAAATGAGAAATTGTGTATTAAGAATAAAGTTTTAAACTTACTTTGATTTACTTTAATATAATTTTTCACGATGTTTAATTACCATGGTAACATAGACTATTAATTTATCATGATATTTAACATGGTGACATAGACAATTAATCTATCATGATATTTAATATTATGACATAGACAATTTATTTATTATGACGTTTACCACGGCAACATAGACAATTGATTAATCATGATGTTTACTTATCATTGTAACATAAACAATCAGTTTATCATGATGTTTTCCATGGTAACATGGACAACTAATTTATCATGATGTTTACCATGGTAACATTAATTTATCATGGGGTTTACCATGGCAACATAGACAATCAATAAGTCATGATATTTACCGTGGTAACATAGACAATTTATCATAATGTTTACCGTGGTAACATAGACAGTCAATTTATCATGTTTACATTATTAATTAAATGTGAAATTGTTTACATAAAATAAAGTTTTAAACTTACATTGAATATCGGATTTAATAATCCTCGTATTTCTTAAAAATAATCAAGAGAAAATAATTCTTTTCATTGACCAGATACGTGGAAACTTTGCATATTGTACTTCCTCTTTCTGTTTTGGATAAAAAATGTTAAGGGACATAACTTTCTTCTCCCTTTTTTATGAATGCTATTAAAGTTTTTAGCTCACCTGTCAGAAAGTGGCAATATGAGCTTTAGTGATATCGTGTTTTCTGTTGTCTGTCGCTCGTCAGTCCGTTCATGCGTTAACTTTTTTATTCAAATGACTTTTTCCTTCAATACCGCTTGGCCAAATTTAATGAAACTCGGCAGGCATGTTTCTAGCATGAACTTCTACCAAAATTGTTAAAGTAATGAAATTCCTTAAAAAAACTCTGGTTGCCATTGACAACCAAAATGTTTTTTTAAAACAAAACCTTAAAAAATATTCTTGTCAATAGCAGAAGGTGTAAAGAGCCTTAATATTTGGTATATAACATGATCTAGTGGTCCTCTACGAAGATTGTTCAAATGATGACCCTAGGGTCAAAAGGGGTCCCGCCAAGGGGCTCATCAGTTCTATATAAAGATTTATAGGGAAATTTTAAAAATGTCTTTTTGTCAAAATCCACAAGGCCTTGAGCCTTGATATTTGGAAGGTAACATGATCTAGTGGTCCTCTACAAAGATTGTTCAAATTATGTTCATTATGCCCCTATGGTTAAGAGGTCCCGTCATGCGGGTTACAACTAATGGTATTAAACTCTAATTCCCATTTAAAGCAATATGTGTACAAAAGATCTAACCTTTTTTGTAAATCTCGTGAGTTTTACCTACAATGGCCACATTTTCAGCAAAAAGCAAATAAAATCAAAACAATATCACCAATCAATAATCCTGTGTTTAAGTTATATTGTAAACAGAATTCAAGGGGAGAACATAAATGGCGGAGTTACCTCCCCTTACAGAAGCCTACAGCATACTTGAAAAAATCTGCAAAGGTGTTACAAGATCTTATTCATGAATTTACTTTGTCATACATATTTTTAATGATTCGTAATATTTTTCCTTGTATACTACATATATACAGTTTCATCCATACTGAATTTCTATGAATACTATCAAAACATGATTTATAAAACATTTACACAGTTTCGTCCATAATAAATTTCTACAAATACTATCAAAACAAGATTTATACCACATTTATACAGTTCTATCCATAATGAATTTCTACAAATACTATCAAAACAAGATTTATACCACATTTATACAGTTTCATCCATAATGAATTCGTACAAATACTATGAACACAAGATTTATACCACATTTATACAGTTTCATCCATAATGAATTTCTACAAATACTATCAAAACAAGATTTATACCACATTTATACAGTGTCATCCATAATGAATTCCTACAAATACTATCAAAACAAGATTTATACCACATTTATACAGTTTTATCCATAATGAATTTCTAACAATACTATCAAAACAAGATTTATAACACAGTTATGCAGTTTCATCCATGATAATGAATTTGTACAAATACTATCAAATCAAGATTTATACCACATTTATACAGTTTCATCCATAATGAATTCGTACAAATACTATCAACACAAGATTTATACCACATTTATACAGTTTCATCCATAATGAGTTTCTACAAATACTATCAAAACAAGATTTATACCACATTTATACAGTTTTATCCATAATGAATTACTACAAATACTATCAAAACAACATTTATACCACATTTATACAGTTTTATCCATAATGAATATCTACTAATACTATCAAAACAATATTTCAAATCAATAAACCCTACATATAATCGTTTATTATCATTTAAATAATTTTGTATTACAGAATGTAGAATGAAAATTGCATCAACGGTTGATCTCCCCTTTCTAATCAGAAATAGGTTCTTCATAGGTAAAATCATCAAAAATCATTACATTTATTATTGTTGGAACTGAATTTATTATGAGATAAATGTTCAAAAAACAATTCAAACTTCTCAAGAGTAATATCTTTAGAAACATTAGCCGTTTTCCTAAAATGTCGCTAAAACTGTTTGGGTTTACAAAATCTAAAGCGTTCAATTTCAGAATATCTATTTGGATATAAAAGTTTTCTTTTTCTTTCGGATTATATTTTTATATTCTTTCTTACATTGACATAAATATTTCTTACTTGCTGGAGTTTTACATATATAAAACGAGTTAAAGGCATATTAAAGAATATTGGCTGATCTACAAAGATCAATCAATTTTACACAGTAACTATTACTATAAGGAACTGTTAAATTGACAACATAGGACAATAATATGCATTAAAGGTCACCGGTATGCAAATCTAAACAAAACTTACAGTGTGGTTTATGAGTTATAGACATTTTTCTGAACTAAAATTTCGCTATCAGAAGGGCTCTTTTTTCAGAAATGAGGGCACTCTTAATAATTTATTATATCATCATTATGAAAAATGGTTTCCTATTGCTCATTGTTAAGAAACAAATAATAACAATTAGGTAACAAATCAGACGAGCAAAATGATTCTTTCTAACCAAAATGTTTTTAATATGTATAAATTTGTTATCCTACCCCATCCACTTTTAACACTCATTTGACCATTTCCCTACGTAAAAAGCCTTATTTAAGGTATCTCTAAAATTTACGATAATGAGGGGCTGTTTTCAAAGTTGGTCCAATTCTTTAAAAAAGTATATTTGTTGGTCTAGCAAAATATATAAAAAATTACCGCATAGTTTTTATTTTATTAAAATTTGAAAATATTTGGTATCATATTTGCTATTACATTTGGCATTATTTACCAACTAAATACAACACTAATTATAAGATTGAAGTCTCCAAAAGGGATCTAAGAGATACATAAATAATGTTTAAAAGAAAAAAGAGAAAGAAAAAAGTTGTCCCTTGTGGGGTTTTAACCCACGCCCCTAAGTTTCAATGCAGTTGACAGTGTTTCTAGCCTATCTGAATACTCTTCAAAGTGGAGGTAGAGTGCATTAGAGTACACAATTCATTAAAAGAAATAAGTTTATTTTATTTACTTTTTTGAGATTGATTAAAGTTAGACACCAACATTCTAACAAAAATATTCCATGACACACTTTCTTACATAATTCATTCTATACAAATGAGAAATTGTGTATTAAGAATAAAGTTTTAAACTTACTTTGATTTACTTTAATATAATTTTTCACGATGTTTACCATGGTAACATAGACTATTAATTTATCATGATATTTAACATGGTGACATAGACAATTAATCTATCATGATATTTAATATTATGAAATAGGCAATTTATTTATTATGACGTTTACCACGGCAACATAGACAATTCATTAATCATGATGTTTACTTATCATTGTAACATAAACAATCAGTTTATCATGATGTTTTCCATGGTAACATGGACAACTAATTTATCATGATGTTTACCATGGTAACATTAATTTATCATGGGGTTTACCATGGCAACATAGACAATCAATAAGTCATGATATTTACCGTGGTAACATAGACAATTTATCATAATGTTTACCGTGGTAACATAGACAGTCAATTTATCATGTTTACATTATTAATTAAATGTGAAATTGTTTACATAAAATAAAGTTTTAAACTTACATTGAATATCGGATTTAATAATCCTCGTATTTCTTAAAAATAATCAAGAGAAAATAATTCTTTTCATTGACCAGATACGTGGAAACTTTGCATATTTTACTTCCTCTTTCTGTTTTGGATAAAAATGTTAAGGGACATAACTTTCTTCTCCCTTTTTTATGAATGCTATTAAAGTTTTTAGCTCACCTGTCAGAAAGTGGCAATATGAGCTTTTGTGATATCGTGTTTTCTGTTGTCTGTCGCTCGTCAGTCCGTTCATGCGTTAACTTTTTTATTCAAATGACTTTTTCCTTCAATACCGCTTGGCCAAATTTAATGAAACTCGGCAGGCATGTTTCTAGCATGAACTTCTACCAAAATTGTTAAAGTTATGAAATTCCTTAAAAAACTCTGGTTGCCATTGACAACCAAAATGTTTTTTTAAAACAAAACCTTAAAAAATATTCTTGTCAATAGCAGAAGGTGTATAGAGCCTTAATATTTGGTATATAACATGATCTAGTGGTCCTCTACGAAGATTGTTCAAATGATGACCCTAGGGTCAAAAGGGGTCCCGCCAGGGGGCTCATCAGTTTTATATAAAGATTTATAGGGAAATTAAAAATGTCTTTTTGTCAAAATCCACAAGGCCTTGAGCCTTGATATTTGGAAGGTAACATGATCTAGTGGTCCTCTACAAAGATTGTTCAAATTATGTTCATTATGCCCCTATGGTTAAGAGGTCCCGTCATGCGGGTTACTACCAAGTTTGTTAGATAAAAGCCCTAGGGTCAAAATTTGCCCGGCCCCAGGGGTCATTGATTTTCGTTATTTTTATATAGAAAAAAAATATCTTCTTGTGAAAATCCAAAAGAGGTAGAGCTTAGATATTTAGCATGAAACATGTTCCAGTGTATGTCTACCATGTTTGTTAAATAAAAAACCTTAAGGGTCAGAATAAGCCCGGCCCCAGGGGATCGAGTTTGACAGTTCAATGGCTCAAGCTAGGTCAAATGTTTGTTTTCCTTCTCTCTTTTTCTGACATTTTTTTATAAGTTCACCTCTCACTTAGTTACACGCTGATTTGTTTAATAAAAAGGCTGTCAGAGCTAAAATTATAAAACAACATCTAAGTCATTGCTTCAATTTTGAAATTAATTTACACATTATAGACGTTGAAATATGAAGTAAGCCGTTTTGAAAAAAAATCATATTTCAGTGAAATACAAGCGTGCACAGTACAGGAAACCAACATAACAACGCGACGTCATAAATGGTGTCACATTGCATTATTAGTTGGCACACTTTTCATTTAGTATTAGGTTAAAATATCTTTTTATATGTTTCTTTGCATACAATTAAATGAAATTTGTTTAGTTTAGTGTAAGATCGAAATATATTTCACCTCGTTGATCCGCCACTGAGAAATAAACATTTTGGTGCCCACTCTGTGTCTTTCACTGACCTCTATTTATTTGAATGTAAAGGTGTCACCTTTATCTGTTTACAATGGTTATAGTCAAATTTAGCTATAAAAAGAACCCCAGAAAATTCAACAGGAGGTAGTCCCTGCAAGAAGATGTTTCATGCTAAATATCTTGGTTCTAGCTCTTTGGGGTTTTTAAACAAGAGGGCCATGATGGCCCTGAGTCGCTCACCAGAATCAACTGCCAATGTCAATATATTCTAACATTAAATTTGAGCATAGAATATGTTTAAACAATAATTTGAAGAAATATCATGACCTGGGGTATTTAAGCTTAAGTTTAAACGGGTTTAATCAAATTAATATGAGCAAACTTGATAAAAGACTACCTTAGAATGCTACAAAGTTTAGTCATCATCTATCAATTATTTCAGTATGAAATGATGTTCGAAGGTTTTTTTTCTATTTTTAGCTTAAGTGGCCCCTAAAGGGGGCTAATCAAATTAATATAAGCAAACTTGATAAAAGAATACCCAAGAATGCCACAGACAAAGTTTGGTGATCATCCATCAATTAGTTCTGTAGCAATAGACGTTTAAATGTATATCTATTTCTAATTTTAGCGGCCCCTAAAAGGGGTCAATCAAAATAATATGAGCAAACTTGATAAAAGACTACCCAACAACGTTTAAGACAAAGTTTCGTGATCATCCATCAATTAGTTCTGTAGAAATAGACATTAAAAGGTATTTCTATTTTTAGCTTAAGTGGCCCCTTTAAGGGGCCAATCAAATTCATATGAGCAAACTTGATAAAAGACTACCCAAGAATGCTACAGACAAAGTTTGGTGATCATCCATCAATTAGTTCTCTAGAAATAGACATTAAACGTTATTTCTATTTTTAGCTATAGAGACCCCTAAAAGGGGCGCATCAAATTAATATGAGCAAACTTGATAAAAGACTACCCAAGAATGCTACAGACAAAGTTTGGTGATCATCCATCAATTAGTTCTGTAGGAGAAGATGTTTAAAGGTTTTTCTATTTTTAGTCATAGAGACCCCTAAAAGGGGCCAATCAAAATATTATTAGCAAACTTGATGAAAGACTACCTAAGAATGCTAGAGACAGAATTTGGTGATCATCCATCGATTAGTTCTCTAGAAATAGACATCTAAAGGTTTTTTCTATTTTAGCTTTAGTGGCCCCTAAAAGGGACCAATCAAATTCATATGAGCAAACTTGATAAAAACACTACCAAAGAATGCTACAGACAAAGTCTGGTGATCATCCATCCATTAGTTCTGTAGAAGAAGATGTTTAAAGGTTTTTCTATTCTTAGCTCTGCTGACCCCTAAAAGGGGCCAATTTGAATGACATGAGCGAATTCAAGTGTGACTGTCACAGACCAAATTTGAAGTAAATCTGCTTAGTAGTTTCAAAGAAGAAGACGATTGTTGACGCATGACAACGAACGATGGACGCAGGAGCATCCCCCTTTGATACTAATAGCTCACCCTGAGCCTTCGGCTCTGGTGAGCTAAAAAAAAAATCAATGACCTCCCGGGGCAGGGCCAATTTTGACCCAGGGCTTTTATTTAAACAAACTTGGTAGACATCCACTAGAAGATGCTTCATACTAAATGTCTAACCTCTAGCTCTTTGGTTTTTTTCAAAAGATTTTTTTTCTTTTTACTTTATACATATAAGGAAAATCAAAGACCCCCTTGGGCAGGGCCAATTTTGATTTGAGCAAACTTGGTAGACACTCACTAGAAGATGTCCATGCCAAAAATCAAAGCTCTAGCTGACTGGGTTTTTTTTAAAAGATTTTTTTTTCAGTTTTTTTTTCTCTTGGTTGCCATGACAACCAGAATTCTGCATGGCTTTAAATTCTTTGAACAATATGTAAAGGTGACCACCAAAGGAACATTCCTGTGATGGTTGGATGAAATTGGCTTAGCAGTTTATGAGGAGATGTCCTTTAAAGTAAAAGTTTACGGACGGACAGATGCCAGACGAAATTATTATTATTTAAGTGATCACAAAAGCTCACCTTGTCATTTTGTGACAGGTGAGCTAATGATTGGTAAGCTAAGCAAGTATTTGACACAGAGATAGAAAAGTTTTAAATTGATTCTTAATATTTCCTTAGTTTTATTTAACAAGATTTTTGTATTGTAGTACTCAACAATATATGTTTTACGATCTGGACAAGTACGGTTACATCCAAACAAAAAATAGTTACTTTACGCCATATTCAGATATGTATTGTACGGTCGAGGGGTGAGTCGATGACTTCTAATCCAGCGTGAGTTCGATCCCCAGGTGATGCTTTGGTAGTTTAGCACGGAGGAAGGTACAGTACGCTCAGCGCGGCTTTTGCAAAACCCGCGTGACCACGCGGATGAGGTTTACCGCGGACGAAAATTTGCTCAGATATTGTCCGCGTGACCCCGCGGACAGAAAATTTTCACCACCGCGGACATAAATCGGCGGCTGAAACCGTTTCCCCCGCGGAACGCAGAGGTAAATTGCGGAGGAACGCGGCGGTCAAACACCGGTCAACGCGGTGGAAACCTTCAATTTTAAAAATTAATTACTGTATTTAAACATCAGTATACGTACGTACTGTAACATGTACTGCACATATAACTATATGTAAAATTTGTTTGTTTGTTTTCTTTTTTGTTGTAATAAAAGTACATGTACAAATGCAGTGTATTTCTTGTTCTTCTTCTTGTTATTGTGTTGGGTAATGTATAATATGTATTCGACATCAAGATAAATCATTGTCGTCGCAACTTCATGGTAGTGAGAAACTTGAAGTCAAATAATGAAAAATTCGGCATATGACATTTATGAAAAAGATACTGCAACAATTTATATGCCAGCTTTTGTTTCTTATTTAAAAACTTTGAAAACGTAACCCTCAACAATTTATTCAGGCAATATTCCAGGACGTATCTTTCAATCGTCAGATGCGTTTTACTGTTTCTGTTTATTTGCATGTTGATCATAAAGTCTTATATTTTATTTGGAACATTAAAAGAAAGCGTTTATTTCACCAAAATATACATTAAATGATATTCTTAATTTATCTAATTACAGGTGTGAGCGTAATGTATATGTTTTGAAGTTTGTATCAACTGTTGAAGTTTATTTTCATTTTTGTTTTAGTAGTTTGTTTGTTTGTTCTTTTTTATTTTTTTATAGATTTTTTTTGCAGAATTTTGTTAAACTTGACGTTATACTTTTTGTTATTTCATTATGAACAGTATGCATGTACATACATGTATATAAGGCAAACAAGCACATGGCAGTTATTTTCCAAGAACTTTCATCGACTGATTTTCAAGTTAAAAATATTTCATTTTATTTTTATCTTAAGATATTATTGTTCATAGGAATAATAGTATTTGTAGACAACATGTAGTTTTAAGTACATACAATTGAATATTAAAAACAACAACAAAAACAGGTACAGCTGTAATTATTTTTATTTCATATTCCGTTCAAATAATTTAACGTATAATAACATTTAAGGAGACGATTGTGGTCAATTTTCAAGTCATTGTGTAAAAAAGATGACGTTAAAAAATAATAAAACGTCTATTACTTTTGGAGGTTAATTTATACTGACCAACTGACCATGGCGTTCCCCCGCGGGAATCGGGTGACTGATTTTATCGATGAATGAAGAACGGTTGTCAGAATTTTGTCCGCAGTGGAAACAACTGAACACCGGGGATCGCGGGGAAATTAGGCTTCTCATCGTGGACGAACCACCGCGTTTGTCCGCGATAAAAAAATCGTCCGCGTTGGTATCGCGGAAAAAGCAAAACCCGCGGTGAGCGTACTGTAGTCTAGTACTGGTGTAACTCTCCTGGAACGATGGTTAGGAAACTACCCGCCTATATGACTGAAATACTGTTGGGAAAAGGCGTAAAATGAAACAAACAAACACTGTCATATTTTGTCATAAAGAAACAAAGTTTTATAGGTATGGTTGGTTAAATTATTAAAACCATTAGCATTTTTCTTACCATTTTACACCCCTATTTGAATGCTTCTTATTGAGGTTTAGTCATTTACCACACTTAAATTGAAAGAAAATACTCTTTAGACCACAATCTCTTGAGTGTCTGAATGGAGTATACACAAATTTGGCGGACAGTATCCTTGAAGTCCAAATTTTGCAATCTGATTTGTTAATTAAAACTACCTTTGCAAGAATATTCAGCAAAGCAAACTTAAGTACATGTTTAAAAGAAAAAAGTCATTATTTTCAGTATTCTTTATTGTATCAACAAAACGAAAATGGCACAAAAACTTACAACAAATATCGCCAAGCAAAAGAGTATCTAAAGATTAAAGAATTGTACAATTTGTTCAATCATGTTTTAATCAGATGGTATATTTAGAAATACACTTTCATATCATTTACATTACAAAGGCAAACAACATACCTCACTCAAAAATCTGATCTATATAATCTTTCCATTGATGTTCAATTCTTTTACAAACCTTGAAAAGGAATCTATTCAGCTAACTTAACGAAGATAATGGGTCTTATTTGGTGCCAACTTAATAATGCAATGCTTTGGGACACCCGAGGTCTACTTCCCCCCAAGATGACTGCAAAGTTGAAGTAGGATCTCAAAGGTATTGGTGTGACTAGAAAACCAGAATAAGGATTTGTTTTGTTTTCTATTGTGGCTTTTTATACCATGCAGTTGTTAACATTAGCGTGTGCTTTTAAATGATGTGTTCCACATAAAAGTCCAATCCTGCCTTGGACAATGAATTCATCTAATATAAAGAATACACCAGTTACTTGACGACTGCTTATATCAAAGTGCCTGACGTAAATTATGCACCCTGTGACCTGCAGTTTTATCAAAACTGGCAAAAACTGGCAAAATGCAAAAATAACACATACCCAGTTAGTCGATTGTATACAACTTGAATGATTTAAAATATATGGAATATTATGTTGAAGTAGCTTTCTGATACTTTGTATTTTGCTACGAGCAGCGTCAGAAAATTGATATCTTGCGAGACCTTAGGTAAAGTGAGATATCAATTTTCAAACGTTGTGAGAAACAAAATACATAGCCTCAGAAAGCTACTAGGACATAATTTTCCTTTTATTATATACCTATTTATTTTAAGTATAAGGAGTTTCAATATATACTTCACTTCTATTAGTAATTTCAGAAAATGAAATGTAGCTGTCAAGAAATAATTTCATGAATGACAGATGAATATGTAATTTTGCAACAGCAACCACGTCTTTAATAATTTTGGTTTCTGTTTCAAAATGCTACGTTATACACAGCAAAGATCTGAACCAACGTCAAATATAGTCTGGCATTTCCATATATGGTACGTATTTGTCACTAACATAATACGGAATTTTCTATGCGTTGAGGCGTATTCACCCTTCAAGATTTGCGTGTATTTTAGGGAGAAAATTTATAGGTATATGATAAATGCAAGTACAAAGTATTCTCCTACAGAAGTTTTTCATTTTCTTTTGTACAAACATGTTACTTGTTACAAATACTACACTTCTCAAAAATGATCTTAACCACTTGTCAAGCTTTTTTTTCCGCACTTACACAAAATCATATCAGTTTGATCTTTTTATATCTCGGCATTTTTATAGGTAGGAGATAAGGATTGTCTATAGAATCTGCTTCTGAACTGTCTGTTTTATTTTGCCCTGACTCAGAATCATCACTCCGTGAAGGAATTCCATCGTTTTGTTTTATGTTTGGAATATCTGTGGGCTCTAATGTGTCAAGATCGTGATCTTTCGGTAACAGGGCCATCAGATACGGGTGAGGATTTTGCTGCACAGCTATTACTGAAGAAAGAAAGAATGATTACAATAACGTCATGTACACTAACGCTACAGCAGAAAAAAGTTCATATATCGAAGGTTTGAAATGAAATGGTGTACATGTACTTATAAATGTATGTAATACCAGAGATGAATAATGTATTCCAACAAAACTAACAGAAGTCAATATGAAAAAAGATAATTTGCTCATTTTAGAGCATATTTTTTCACATATTTTTAATAAACACTTAATATATGAGGTAACATAAAGTGAAGAAACTATTTATTTTTCTATTTTTTCAATACTGCGAAAAAATCATGCCATAATTATGCAATGTGAGTTAAAGATTGAAAATTCTGGCCTCTATTTTTTTAATACAATTTGGGACAATACATTCTTTCATGGCATGAAGCCAGCTGGTGTATTTTGATTCAATGGTTCCACAAAGATATCCCTACAACTTGTTTATGTTACGTAACTTAACTACCTCTCTGAACTAAGCCCTCTGCCAAAAATATCTTAACACTGCCCCAGGTAAGGCCAGAAAGTAAGAGCATTAACAGTATCATGGGTCCCAATCTTATTTCCTTCTTAAAAAATTGTAGGAGTACCAAAATGGTGAAAAATCACTTTATTTGCTTTCATACAAAACACTTTAACCACCTGTTAAAACAAACTGAAAATATGATTAATTATTAAAAGAACTCCACTGAGGTCCAAAAGCCTAAAAATATAAAATTTGAATTTCTTACAAATATCAACTGGGGCACCTAAAACAGAAAGCTGATTAAAAAATATACTCCGAAATTAATTGAAAATTGTACTTTTGTGATATTCCTAGCTCAATTTGAATGAAAACATGTTGCATTGCTTTTCACTGTTGAGTAATTTTTCACAATTAGAATAATTTTTCTGTAAAAAAAAAATAGAGTGAGTAAATGATCTGAAATTTTTTACACCAGTTATTTGCCTTAAACCTTCATTAATTTTAAAAATCATATTGAGTCCTGTCATGTAAAAAAGCTCAGTGGAGTTCCTTTAACCTTTGCCCTGCTGCAACAGAAAGTGACCAGCCTTTGCCACCAGTATAAAGCCATGACAGCCTTTACTTCTGTGCTGTCTTGGTAACTTTTCATTCCAAACATTTTCATTTCAAAATTACCCTAAATTAAAAATGGACAGTTCCAATAAAAGGAGGTGGACAAGTCCATTTCAGAAATTCAGCAGAGTAGCCGGAAGGGTTCAAAATGGAATATGATTGCTCTTAACACGGTAATAAAAGAAAACTATTCAAATTACAATAAAAATAATGAAAATGACTTAAAATTTAGCTAGAATAATAAAAGAGAATCACAATAATAAAAGAGAATCACTTGAATTAAGGCTGGAGAAACCTACGTTGAAAAGAAGACGTATCGTCCTTGCTTATTAAGGACGGATGGACAGACAAATGGACAGCAAAGGCAAAAATGTTATTTCTCCCAAATATTTTTTGAGAGACAATAATACTCTGATTAAAGCTGGAGAAACTTACGTGGAAAAGATGATGTATCGTCCTTGAACAAACTCTGTGTAAATCCAGTCTTGGCTACGTATCTCGTCAAAGCTCTTTCAGTGTCTCGTTTGTAAGATGCAGCTTTCTCTCGTATCAGCTGGTACTCAGATACTGGCTGCTTATGTGACTGAAAAAATGGGTACCAGCTAAAGAAAAAACTTTTATTTGTAACATAATGAATGAAATTTGGATAAAAGTATACAGATTTATTTAACAACTAAAAATATCATTCTTTAGACAACATTATAATTTTGACTCCAATTGTATAAATCATTAAAATGAAGAAAATCTGCAATGATTCCGAAATTTTCCTTGACACACTCAGTGCTTGATAGTAAAACAAGAGCCTAGATAATGTACAATTTTCTAAGCTCAAACAGGGCCATAATTCTGTCAAAATCCATGTTAGAGTTATGGGCCTTAGACATCAACTTAATATGCTCTGAAGTAAGTGTGCAAAGTTATCAGTTGTTTTGGAGATAACAACTTGCACATAAAAACTTAACCAAAGTGTGACAATAGCACTGACACTGGGTGAGTACAATCTCCAGGGCTTGAGTTAGAGGGTGACTCAGGCCAGGAAGTCGCCTTCGGATGAATGACTTTGTCGTAAACAAACTTAAAAGCGATTTTAAAGTCGCCCGAAGTCACTTCTCCCTAAAATTTTGACCAAGCTCAAGCCCTGATCTCCCTATTTTTTGAATACTTGAGATAAAAAGGGGTGAAAAAATGGAGTACATGTATTTTGCAACATGAAATATACAGTTAAACTTCGTTCGCTCGAACTCGGATCGCTCGAATACCTCCCTTCGCTCGAACTCATCGCCCAGTCCCGGCAAAATTCCTATATAATATATGTTGTTCTACCTCGGATCGCTCGAACACCGATCGCTCGAACTCTCGAACCTGATCTCTGGTCCCTTCGGTAGAATTTTAGTGAAAATCACACCTTTTTGGTCGAACACAAAAAGACAAGTCGGTATGTCCTAAATAAATGACAGTCGGCGACACATGTTTTTAACACCTCTTGATCGTGACAAAGGTAATAAAGGTTAATTGATACAAAAAAGAGGTGTTGTAACCGATTTATTTGTATGATAATATTGTTGATTTGCCGTTTATGGTAACGATAAAAAGAAAATAACTTGTGAAATAAGTGAAATATGCATGCCAATAAAGAATGACGTTTACCCGGACGGCTTTAATTACAACCGTGGTTCATGTAAGTGATATCTATTTATAGAATGATACTTGTATGTGTGTTTATTTTAGTAAATGACTACAAATAGATGCTGCTGTAAATGTTTTTAATAAATATTTCATTAATTTATTTTTTAAAATTAAATTCATCCCATTATAAACATATAAATATATTTTATACATTGTTCAACAAGATTGGTGTAATTGCCCAATCGAACTCAACCAATAACAATATGCATGAATATAGATTAACACAGCGTACCGTTAATACTTAATTTAAACACTGGGAGAATAATTCTACATATGAAATATTCGACGAACAGATATACTAACAAACAATTATATTGACGCATTTATCATTCGACCGATGTAAGCTAGGAAAACCTTTAGGCATATGATCAACGTAATAATAGTTCAACCACGGTTGGCTCGAACTACCGATCTCTCGAACAAATTTGCACAGGCCCTCCGAGTTCGAGCGAACGAAGTTCGACTGTATATTAAATCTGAAGAAATTATTTTTGGTGAAAACAAGTTATCTCTTCTGATGAACAATAACTAGGTATACCTCTGTGCGTATATAAGTATGGGGATCGGGAAATGGCGGTAAATGATCTGGTATGTATGCCGGATGATTTTGCTTCTCTCCGGCCGACAAAACTCTCTGCACAGGCTGGGGTAAACTCTGTCCAGCTGTAAATGTAAAAATTTATTTGTCTATAAATTAATAAGAACTGTCATGTCCCTAAGTATTTAATAGATGAAATCATTCTTTAACCGGCTTGCAATAAATCTATCCATATTATAAGTGCAGACCAAGAACAAGACAGCACATCTGTGCTGCCTGACCATGATGGTCTGCACTGTTCACTTCAGGATTTAGCATATAATCAAATCACTTGAAGGTTCAAAGGCCACATTTAATGTTAGAACAAAAATAAAAGCCTTATATGTCAGTAACTTGAAAAATCGATCTTGAGTTCAATTTTTATGTAACTGAAGAAAATGGTTTACCAAGCAAAATCAAGCATAGTCACATATAAAGAAATGCTTTTCATAGTATTTGTGTATATATACAAATGTATATACAAAGTAACATGGAAGTTGCTGAGGTAACTTACTCAATATAAATTTAATATTATTCAAGTATCTCACCATCCAAAATAATAAATATTCAATAAATGAAAATATACATATCAATGATTTAATAGACATCCACTACCTTACCTGACCCTAATAATATAATACGTCTTTCAAATGACTTGTTATTTCACATAAGTAAGTGTAATTGTTTCTTTAAGAAAAAAGTAATTTGATACAAGTAAAACTTACGTGGTATGAACACTGACTTGTTTTGTCTAGCTGCATGTGCTGGGATAGACTCAACATTGATGCCTGTAAAACGGTATTGTATGTAAATTTTAGAACATAATTATCTCCTAGGTTATGAAAGGGTGTTAAATAAAGTTTCAATTACGTCACATAGCCAAGTCTTTTTTGCCTTAGAACTTTAATGCTTGTAAATGGAGGTATTCCTTACACCAAAACATATGGTGGGTTTTTCTCCACAATTGAGAGGCATGTAATTTCCAATGATCAAGTCTACATTTATGTTGTTGTTGATTTTCTTTGAAAAAATACTTTTGTTCACAAGCGTGTGCCCTGAAATTACTTATACAAGAAAATTTGGCTATCAACCAAAGACGTTTTTGTCATTATGAGTTAGAAGTTTCTGTCAGTTAACCTAAAATTGCATTTCCCCCCCAAAATTCTAAAGATTTTGGTGGCATTTCCAAAATGTCGGGGGGAAAAAGGCAAATTTCATCACAAAGGCTTAAGCAAATGCTGTTAACACTAGGAATGTGTACCTTATTGTGAATGACTTTAGCCACCAGAGTAAAAGCACTGGAGGAAAAAACAATTGCAACATTGATACTGGCAAAATGGTGGAGGAAGATCTCAGGTCTCAGGTGCCTTTCTGTCCATTATTTCAGGCATAAACGAGAACCTGAGTAGAACTACCGACGTTTCGTAAGCTAGCTGGATAGCTTCCTCACGTGAAAGAATCCCTGTCAGGATTCGAACCAACAGTGGTGAGGGGCAAGTGGTATATAGTCAACAACCTTTACCACTCTGCCATCATTGATGTGAACTAGTCTACATGATTACACCACATTGAAAACAGATTACAGTGGGTTTTATTTTTCACACAGTTCTGGGGCCCAAATATGGCCAAATTCACTAAGCCAAAAAGTATCTTTTTTTCACAAACATTTCTTGAAAATTCATGATTGTCAAACTGGGGACATTGACAAAATTGTTGTCAATGACATAAAATCATGAGAAACAGTGACATTTACACAACTTAACTATTTGACTTCATCTAATAATGACACTGTGTTTTTCATGAATATAAAAACTGGGCGAAAAACAATGGTCAATTACAACATACCTTGATCAATGAGAGCCGTAATTACATCAGTAACTAAAACTTCAGTGCGGCCACACAATTCTGTATAAGCTTTGGTACTCTTCCCTGTTTCTGTAATCACTGGAATATATATAAGATTCTGTGAATAGAATAGATTGCTGACAAAGATTATCAACAAATACTGAGTTCTTTTAAACTTTCAATTGATAAAGGTTATAAACATTAAATTTTGCTCCAGTTTCTGTGTGAATAAATACTGCCTCATGATAATTATAAATGCTTGACGGATAGAGAATAATTTACAGTAAAAATATAGCCCAGAAAATAATAAAACAGCCGATGGAAGAACTAAATGACATAATCTTATTCAAACCGTTTTACTTCCTCTTTTACTAATTGCTGAAGTAACATCTTCATAAAATCTGTTCAACATAGTGCATCAAGTGCATGGGCCTCATTAATGATTTATATACATATATAATCACAAAATTACAACAAAAGAATACTGACATATCAAAGACAGAATCTATAATTATATTGATGACTTTTCTAATAAAGCCTTAAGGGCCGATTTGATATGTGCACAGTTGGTTTAGGGTTAAGAGTACCTCTCACCATGTTGGTGTTGAATCAAGGACAAATCTATTTTCTAAGGCAGTGTCACACTACGATGTCTCGTCCCTTATTGATTAGATTACCGTTTCTATGGCATATTCTTATTATTAAACACGTAGGTTACGGTTTTCATTATCGCCTTTTACTTGTTATTGAAAAATGCCTTAAGACAAGCCTCTGCAATGTGTATAGGCTAGTTGTATCTGACTCATGTACAGCTAGAAATGTTGCGGGCCTGTACAGCTAGTCACTTCCTACCAACATAATATTGAGAATTTAATGTAAAATTGGATGGCATGTCAAAATCTGAGATACAAAAAATATAGCAATAATAGGTATATTCCATGATGTTTTTTCACTTAAAAGATGTGTCTACCTTGTAATCAAGTTTTAAATCCTGGTCAGTGCCTGAGTGAGGATTACAGTTTTTCAAATACTGTACCGGCCTGTATTGCTAGCTACGTGAAGTCAATTAAAGTCAGTTATTTACCCTATAGCGTGCTTTTACAATCATGAAAAACAGCTGCGCTTCATCAATAAAAGAAATTTTCTATTTGCACTAAAAGTGATAGAGATAAATACATTTTTAACAAACCATTAATGTATTACACATGTACATCTATATCTTCCATAGAAACACAGATATACATTCTATATTTAGCTACATGATAGAAATGTTGTTTCAGTTTATTTCTCTTTGTATCTTCGCACTGACATTAATATCTTAATTAATAAAATCTGTGATATTCAGAGGAAAAAAAACTTCCAATCAACAAACGCCAAAAAATAATAAATCTATTGTAATTGATAAAGTTTTCCCGATATTCAATAAAATCTTTGTTAAAAAAATAAAGTTTGCAAGTCTGCATATTCATTATCCTTGTAGGTTATTCATTCATTTTGAAAATACAGTACATCTAGCCTCTTTAGTATGTATAGGCTAGTCATACGCGACTCACATATAACTAGAACTTTTGTCTAGCAATACGGGCACCTACAGCTAGCCACTGCCCTCCAAATTTCATAGTGAGCTCAAAGGGCTTTGCAGCAAAGTGAGCTATATAATTATGTGAGTACCTGCTAGGAAGTGATGTTTTGAAAACTTTCGCTGGAAGTACTACAAAATCATAGGTAATAGAGCAGTAGCAACTTTTCGACTTACAAGATATTAAATATAAAAGCTGAGGAATTCTGATTGTAAACAGATGCGTAGACTGGTCTCCTGGTCAAAACCTTCAATGGGAACCATAGGACAGGGAGCCAGAATAAACGGAAGCAGTGCATAAAATACCGAATGGCAGTTTTAAAATGGAAAATAAACATAAATGATTATTCTAACCGACTTCTCCCTTCATAGGCTTTCATATTACCCAAACTATAATCTGGATCCCTGCCCTATTATGGTTTGCATTTATCTTCCCTTGCAGGTGGATTCAATTTAGATCTCATATAAAACATGAAATGGCCGTATAAAGTGTGTGGTTGTGTTGTGGCTGAAAGTATGCAGTTCAAACTGTATTAGAAACATAAAATTTGTAGCTGCCAATGGGTTTAATTTATATGGGGAAGTCAAAGGCTGGGTCTGCAAAGCGGGCCATGGCTTTGGCTTGCCCGGCTATAGACTACATATGTATAGTTAAAAGAAAATCAAATAAAAAACAATTAAAGAATACATAGAATTCTATACCTATCAATGAAATTTTCAGTTCTAGTCGGGTGGCGCCATTTTTCATATAATTCAATGATAATAGGCGGGATATTCAGATTTCCCATAACGGATAACCGCAACTTTTAGGATAAATTATATAATAGGAAGTGGCTAGCCGATTGGGCCCGTACGGCTAGCCAAAAGTTCTAGCCGTACGTGAGTCACGTACGACTAGCCAGGACACACTGTATTGGCTAGCCGTACGGCACATTTCAAAAATATAGGGAAGGCGAAAGTACATATGTTAATTATGACTTTAAGCGAGGATTTTAGTCAAGAATGTTTACTTTTTAGAGATTAATCGACGTGTTGGCTTCAGTAAAGAATGTACGTACTTTAATTAATTGTCATCTCAAGACGTCGAGAAAAAAAAGCGTTTGGTTGCAGTTAAATAACATCAATTGAAATAGTTTACAAAATTTTGATAAATAATCCTTTTTTGTTTCATTAAGTTTAATTTTTAAATTGTAAAAAAAAAAAAAAAAAAAAACACTGAAAATAATTGTTGTTGGGCTCTGATAATTGCGTCAATTACCGACGGTATAGAAGTTTGTCCATCGTCCATCATTAAGGAAAGTTTGCATTATTAAATTATTTTTTCCTTTTCACCGTTTTTTTAATATTCTTATTATTTATTCATTTATTCCCCTCCGATCATTATTTATTCGATCCATGTGCTTAATTAACAGATTTAACAATTCATCTTTCATACAAATCATAAGCATGAAAATTAAGGATGTTATAACATGCAACTTTGACACTTAATTTTATTAAGATAGATTATACAACGCTTACTCGTATTCATTTTTTGTGTGCAAAATTGCGGAGCATCTTTATTAAAGTGAACACACTAGGACAAATGCGGAGATTTGATTAAAATCGTCGTTTAAAGACAAAATAACATATGCATTTTCGACTTCCATATAATTTTGAAAAGTGCCGTACGGCTAGCCAATACAGTGTGTCCAGGCTAGTCGTACGTGACTCACTTCCTATATAAGAATTGTTGAGTAGTCCGAGTGTAAACCGAAGTGGTGCATATAATACCGATGACCCCTTTAAAACGGAAAAATTAACTGACTTCCCCGTTCATAGGCTTTGCCTTATTTCATATTAATGTATAAATTTTTGTTTGACACTTTGCCGTATTCTTATTATCATTTGTCTTAGTATAGACCAATATTTGAGAAAGCAAGAATTTTGACACGTTAAAAATGTAAGAACATATTTTAAACTGCAATAACCGGATTTGAACACTCACAACTTTGCAACATTTCTGTCAATGTTTCTAGTGCGGACTCCTCGGCCATTCCAAAACCAACTTCTTTACACAAAGCGCCTACGGCCACTTTCAGTGCCTTTCTCCTGGATCTGGCATGTGAGTCCATGGTGCTTTATTATTCTTAAATAAAGAAAATTAATATCAATTAAAGTTTTTTTTATGTTTTCAATGCTTTTTACACCATAAATCAAGTTCTGTTTTCTAAAATTAATTTAATTCATGGGTGCTGCCATTTTGCAAGGGAAATAACTGTGTTAATAACGAAAAGAATTTTATTTGAAGAAAAGAAGTTGAAAGAACACTTATATTTGGGTAAGGGCACAAACGTTCTGTGAGCAAACTAAATATATAATTCAGTGAAAAATTTCATATATGTAGAAATAGAACTTGTTGTAAAAATCCATAGTAGCTACTTAATCCACAGGGACTTGAAACAGTGTTTGGATAGACAGTGTAAAAAGTAATTCTAGAAAAATATATATACAGTACTTTATTATATACTTATAAATGAAATATTGAGAAATATTGATGAAATAAAATGCATATTTTCATTTTCCGTATTTTCACTGTAAAAATTTATTTTTCACTGCAGTGAAACATATTTTCCGTATTTTCACTGGTGTCTCGCCGGACTACTTTCTTTTAAATTTGCCAGTACACAAAATTAAATGGAAAGTTTTTTCAAATTTTAATCGCAAAAAAAAGAGAAAATGTATATAATAAAACAGAAAAATCAAGTTTTTTCTATAATAATCATGATTTATTTCATCTTGGTTGCATGAAAATTACCATATTTCACTCGTGGCTACCGCCACTCATGAAATATTTATTTTCATACCACTCGATGAAAATAAATCATGTATTTATAGAAAAAACTTGAATATCATCTATGTACTGTATATATAATATGAAAAAGGCAAAGCCTTAAAGCGAGCTCGATGTACTTTTTACGTGAAATAGCATGAAATAATCGCTAATTTTTATTTCAAATGCAGTAACGACTGCGTGTGACGTCACACTACTGTGTTAATCTTTTGGCTCCGCCCCTGTCGTGAAATGATAAGAGTTTTGAAACGTTGATAAAACTTTGTTATTGTTTTTCACTCCTATAAAATTTTCAAAGCGAAATAAAATATAAAGTGAAATAAATGTAAAACTTAAAACATTTGCGACATTAAAAATAGCGTACTTGATTTGTTTGTTTTGCAACGTGCTGTTTGGCGCTACAATTGTGAATCAAGTAAACAATATTTAAACGTCTGTACAGGTTAACGACTGAATAAAAGATATTGGTGTTCGGATTCATTTTTCTAGTTATGACCATTTTTTTCATTCTAGATAGTTTTCCAACAACAAAATTCGTCAAAAAAAATGTTTTTTTTATCAATTTTTTCAAAACAAAATGGCGCTTTCAATTTTCATTTTTACATTTTCCCCGTTTTAAAACTGTCATTCGATATTTATACACAGCTTCCGTTATTCTGGTCCCTGTCCCCAATTATGGTTCCCATAGATGTGCGCGGTGACCAGTCTACACATCCGTTTTCAGTCAGAAATTTTCCTCAGTTTTTATCGTTATCTTTAAATTCGAAAAGTTGCGATGTGTCCAATTCAGTACTTTGGACGAAAGTTTTCAAAACCATCACTTAGCAGGTACTCGCGTTACCGTAAAGCTCGCTTTGCGAGCAGGCCCTTCGGGCCAGCTCGTCGAGCTCGCTATTATAACTACAATATATTTTTTCTAATATTACATTTTAAACTATCCCAACACTGTGTCATGTCCCTACATGTAGCTTAATATGCCAAAATAGAGAGTCGTTTAATGGGAGAGTACTCGTCAAAGGTCTAACATGAAACGAAATCATCAATAACGCCCCAGTATCCGAATTTTTTGTCCTTTGTAATATCAAACCGAGCAGATGAAATGTATTCACTGTATCGACAAGTTATATAGTCACGTGATCTTTGTGGGTGTTTAAACATATTTATTTAAAGGCCCATTATGCCTCAGAAATGTTATTTTTTTAAAAAAACTGTTTATATTTTTATTTTTTTACAGTTTCAAAAAGCATATACCTATTTTCAATATACATGAACTTTTTGCATCTTTAGTTCTTGCTGTTCTGTGGCATCTGGTATAATGATAGTGAATTAGTATTTTGTTTAGAAGTCAAAATACTACTTTGTTTACATTTTGCTACCTTTACGACACATAACTGCACGTTCAGCGCTGGTTTTGTCAGTTGCACACACATAATCCATTATTTATTTATTGTATGTTTGTAGTTTTTATGTGTTATAGGATGACTTTAAAAGTTGTTTTTCGTGTATTTTCCTGGAACTCATTTGTTGGCGGAAGGGTAAGAAATGTACTACCCACCAGCAGTCAGGAGTTTTCAAAGTGGCGAATTAAAAACAGTGTTAAAACAGAATGAAGATTTCTGAAAAAAGTTGATGGCTAACATATTATTTTTCGAGCCATATTTGACTTAGATAGTCTTGATGTTTTAAGTTGAAGACGGTATATAATTCATCTTGAGAACAGTTGAATTGGGAATTAAGCCTCAAATTTAATGTGACTAATTAACTATAGAACAAAGAATACGAAAATTCACCAGGCCGACACCAGATAAGGTTATTTACAATCACTCATCCTTTATTCGCTTGGTACTAAATCCCGGTTATAAACGGTTAAAAATTATTGAATACCGGAGATTGTCCGGAAATGACCGATTTATTACGATATCGGTCGATGTTAGATTTTTTTTGGCGGGAAAGCATTAACCCTTTCACTGCCATAGGGACGGCTTAAGCCGTCCCTGTTATTTTCGGCGTATTTGCCAAATGGACGGCTTTAGCCGTTTCTATAATAATAATAGTATTTTTAAATAATAAATTAATAAAAATAATAATAAAAATAATAATAGATATAAAGAAAATTATACCATCGACAATAATTATTATTATACTCACAGATTTGGAAACATATATAATTATTATAATACTAATAACAAAAAGTAATAATTATATTAATTAATAATATAGTTATTTCTTAGAAAAACCCTCTGGCAGCGAAAGGGTTAATAAAACAATAACCCTCTGGCAGCGAAAGGGTTAATACAAAAGCCTTATGCAAGCAGCTTCTTATTTCTGAAATAGAATTCTTACACCAAATTAATGTGTTTAATTTTAAATCTTTGACTGCCCCGAGAAAATAACTATTTGTACAAACTGAACGACCAGGTGATTATTTCATAAAGAAAACATCCTGATTATTTCCAGTTGGTATGCTTTCTAAAATGTAAGAAAATAAATAATTTTTCGTGGAATTTCTCAAAATTGATAATCATCGACATCAAACTTATCGTTTATAGTGCAGTATGTGTTTTTAATGCGAAGAAATAATGTCAAATCGAGCAGGTACATCCTTCACGCCAGCTGTTACCGAATGTCTAAGAGTAAATTCCGACCCAAGGTAGTTTCTTAAAAAATGATTGAATAAAGAGAACATAGGCCAAGTTATATTTCAAAATATTTGGTTGAAGAATTTGAAAATACAATATGGCCACACCACGTGACCCAATGAACTATAATCTGATGATGGCAACAATATTACATTTTTACACTCATATTTCTCTATATGTTATAGTAAAAATATTGTAAAATGCTAAATGCTAAATCATCTACAAAAATGTTAACAATAAACAATATAAGTTGTCTTAAAATAGATACACATGTACCATGAGAAGCTTGGATTATTACTGGAGGGTATATAATGTAACACGTTCTCTGATTAAAGATAACTCTTTTAGAACACCGCCTACCCTGTATTTCAACAACGCGACAAAGCAGCAAATCGTGGAGATCACCTCCGCGACATAACAGCACAGCACAAAGAAAATACCCTGCGACATTATAGTAATACACGGAAAAAAAAAACCGCGACATAAAAAAAGCATGTAGCGCCACCCCGGCCTCTACGTTATAGCATAACACTGAGAATACCCCGCGAAATGAAAAACAAAAGGTGTAGCGCTAATCTATCTTGCGACCTATAAACAAAACATGAAGAACATGAGATAAGAACATGGAGAAAATTCCAGCGACATTATAGCAAAACATGGAGAAAATACCCCGTGACATTATAGCAAAGCATAGAGAATACCCCGCGACATTATAGCAAAGCATGGAGAATATCCCGCGACATTTTGGAAAGCATGGAGAATACCCTGCGATATTATAGAAAAGCATGGAGAATATCCCGCGACATTATGGCAAAGCATGGGGAATACCCCGCGACATTAAAGCAAAGCATGGAGAATACCCCGCGACATTATAGACAGCATGGAGAATACCCCGCGACATTATAGCAAAACATGGAGAATACCCCGCGACATTATAGACAGCATGGAGAATACCCCGCGACATTGTAGCAAAACATGGAGATATCCAGCAACATTATAGCAAAATATGGTCTTTTTCCAGCATTATTATAATTTTTATAGCAAAACTAGGAGATTTTCCAGTAACATTTTAGCAAAACATGGGACTAGCCCGCGACATTAGAGCAAAATATGGTGAATATCCCGCGACATTATAGCAAAACCTGGAGTATACCCCGCGACATTATAGCAAAAAAATGGAGAATACCCCGCGACATAAAAAAAGCATGTAGAGGTAGCCGGCAACACACGTAGAGCTACTTCGCGACAATACAGGAAAGCTTATTAATTTACGCCGCGACATAACAGCCTAGCATAGAGATCCTCTCCCGCGACATTAAAGCATAGCATTTGAAGCGACACTAAGGCATTTAGAAATAAAACCAACCGAATGAAGAGCTGGATTCGCATGTTTCCATTCCAAAATGTCACGTGGTATGGTCGAATTATTATAGCCTTGAACTCCAAACAGACGTTGTGGTGTTCAGAGATATGAAATTTCATGGCAATTATAGGTTATTACAAGGCTGGTGAATAAAGTTTAAGGCTCGTTTCTTTCAACATGTGTTTTGACCGAAAGATCAAATGGCCTCTTGCTTTGATCCTTAATTTTTAGATATAAAAACAAGCAAGAAAATCTGACATCCTTAATAAAAAATATAAATGCTCCTTATTTTTGTATTCTTTTATACAAACAAATGTTCTGTAATAAAACAAAATCAGGTCTTGTCTTGAAGTTAACTTCGACATATTCATAATTATAGTTTTTGATACACAGCTGAACTAT